GCGCTCGGAAACGCTTCAATTTGCTCCGGCGGTCCACGTCCGCACACCGCGCGCAGCGTAGTGTTTGCCGCCCGCGCCAGAAAATCAATTTATATTATTTTTGTCATGTGCTATGTGCATATATCAATCAACCGCAACCGCCACCGCCACCTCTTCAATTATTAAACAATAACGAAAATGTTGCATAGTTATTTTTCGTGTTACAAATTTTAATAATATTAGTATTTCGTTTCGGTTAATCTTTTACAGTTGTCTTCAATTTATTTAATTGACTTGCTTGTGAAGTTTTTAAATTAAATTGTTAATTGTTAGCTAAATTCGCGTTAAAGTGTTAAATATTCTTACATTTCTTTCTCTTTCAACTGTCAAATACATTTTGACAGTTTCTTGACATGATTTCTTTATTTACCTATCAAAATAGACAGTAGATGGCAGCACTGCGTACTGAATAACACTTCTGTTACATTCAACTGTCAAAAAAACATTTTGACAGCATTTCGACATGATTTTTCTATATACCTACCTAAACATCAACTAGATGGCAGCACTATACTTATTTTTCAATTTTTGAATTTTCAAAATGTGAAATAGAATTAATTAAACGGAACACCCAGAGGTGTTGGTTGATTGATTGCGCTGCTAAACATCCAGCGCGTGCAGAGTAAAGTAGCGCGCGGCATTCTGCTGCACAAAGAGACGCGCAAAAGAATAAAAAAACGACCACCACCCTTCCCTAGCCAGCCAGCCAGCCTGCCCACCCGCTCGATATGAATAAAAGCGTCTTGAGCACACACCTCGCACACTCGGCGCGCGTCGCCTTGCTGGGAAATTAGTCGGCGTAACTATTAGATATTTATACGTAGCGCCGGAGCGCCGGATGGTAAGCGGCGTGTCGAATGCAGGTCGCGGTCGGTGCGTGCAGGACGCGGGCATCTATTTTCCTGTCGCGTGCCTGCCTTCCCTCCTCCCCTCCCCTCTGCCACTCCACTCGTCCCCCTTCGTTGCTGCTGCTTTCGACCGCTCACCCACCGCCGAGTGCGCGCGATACGTGTGTTATAAATTCAACGCGCACGCTGCCCGATCGCATCTGTGTCGCTCGCACGCTCGTTTGCTTTTCCTGCTGCGCCTGCTTCTCACATACGCGTTATGCGTTTAAGCCGCTTTACAACTACCTAGATATATATTTTTCTGTGTGTGTGTGTGTATTGGGCATTGATATTCGTTGGTATATGACAGCGGGCATGCGGCTGTGGTGTGCCGCAGGTCCGCAGGCCAAGAAATACTAAAAATACGCCACCGACGCTTCGACGCTTCGTCGCTTCGTCGCCTGCGAACGACAATAGCGGCGCTCTTTCCTCCTGCCGAATGATACATGCATAAATAATACGCTTGCCGTCCGACGCCGTGGAAATATTCGCTGTATTTCAAGGAGTGCTAAGTATTTTTTGCGTGGTTTTTGTTTTTTTGGAGAATTTGTTATTAATCGGACAAATCACCGCTCGGAAGTGTACAATTGAATCTCGCGTGTAGTTTTTTTTTTTCTTCTGTTTTCGGTTTTGTGTTGGTGTTTTCGGGCGCTTCTTGCGCTCTGGCGCGCCGAAATATTTTTGGAAACTGCGTCGAGTATTTTTCGGGCCGAAATTTAGCGGCGCGCCTCCGGAAAATTCGTTTTTGGCTTTTTTTCCTCTCGCGCGCGCGTATAGTCACTGGTTGAGCGTCGATAGGCGGCACGCGCGCCCGGACGTCAGCTTCGCATAGCTGCGTTTACACAGCGCCACCAAATTCAATATTTTAGGTTAAAATGTCAAAAATGTCAAAAAAAATCAAAAGTTGAGAAAAACGCTAAAAATAATATAAAAATGTATTAAATATCTTTTAACATTAAATAATAACATTCAAAATTTATTTATTTTAAATTTTAAATTTCAAATTTTTGATAATTTTGACGTATTTTTACTTCATTGAGGTTAAAATAGATAGTTTTTGATGATTTTGGAATAAAATTGTTTTTGGCTTGGTGTAAACGCAGCTAGGAGCGGCGGCAGGTCAACCCGAGCGAGCGTCGCGGCGTAGTTGAGCGGGCGTCCTTTCCCCTCGTCTGATTACGGCCGCCCCCGTTGGCCCCACACACATTCCGCACACCACAACGCCCGGCGGGCGCGCCTTGTGCTGAAGCGAGACGCGCGTCGAAATGGTCGTTCGCTTGCACCCGCCGCCACAAGCCGCCCCCGTCCGCACCCGTCGTGTTGGCGCGCTTGCATATATATCTTCGGCGTTCGCCGTTCGCCGCTCCAAAGCTATATCTATAGATATAGCCGGTCGTGAAACGGGAAACGAGCGGGTGCGAGCGGCGGCGGCATTACAGCGGCAGCCGCCGCCGTCGGTTCCGACGATAGTTAAACGGCACGATGCGGCGCCATATATAGATATACGACGAGAGCGAGGGTGGCCGACTGGCGTGTGGTGTGAGGCGGCGGGAAAGCGGTAAGGTTGGCGTAAAACTGCCAAGCCATGCCGCCGCCGTTGCCGCCGCCGCCGCGCTTCCCATTCCACACTCACACAGAACCTCCTAACCACCCGCCACGCTTCGAGCAGCAGAAGCAGCAGTGGCAGACTCACACCACTAACGCAACCCTCAATACCCCCAAACGCCGCCCTCGCTTCCGCACGCCTGCCGTGCCCGGCCTGATTTCTTCATCCGTCTGTCACGCTGCACACGACACTCATTATCACCCTCGGGCGAGCGCGCGCGTTCGGCTTGAGGTGGCACGCTACGCGCCGCTGCCACCACCACCAATACCATCACCGCCTCCGCTGCCGCCGCCGCCACACGCATAATACATGTATGTGTGTGTGTGTATGCGTGGCGATCCGCGATCCTTTCCGCGACGCCTCGCTTCCCCTCTTATTATATACGCGCACGTTTCGCCCACGGCGGCTGTGGCGGCGGCAACGCGCGCGTCGTTTCGGTTCGTTGGGCACGCCGCCCGCGCTTTTGCCATAACGTACGAGTCGACACTTTAAGCACCCCGCCGTCGGATCATAACGGATTGACGCCGGATTTACGGGGATTGCCACTGCCGCCTCCAGCGGTCCACCGCCGCGTGTCTTTTGCATGCAGATGCACTTTTTCCAGAAAAATCAATCATAAAAAAACCGGCAAAGTGAAATAAAACGCGTAGAAATGTTATTTTTCAAGTCGTGTTGCGCTGGGCGTGCATTAATGAATTAATTAATTAACGCAGTGACAGGTTGGCTTGTCAAACGTGAAGATAATTAGAATTTCCGCGCGTCGTGTTCGTTTTTCTCCGTTTCTCTACCGGTAGGTTGTTATTCCCGCACGTGTGCGCGGCTAATCATGCCGCGCGCAGAAAACGTGCTTATCTGCGCGTAGCGAGAAATGTGTGCGGTGGCGGCGGCGGTGGTGGCGGCGGCGACGCGCACCGCTTGATGAACGATGACGGTCGAGCGGGTGCTAATTGATGCAGATATCGCATTCGCGCGCCGCTCAGCGCCGATGACGACGAGCGGAGGCGGAGGCGGCAACGGCGGCGGTCGTATCCGCCGCCAAATAACCCGCTCCACTGCCCACCACCCAACGCCCTCGCCCTCGCCCTAAATATATATCTATATATATTTCTATACGTGCCGTTCGTTTCGCTGCAAGATTATGCCGCCGCTGCCGCCGACAGGGAAGCGGCGGCGGTGGTGGTGGTGAGTCTCGCTCGCACTGATGGTGCGCGCCCGGCGATTGCTTTGACACGCTCGGTCGGGCCTCGTTAAACTACGGCGGCGGAACATCACGCCGCCGCCGCTGCCGCCGCCGCCGCCCCCATTACGAGCAAATCCTTTAAAGGGGAACTGCTTAACGGGCGCGCGCGCCGCCGCTCGCCAGCGCTCGCACGTGGGCGGATGATACGCGCGAGCAATCAGCGGCCGCGCGTTGTCTGCCGCTTCGAGGGCGCAACGGCGGAAGACGTATAGCCGAGCCGCCCCCACCTCCGGCGTGCGGAGATATGTGCCTTTGGAATGTATTAAGCGCCGGCGATTTCTCAAGCGTTGAGCATGCATCATGCGCGATTGCAAATGATTTTGACTCGAATTTTTAGTTTTTCAGACGCATTGGAAACAATTATTAAAGTTTCAATACTTTTGCATGTACATATATTGTCAATATATTGATAGAATGCGGGAATAAATGTCTAAGTTACTCATGAGTTGCTAGAATGCAAAAACAAGAAAATTTGTTTATTCGATCGAATATCGACGATTGTGTTCGGGTTGATCGATGTTGAAGTTGTCGCACAAAGAACCTAATTCTTTACTTAGTTTTTGTTTGTTATTTGACATTGTAGTGTTAGGGTAATAAGTATGCATTAGTAAATGTATGTTGGGTTGCCCGCCTAACAAATGATTGCTAACTAAACTTTTACTTCTTTTATTTCTGCTTTTGCTCGTCGGGAATAAACTGCGCATTAACGCAACCAACATTACATTAAAAGACAACTACAGTTGACCTTTTACAGTTTAGACCAACTAAATGTTGGCAACTTTTTATACATTTTTATGTATTTTTTGCATTTAGTCAGAGTCTTAAGTAATAAAACTTATGTACATTTTAGTAGTGCTTCAAAATATATATCCATACTTAAATAAATTCACAAAAGGTGTTATTTACATAGCGCGCCAAAAATTAGAAGATTTCTGCATGGTTTCAACTTAATTATTTTAAAATTAACACAAAATCTCATTCAATTTTCCAAGTCTAATTTTATGAAACCCCGAAAACTTACATGAGAAGTTAATTTAGGAATATAAGATGAGTATTATACATCCAGCGCCATCCTTATTACATTTTCTAAACTGTTATGATGAAAATGGAAATTTGAGGAAAATCTTCATTGCTTTCTAGCGCAGGATTCCTCGTAATTCCAACGTAAGACTCTAGTTTTCTTTACAATGCCACTGTTTGTCTTCAAAGAAATAATTTTACAATACACTTCATAATAATTAACATTTATTTTATAAAAATATAAAACACAATTTCATTTGAAAATCTACATAGATCAACGAAATGCATGTTTTTGCAACTTTGATTGCATTCAACTACTTCTTCATTGTTTAGGTGCTGAGTTGATATTTATGGCATCCGTCAACGTTTCCGGCAGTTTTCGTTTTACAGTTTCCGGCAGTTTAAAAACAAGCGCACCCGCCATGAACGCAATCACCGCGAACAATATCATTGGAAGTGAAGCCCACAATTGTCCCTAAAACATAACACAAGCATAAAATTTCATTATTACTATATTTATGTAGTTGATATTCTTACTAGACGTGGAATAAACGGTGCCAAAAACGCGCCGAATCTCGCAAAAGTCGACGCGGTTGCCACACCACCACTGCGCACAATTGTCGGGAATAATTCCGCTGTGTAAACATAAATAATTCCGAACGAGCAGGTGATGGAAAGTTTACTCAGCAAGAACAATAAAATGATTAGCCAATTTAGATCTGAAATGTGAAACGCAATCAAATAAATGTTTTAAATAAATATTTGCAGGCAGTATTTACTTGTAGGAACAAATGCTGTCGCAATGCACAAAACAGCGCAGACAAACAGTGATCCAATCAATGAATATTTACGGCCGATTTTTAGAATTGTTATCCACGATACTAAATATCCGGGAATTTCGATGAGACATACAAGGATAAAATTTACATACTTATTGCCACCCATACTTGTAGCATTTAGAGACATTCCATAATAAATAAATGCATTAGCACCCCTAAAATACAATAAAAATTAATAAATTGGGGTGTATAACTGGTTGCATAGCATTGCACACGTTCCGCCATCTTCTCAAAAGATAAATATGTTTTATAAACACATAATAAGAGGTTTAAAACTTACCAAACGATAAAAATCACAATATATCTAATAACTAATGATCTGGTTTTGCAAATGTCGACAACCATTGGCCACATTGGTGTTTCTTCATCATTTTCCTATGAATTAATACATTAGGATTAATAATAATAAATTTTCTCAATTTTAAAATAAATTTCTTACACTTTGTTGTGATGCAGGTTCTGTAAACGTGTTTCTCACACCTTCAGACAAAACAACTTTGTTTATTTTAGCTGCTTGTGTGATGATTCCACTAGCTTCACGATTTTTATTCTTTGCCATTAACCATCTCACAGATTCTGGTATATAACTAATATAAATGTTTAAAAACATTATTACTACATTAAATATTAGTGTTTTTAAATTGAGACTTACCAAAAGTATAATACAAATAGAATACAAGGTCCTGAAACAATCATTTGTGTCAATCGCCAGTCCTGTGAATAATATGCAACCACGCCAAGCAGTGCTTCACCAAATGCGTAGAAGAAGTTGAGGACCACTCCAGTTAGTTCACGTTTACTTCTTCCTACTAATTCTACACCTAAAAGATATTAATTTGTTTATTTTGTGATTTCTTGTGCTGTTTTTAATGTTTTCTTACCAATTACAAATCCCAGTGGATAAACTCCTGCTGTTCCAATTGCATGAATACATGTAATCGCCAAAAACATGTAATAATTACCAGCTGTAACATGACCAACTCCAGCAATACACATTATCACAATAGCAATCAAGAACATGTATTTTCTTCCATATCTAAATCAAAATCCAACGTAAATTTTATATTTTTTTTAGTTAAACATTTCTTATTTATAATAATATTACCTGTCTGATAATAATCCGAATAAAAATGACCCAATAAATATCCCAACAAAATGGCTGTTACCCACATATGACAGCAAAAGTTCATTTTCTCTACACGTTAACTTCCACTCGTTGACAATTGTGTTTTCTTTACCAAAAAGCCACGAATCACAGGATAATTTTGTTGAATAATCAAAGTCGTCCACTTCACATCCGCTTCCGGTGCGTTTATACATAAGACAATGCTCCGGTTGATCCATCTTATCCAACGGAATGGCGTATGACATCCATTTTGCATTGAATGTGGTGTTTTCATTGTCACAGCCGGGGATTGAACATCTAAATATTTGCAAGAGTTTGTATTAACTTTAGTGTACATTGGATTGCCTAAAATGAAATAGTTTTCAAGGATAACCTTATTGATGAAATAATATTAATAAAAAAAGATAGGGAAATACATTAATATAATTATTTATTAGGTGATAATTACCTGTATTCTGGTATTCCTGCGGTGAAGACATAACTCAAACTGTTTGCTCCGCTGAATAATACTGGTAAACAGATGAGTAAATATGTAACTATTTGGAATCTGCCCAATTCGCCAAGTTCATCTAGGATGTCGTCAAAGTTCATGCTGTCGACTGGAAACATTTTAATTATGTTAAATTTATGTAATAATTTAATTAACTTAGTGCGAAGTGTACTGAACCGATACCAAAATGAGACTAACATGATTTTACCTAGAAATAAGTCTTCAGAAAGTTTACTAAAACTGTTTTGAATAAACAAACTACCAAATCTTGCTAAATTGTTTTAGAAACATTTACACTAATTTTAAATATTGTGACTCTACCTGAACATTGCAAAAATAACCAATTTTATATTATAAATGTCTTTCTGACGTTTAATTTTAGTTTTAGTTGACATTATTAACAATTATTTACACTTCTGTTAGTTGCAATATCAAATTGAATATGATTCAGGTAAATATCATAACATTTTGCGCTCCTTGTTCATTCCAAAAGTGCAATAAAGAAAAGAAGCAATAAAAATCATAAAACAAGACATGTTGCGCCATCTGACAACAAAAAGTGATATTATTTTTAATCACGCAGCTGCTAACCATTTAACTGATTATTATTTAACTTAGTAAAGTTATAGTTTAAACTAATAACGACTAAACACTTAATTAGAAAGTACTTATCAACAAACACGCAAAATAGTAATACACAAAATGATTGCTTGTTTTTGCGTTTTACAAACTAAATTGGCGATTATCTTGATATTTTAATTGCGGGGAATTTTTTAATTTATTAATAATTATATAAGTATGTACATAAGTATGTACAGTTTACAAATATTACCACAACGGTAAACAAAATTTCCATCATACAAACGTCCTATAAGTGCGTTTTTTGTGCAAAATTAAAAAAAAAAACACAAATATTTCTCATTTTTAATAAAAACTTACTTGACGGATCGATATTAGTAACCTTACTTCCACCATTTTCATGATTCGAATGAATTTCATTCATTTCAATATCATTTTCGTGATTGAATCGTAATCCCGGCATGTTTATCAATCAAATTATTATATTTATAAACTATTATCAGCAAAAAATGTGCAGCAAAAACACGCACTTAATTTAATCGGATTGATAACACGTATACGAATACGAATACACAATGCACTTTTGTATTATTGCAGCACTGATTAGTGAAATTATTATTATCCGAACACGAGTAATGCCGAACTCTACACATTCATCCGCCGACTATTTTGAGCTTAAATGAATCTGAACTTTAGAAAAACCGTTCGCGTGTCTGCCTGCTCTCTGATAACATGATTTTCAACAGATCCTGGGTTTTGCTTGTCATCCACGCACAATTACACAATCATATTTTAAATTCGCATAAATTCTTCAACTTTATTCAAATATTAAATGGTTATTATTATTAAATTAAATTTTAATAATTTTAACGAAATATTTTGATGTTTCACGCACGTAAACTCAAAATAAAAGAAAACAAATGATTTGTGTTTAAATAAACTTAAATGTCATTCTCGTAATTCTATTTATAATCCTTTAAATGCACCACGTCTATAAATATCTCGCAACGCTCTGTATATCGAAGGATTATATTTAATCCGCATGCACTCAGGCTCAGAGCAAATCTCAGACTGATTGTCGCAAGTGAATTTTCCAGGCAGATACAATGCAATCAAGCCAGATAATGATAGGTATATCATTAAAATAAGTTGTTGCCACAAACGTCAGTATATTGTGATTATTGTTAGAAGTTTAAATAGAGTAATAGAGGAATGTAGGTATTTGTTTTTATTATTTACATTTGGTAATGTTGTAGTTGTGGTGGAATAATTTGATAATTTGATGACTCTCACCGTCACCGCTGTTTTATGATGGCTTTTGTTGACACAATCGCGAAGGTTACAAACGCAGAATTTTCTTGTACGTAATTTATTTGATGAATCGTTTACCGGGCATGATTTGCGACAACATTTCGGCGTGTTGATTCAACGTGTGAACAAACGCGAATGAATAAACACGATTGCATTGTGTTTCTGGCAGCGATTTGGCTCGGTCAGAGCTGGTGGTATAGAATATTGCGCGTTTTTAAGTTAAAGCGTTGAATAAGTTCAAGGACGAACGCGTACAGGTACTTGCAGGATAATCTAACAGTAATTGCGCAAGCTTCACAACGAAAAAGACAAAATTATTAATATTTAGCGGTTTTAAGCTTAAAAATCAAGTAAATTAATTATTTCTAGTTAAATACAATCAATTTATTGATTCTTCAAGTTATTATTATAAATATCCTTTAAAAATCCTTTTAAAACATGTTTTCTAACGTTTGACAATTATATTCACCAATCGTGTAGGTAGCGCCATCTTTACAATTTTATAAATACTTCAGTGAAGTTTAGCTGCTTGTTTTTATCAAAACTTCATGCACTTCACAATTACCCATCTGTTTCGACTGGCCTCTTGCATAATTCACCGGCACCACACATCCGCCTGGTACAAATACATTGCGAGCGCACACAATAATCATTACATCCGACCGATCTGCAATAATACGTCCTTAAACATGGCTGCTGAAGGTGCCTTGACTGAAGTTGCCTCGAACAAAGTGTTTGGTGGACAGCAGAAGATCTTCTCACATGACTCAAAAGAATTGGGCTGTAAGATGAACTTCGGCGTGTATTTCCCTCCACAATACGAGTCAAATAAACAGCTGCCAGTTGTTTATTTCCTCTCTGGATTGACATGCAATGAAACCAACTTTATTCAAAAAGCTGGTGCACAAAGGTAACAAATGTCATTGATTCATTGAATTTGTATAAAGATTAATATATCTAAAGGTATGCTGCTGAATATGGTCTTATTCTGGTGAATCCAGACACTTCACCAAGAGGTTTAAACATTCCTGGTGACTCAGATTCCTGGGATTTTGGTGTTGGTGCAGGTTTCTACATTAACGCAACTCAGGAGCCATGGAAAAACAACTACAAAATGTTTAACTATGTCACAATTGAGTTGATCCAGGCAATCAAGGAAAATTTCGGTGGTGCAGATGTGCAGTCCATTATGGGTCACAGCATGGGTGGTCATGGTGCATTCATCTGTGCATTGAAAAACCCTGGGTTGTTTAGTTCAGTGAGTGCTTTCTCACCAATCACAAACCCCATTCAGTGTCCATGGGGACAGAATGCTTTCACCGGATATCTAGGACCTAAAGAGACAGGCAAATGGGAGGAATGGGATGCTACTGAGTTAGCAAAAGTTTACAATGGTCCTCCACTGGAAATATTCATTGATCAAGGAACTGAAGATCAGTTCCTGAAGCAGAATCAACTGCTTCCGAATAATTTACTCGAAGCTGCAACCCCCAATACTTCACTGCAAACACAAATGCATATGCGTGAGGGTTACGATCACAGTTATTTCTATATAAGTTCGTTTGTTGGTGATCACTTGGCGTTCCACTCGAAGCACTTGCAAAAGAAGTAATAATAATAACTTTGCAATTGTTTTGTGTGGTGATGGTGTTTGTTACAAGTCAATAATATTTTTCTATCACGTTTGTACAATTGTAATACATAATTTGTTTGTTTCTCTAAATTAAAACTAAAATAAGAAATAAACGACACGATAATCACAAACGTCGGGATGATATTTGATATATTATTTAATAAAATTAATAAATAACCCCTGATCAAGCTAAATATAGCTGATGTACATCGTACAAATTTATAAATTTCATGTTTTGTACTTGATTTACAAGAATTTTATTTAATGGCGCCGCGTAAGTCGTGCCAGTATTGTAGGAGAGGGTCACGTTTCTGCCAGACGTGTTCTTGTCCCCAGTAAGCCCAAGCACTGAGAAAAAAGTAATATTTATCAATTATTGGGAATATTATTCAGAAAAATTGTTAAGCAACTTACATGCCAGTAAAAGCGCCACCTAAATGTGCTGCATGATCAAATAGTTTCCAACCCATCATGACACCGGCCACGTCCAGGCCCACAATTACTTTAATTGCCTAAATAATTAAATTATTTCAGTTTTATAAAGATGACTGAAAGATAACGATTTAATACTAACTGAACTTGCAGAAAATGTCAAAATGGCAATAATATAATTCCTAATCTTGTATCTGGATATTGTGTACACACATAACCGAGAATTGCCATTATTGCACCAGACTAAAACCAATTTTCAATTTAACAAACATTTTCTATTAGAAAATATTCACTACTTACTGCGCCCAGAGAAAGTCCGGGTTGTCGCGTCACAGTTTTGAAAACATAGCTCGTAAAACTAGATATCACACCAGCGCTAAGATACAGGCCCAAAAACTGTTCTTTTCCTAATGAAGCCACAGCACCTGTATAAAAATAAGAAAAATCAATGTTTTGGAATCCTTTCTATATAATTGTTGTATATTACCTGTACTAAAACTATGCAGGACATACATATTTGCCAACAAGTGAAACAGTGAGTAGTGACTGAATGTTGACAACAACATTGGCAGGCAGACATTGGTACTGCCTGGATTAGAGCAGAAATACCGCAACATTGTGGGCTGAAGGCGCGGTACACGCCAGGCAGCAAAGACTAATACATTTAATGCACATATCGGCACAAATATCTTCTCACCAGATGATAGGGAATTCCACCATTTATTGAAATCTCGTCTCAGAGTACCCTAAATGATAAAATAATCAATTATAGCCTTGAATTATCATATAATTTAATGGACTACCTCCATTATGAATTAAATTTGTGTTTTTTGTTGAATTAAATGTGAATTTACTGGAAAAACTTCAAAATGACAATGATTATTACCTGTTTCTGCATAAAACCTGGACGTCTAAATATCCGCAACGCGTTATGCCGCATATTTTCATACTGCCATATAACTGCTCCAGCATAACATGCTCCTGTAAACTACACACAAAAATATATTTAAAAATAGATTTTTAAGAGTAAAACATTGCAATTTATTATGTCTTACACCTATAGTGAATCCTAGTGGCTTCCATAATGAACCTAATGATAGTTTGCCTACGTCAACCGGAGTCTGCCCAAAAGGCGTGCTCGGGTCAAATTCATGTTTCGTTTCCTGCCATTTTACACGTTTGAATGCTCTGCTTTGCTTTGAAAATAAGTGAATTGGTTGAGGGGCCTTCAGTAATACATAACCTCTGACACTTTGGCTAAAAACATAAGTATTAAACCCATTTGTATTATATTTTATTCACTTGCATATTACCACGCATGATGCAAATTTAATGAACGACATAGTGCCATAGTGTTATTTAATTTTTAAAACTTGCATCTAGAAATTTTACTTTTGGAAATGTTTTCTAAACTGTCAGATTAAAAACGTGCTGTCAAAAGTACAATGTTGCCAGTAAGCCTCAAATATTTAAAAAATATTAATTTAATTGATATAAACTCATTTAAATATTGATTTTGTTATCGGAAATTATATATTTTCTTTTCATAAATAGAAATAAACATTTAAAAATAAATATAGATAGAATTTACGTAAATAAATTGAATAAATTGTAGCCGTTGCTTGTTTTGTTTTGACTGGTCAAGGTCACGATTCAAATCTTTGACATTTTTGACATCCGTTGTTGGTTGTTGCGCAAAAGAAGGAAATATCCCGCGCATTGCATCGCATTCTCTGTTGACGCTCCGTCGTGCGCGGCTCTTCGGATACCTTAGAGACGCGCCAAATAACCGCGCGTTTTGTGCATTTTGTTCCGTTTCACGCCTTCCGCTTCGCCAAAAGCGTCGTCGGCGATTTACAACCATCGTTGAGCGCCTCACCAGGACACCATGGCGCACATCAACGTCGACAAGGAGACGTTCCAGCGGCGCCTGAGGAGGTTATATCAAGCATGGCTAAAGCCGGATGGCGAAAACGGTTTCGCCAAGATGGACTGCCTCGTGACGGCCGTCGGCGTCGACGAAGACACCGTCTACAGCAAATCCGGCGCGCTGCAAACCTGGCTCTTCGGTTACGAACTAACCGACACCATCATGGTATTCGCCGAAAACACGATCTGCTTACTCGCCAGCAAGAAGAAGATCGACTTCCTCAAACCGGCGGAAACCAGTAAAGACGAAAACGGAGGCGTCGCAGTCAAACTACTGGTACGTGACCGTAGCGACAAGGATGAAGCCAACTTCAAAACATTAATCTCAACCATCAAAGAGTCAAAAATGGCAAAACATTAGGAGTATTCTCAAAAGAAAACTATGTCGGTGAGTTTATGGACGCATGGCGGGCTGCGCTGAAAAAAGAAAACTTCGAAACTGTAGACGTTGGTTCAGCACTCGGCTATGTAATCGCGCCGAAAGAAGAATCCGAATTAATAACAATCAAAAAAGCAAGCATGGTAACAGTAGATGTTTTTAATAAATATCTCAAAGATCAAATCATGGAGATCATTGACTCAGACAAGAAAGTTAAACATAGCAAACTCTGTGAAGGTGTTGAGTCAGCCATCACAGACAAAAAGTATGTTACAGGGGTGGACACCTCACAGGTAGACATGTGTTACCCAGCTATTATTCAATCCGGAGGCAATTACAGTTTAAAATTCAGTGCTGTCACTGATAAAAACACCTTGCACTTTGGTTCAATTATTTGCATCCTAGGAGTAAGATACAAAAGTTATTGTTCAAATATTGCCAGAACTTTGCTTGTAAATCCATCCGAAGCTGTTCAAGCAAATTATAATTTTCTTCTCAACTTAGAGGAGGAAGTACTTAAAAAGTTGCAACACGGTGTAAAGTTATGTGACGTTTATGAGACAGGTTTGGGTTATGTGAAGAAAGAAAAACCTGCTTTGGTTGAACACATGACGAAAAATTTCGGTTTTGCTATGGGGATTGAGTTCCGAGAGGGATCGCTGACAATCCAAGCGAAAACTATGGCGAAAGCGAAAAAGGGGATGGTTTTTAACGTGAATATCGGTTTTCAGTCGCTGACGAATAAAGAAGCGACTGATAAAGAAGGAAAAACTTACGCGTTGTTTATCGCTGATACTGTTATGGTTAATGATGGCGCTGCGGCTTCGGTTATCACAGTTTCAAAGAAAAAAATTAAAAATATTGGTATTTTCTTGAAGGATGATGAAGATGAGGAGGAAAATGATGAAGAAAAAGAAAACACTCCGAAGCCAGAGTTGGTAGGTCGCGGTAAACGTACGGCTGTTATCGAATCAAAATTGCGTTCAGAACACACCAGTGAAGAGAAACGTAAAGAGCATCAGAAAGAACTTGCGATTGCACTCAATGAAAAAGCTAAAGAACGACTGGCAAAACAAGGAGGAGCGAAAGATGTCGAAAAAGTACGCAAAAACACAATTTCCTACAAGAATTTCAATCAAATGCCGCGTGTACCCGAAGTTAAGGAATTGAAACTTTACGTTGATCAAAAATACGAAACTGTCATTTTACCCGTCTATGGTATACCTGTACCGTTTCACATCAGCACGATTAAGAATATTTCACAGAGTGTTGAGGGTGATTACACTTATCTGCGTATTAATTTCTTCCATCCGGGTAGTACCATGGGTAAAAACGAAGGCGGTACTTACCAGCAACCAGACGCCACTTTTGTTAAAGAAGTAACCTATAGGAGTACGAATACTAAAGAGCCGGGTGAAATCTCGCCGCCATCTTCGAATTTGAATACGGCTTTCCGATTAATTAAAGAAGTGCAGCGAAAGTTTAAGACAAGAGAACAAGAGGAGCGTGAGAAGGAAGATTTGGTTAAGCAGGATACGCTTGTATTGTCACAGAATAAGGGTAATCCGAAGCTGAAAGATTTGTATATTCGGCCGAATATTGTCACGAAGAGGATGACTGGCAGTTTGGAAGCGCATTCGAATGGGTTTCGGTATACTTCTGTCAGGGGTGATAAAGTAAGGTTATTTTATTGCGTTTTTGGCAGGTTTTTGATTATTTTTTATTGTTTTAGGTTGATATATTGTATAACAATATCAAAAACGCATTCTTCCAGCCGTGCGATGGTGAAATGATTATTTTGTTACATTTTCACTTGAAGCACGCGATTATGTTTGGTAAAAAGAAACATGTAGATGTCCAGTTCTATACTGAAGTCGGTGAGATTACGACAGATTTAGGCAAACATCAACACATGCATGATCGGGATGACTTGGCGGCTGAGCAGTCTGAACGTGAATTGCGACATAAGTTAAAAACTGCTTTTAAGAGTTTTTGCGAAAAGGTATTACATAAAAATTCCAATATTTTACTGTTTTATTAATTTTTATTTAATTTTAAAAGGTTGAAAGCATGACAAAACAAGAAATTGAATTTGACACACCGTTCAGAGAGTTAGGATTCCCCGGAGCGCCGTACAGATCCACCGTTTTACTTCAGCCAACTTCCGGTTGTCTTGTGAATCTCACCGAATGGCCGCCATTTGTAATCACGCTGGAAGACGTGGAACTATTACATTTCGAACGTGTACAATTCCACTTGAAGAATTTCGATATGGTGTTTGTTTTTAAAGATTATGGCCGTCGAACAGCCATGGTAAATGCAATTCCGATGAACATGCTGGATCATGTAAAGGAATGGCTGAATTCATGCGATATTAGGTATGCGGAAGGTGTGCAGTCGTTGAATTGGGCGAAGATTATGAAAACAATCACCGATGATCCGGATGGATTCTTCGAAAGCGGAGGATGGACGTTTTTGGATCCGGAATCTGACGAGGAAAATCAAGCAGCTGAGGAGGATAGTGAAGCAGAAGATGAAGTTTATGAACCGTCGGATGTTGATTCATTCTCGGAGGAAAGCGAAGAAGATTCTGAGTATTCCGAGGGTGATACTGAAGAGGATGATGACGATGAAAGTAACAGTGATGAAAGTTTAGGTTTGTTTTCATTTTTTGTTTATTTGTTTAATATATTTATTAATTTTATTAATATTATAGCGAGTGATGAAGAATCCGGTAAAGATTGGTCCGATTTGGAGCGTGAAGCTGCCGAAGAAGATCGTGAACGTGGCGATTATCGCGGCGAAGATTTCGCCGGCAAAAACCGAAAAGGTGCACCGCCGTCATCTTCGCGTGACAAACACAAGTCGAAACATAGCAGTAAACATGGCAGCAGCCGCGATAAACACAATAGTTCCCGTGAAAGTCAAAGCAGTCGTGATCGCGACAAGCGCAAGGATCGCCACAACTCACATTCGAGACATTCCTCTGGGTCCAAGAACAGCCACCACTCGAAAAAGGAGTCGCCTTCCAAGGATAAACACCGCGATAGAAAACGTTCTCGCGATAGCAGCGGCGATAAACACAGGTCGAAACGATCGAGGAAATAAATTTCAAACACACACACAAACGAATAAGTTTAAAACCAGTACACACACCATAAATACAAATCGAGAACTCTGAAACACAATTCGATGTGATTTACCTTTTATACCCCCGGTGCGAGGATGTGGACGTTGATGTTTCCTTGCTATGTGCTTTTAATACACCTATTTATAAGTAACAGATAAAAACATGTAACACTTGTACAAAGACACGTTTTTAGGTTTTTGTAGATTGATTTTTGAGTAGGAAAGATCACACATGAAAGTACCGCGCATAATGTTAGTAATTCGTTAAGTTTATATCGCTTAAATAAGTTAATTGATATTCCATGAGACATTTTCATAAGTTATTAATTCTCTGTTTTGAAAAGTTTATGTGCAGCCATTCGTGGTTTGAATTATGTCATCAAACACATATTTGTATTCTGGATGTACTAGTTTAAGATTAATTAAATTTATTTTTCAACTAATGCATGATGTTGCGCTTTTGGAAACAGTCGCATTGGTTACAACTGGAAAACTTATATTCGACTTTGTATTAGGCAACCAACATTACAGATTTTTATCTTCAAATTATGCGGTTAAGCGTAGAACTAAACCTAAAAACAGGCTCGGTGTACAGAGATTTCGCTCCGTTGGAAAACGTTAAGATTTAAAGGGTTAATAATAATTAAATCCACACGAAAATGGTAATAATTTATACAATTAATAATTAAAAACTTACTAATTCAAATTATTTTCCAGTTACCTTTATCGTTGTTAAGGACTGCTCAAAATCATCCAATGGTAAACCTTTTAACCTCAAAGAATAAAACAATTCTTTAAAATTATTTTTTAACTTTACAGTTGGTTGAATTGAAAAATGGAGAAACCTACAATGGGCATTTGGTTAGTTGTGATAATTGGATGAATATTATTCTCCGTGAAGTTATCTGCACATCAAGAGTAAGTCATAGTTAACTTGTGATTCTAATAAGAATAATAAATTGAAAAATGTCTAGGATGGTGACAAATTCTGGAGAATGCCTGAATGTTACATTAGAGGCAGTACTATTAAGTATCTTAGGATTCCTGATGAAGTAATTGACATGGTCAAAGAAGAAGCAACCATGAAAAATCGTACTAGGGACAATAAGGGTGGTGGAGGAAGAGGAGGCATGCAAAATCAAAGAAACAGACCTTCTACCAGAGGTAAATTAATGATTACAAGAAATTTAATATGTTTTATTACTTTTCTAGGTTCAAATCAAGCAAAATTTAATTTTTCCATTCTTATAATGTGTTTTAAATGTATTTTTGTAGGTAATTTCAATGGTAGAGGGGGCAAACAAGGTGGACCTGGAGGTGGTGGTGGTGCCGGCCGCTCAGGTATGGCCAAACCACAATTGTTCAACAAGAACAAACCTAAATAATTACCATATAACAATTTTTCAATTTACAATTTATATTAATTTAATTTCTGCAAATTTCGTATTTAATTTAATTCCAATTTAAAATAATTGCTAATGAAATACAGTAATCAACTTTATTGATGTGCAACAATATTTTCTTTTTTACATAATACATTATTTTAGTTTCATAACTACCACCGAAAATATTTATAGGATTTTCACTCTATTTTCAAATTTGTTGACAGTAATTATTGACTAGGAGTGCATAAACATTGACTAGGTTGTGAACATCACTTTTTTTAATGTGCATTATTTATAACATGTGCAATTGTTGATAAATACGTTTAGCTTAGAGATAGGTCCATTGAAATTTCGTTAAGCTGTACAATTTGCAGGAAGACCCATTTGATTTGATTTCGTTTTCCGGCAAACTTAGCAAATTAGCACAACGTTTTACATATTTACCTGAAAATTGCTACAATTAGTGTGATATTTTTATTAATATTCGTTGATTTACGTTTATATAATTAAGAAAACATGCAACTGATTAATTTACATTAACATCGCTTTCGAAAACACATTAAATTGTAGCGATACTTACTAGAGAAGATATTTGAAAGAACGATAAAGCATATGTATAGACTGCAAGGTAGCAAAGTAACAATTAGTAGCGCTGAAGAATGAGTTTGTGTTAAGGCCGTAATCCGCCATCAGAACATCGATATAATCACACAGCTAGGATCATTAAATTGACGAGAGATTTATGTCTTCGACCGCGGACGCAATCGAATTCGACATGTACGAGTTTGTGTTTGGTACGGCGGGTTCGAGATCTTCGCTATTGATTCGCAGAATTGGGCCGGGCTTGGCCGAACTGAAAGAGTTTGCCAGAAATACAACACCGAGCACAACAACGACACTGAGAAGTCGAAAAGTAACACACATCAAAACAAATAAACATCTAACAATTTATTAACAGTTAAATTGTTGTTAGTATTTGTTTTAATGTTCATTAATTGATCGACAAGTTTACCTTGCGAGTTCTTCCTGTAGCTCCGTCATAGTTTTACTGCATTCTGCGAAATAACGCGATTGTGTTTCGACGAATTCGTAGAGCAAACGCATATGCGTGTTATGCGAATTACTGATGCCTTCCAGTAATAAACGAGTAATTTCCACCTGGCGATCAAACTCGGATTGCGCGATTCTTAAATCTTTTTCAGCCTAAAGAAAAAGTTTAAATATTTGGGTAAGTTTTACTGTTTTAATAATATTTACCTGATCTAAAGTGATTTCAGGAGAGACGCCATCTTTCTACAACATTTAATGATGTTAAATGATTAGTATATAGTTTTAAATGTCATTTTTAACTTACAGTTGGTTGTCCCAACATGCTACGAGCTTTCCTCACACGATTTTTGCAAGCGTCCAAATCAAGCCTGAAAATAACAAAAAATTACCAATTTGGACAATTTCCTACTAAATATTTACCTTTTTCCTTCTAAAACACCTTTCTCTTTGATAATATTCTTCATTTCATTATCCAAAAATTTCCTCAGGGGTTGTGTGTACCCTATTCCAGCTGACCCAATAAATTCCCTTTCGGTCTGCCCGAGTCTTTGCTGACAAAGACCAACTTTAATCAACGCTCCGCCATAGCCTGTCCCTGGCCCAAAAACATTTCCTGCTTCAATCATATCCAAACCCAGGTATTCCATGTTGGTAAGCCGAGCAGGTTTCTTCTTCTCTATCTTTTCATAAACAAAATCTTCAATTCTATTACCAGGATTAGGCATTAACACCGCCTCGGTGTTCTTCACAAGTTTTTCCGTCCATTGTTTGGTAGCATCTGCACGATCCCACAGATTCTCAAATTGGCCATCAAGTTCTGTGCGTTCGGCATGACCAATTTTCTCTTCGGCAAACTAAACATCGCATAATTAATAATTTAAATATATTTATAGTTTATTATATGAAATTCTTGCCTGTACAGCTCGACTGATTGCAGCCCCAGCATCTTTAACGATATTCTTCAAATTGAAGTTCTCCATTGTTTTGCAATATCTTGTTTCGTCCTTTCCTTAGTGATAATCGATGTATTTCGAGGCGGTACGCACTGGGCCGGATGTTACAGCACAAACGCGCGGTTCTGCCACCTAGGGTAGTCCCCGACAAAAATCAATAATAACCTTTTAGAATTATAAAATTAATTATTTATTATTTTTTTCAACTAACACTGAACTGTGAAAACGTTGGTCCTGGAGGATTAGTTGTTGTTGGCGCATTAGTCGCATTGAACCGCACGCAACTGGACAATTATTGGATTTCCGCTTTGCGTTGTGGCTGCCATCTTATTGGCACGCTGAAAGCTTATCACTGCGTGAATAAAACAATGGATGGCGCAGGTGATACTGTTTTTTTCACAGGACTTTCTTTTAAAAGTATCTGCTTGGAAAGTAAAGATTATAAGGCGTTTACAATATTATCAATTATTATATTATTTTATAATAATTTTATTAAGATGTTTTATCATTTTCATATGAACAAAAAAAGTTACATTCTACGAATTATTGCGAACAGTTGCGGTGGAAAACTATTTGTATCTCGCATTTCCCTAGCACGATTTTAATTGTGTTTTTTTTTTCAGATTATTGAAGAAGAGTTGGATAATTCTTTGGACTGCATTTAAATACCATCAAGTATTGAGGAGTCCTCATAAATCGATCTCCAATTAAATCAATTTTGGTCATATTCTAAAAATGTGTTCACAGTTTAGCTTACGCGCGATGCTTGTATGTAAACAATGTTTTTGTCGCGTTCAGCGAACGTATCACGCAATACTGATAGTGACCTCGTGTTGTAGCTGTTGGATGTGTGCAGTACGACGCGCATACAGTTCCATTCCTACCGTTGGGTAAATCGCGCGTGTTAATCGCGACTAGTCCGGTTTCTTCAAATCATAAGTAAATCAATTGGCTTATATTTGTTAAAAAATCTACGGCATATACTAGAATCGGGCGTGACTGGGGTTTTACAAGTGTGATGGCACGCGTTTAGTATTTATCAATCGCGGATTTATTATCGGTTTACCTGGGTGCGCGTGTGTACGTTGGCAATCGGTTATCTTTTCGTTAAGAATATGTTGTATTTATAGTTAATTCGTGCAAGTAGGCAACGCTGGTGTCCAGGGACGAAGTTTGTGAGTGCCCTAGCTATGGAACTTGCAATATCAAAATTGTTGGAGCTGCGCGTATTTTAAAGCAAGTCTGCTGCGGGATTTGATAACGTCGATGTTTACTATTTAAAAAATGTACATAGGTAATGTTAAATATTGTCAATAAAACACAATGTAAAATTATAATCTCATTCATATTTCTTTGTGATATCCTCTTTGTCGTTTTCAGTTTTAAATAATATGACATATAAGTCTTATGTGTGAGCAGCGGGTATGAGACAGCTAACTGTTGCTTAAATTGTGTTGTTGTTTTTAAAAACATGATAAGAAACATAAATAGAAGAATCAAATATTAATGTTAAAAACACTCGGTGGTCGAGTGGAGACGTGCACCTGCTGGCATGCTAGCAGACACGGATCGAATCTCAGGTATAGAAGGCATTTTTCTCAAATATAAAAATATCAGGTGCAATTTGGGTTGCATATAAGAATTGTAACGAAATATAAGAGAAATTGAAATACAAGTGAAGGCAATATGAGAAATATGAAAGCAAGTGGAGGAGCGGGAACAGAGAAATAGAAGAAGAACAAGGAGTAGCAGAGAAGAGAAGAGTAGAGACCGAAAGAAGAGAACAGTGTAGAGAAGAGGAGAAGATAGAAGAAAGAGAGAATAGGGGTGACGGAATTTTTAAATTTTTTGGCACGTGTCGTTATAAGACAGTCTACGGCCCACTGCTTCGGTTCGTCCATTGCTCCCGGCCCATCCTACAGCTACGATGTCTCTGCGCTTCATCCCCGAAATTATCAGGCATATTAACAATTTTTATGGTGGGGGATCACCCCCAGAGAGGGAGAACTCCTAATAAGGACAATCCTTATAAGAACTTGTACAAATATTTCTAAGTTTTAAGTCGTCTCAAGAGAGGTGACACTTAAAAACATTCTTACAAATTCTGACCTGTACCTGAAATGAAGGAAGGAGTACACAAATCATACAGGTTACCTTAACAATTTTTATAGAGGGGATCATCCCCTGAGAGAGGGAACTCTCTTAGAGACCTGTTCCTGAAATGATAGAAGACGAATACACAAATCAAAGAAGTCAATGTATCTTACTATTTCTTTATTAACAATAGAATACAAGTTTAGATTTTACAAGTCAACAAAATACATGTTGCCATATTGAAACAGGACTTACGACCTGCTTAGCCGCGCACATATCAGCAAGTACTACTTGATAAAGTTCTACTAGGATAATGAAATTAGTAAATAGCCAATTTTCTAGGTGACTGAAAATGGAAAACAAATATACAGGGTGTTACAAAAGGAAAATTTAAAGTGTAAACAAAAAACTCTCAACACCACAAATATCATTCGTTTTTCACCCGAGACTCAGGGAAACTAATATACAGGGTGTCACAAAAAGAAAATTCAAAGGGCAGTGAGAAGAACCCTAAAAACACCATATGAAGTCAAATTTTCACGGACACAAAAGAAAACTAATATACAGGGTGTACCAGAACAAAAATCCAAGTTCAAAACAAAGAACACTCGAAACTTACAACTAAAGCTGATTTCCTATGTGCTGTTAGGAAAACTAATAGGTATACAGGGTGTTGCAAAAAGAAAATTTTAGAAACTACAAAGGGAAGCAATATTTATAATACGAAGAGGGAAATTTACAAATTAACAACAATATTTTAATATAAAATCAGAGATTTTACCCGAAAATCATCGGAAAATTGAGCAAAAAGTTGCTACAAAAATAAAACACTTACATTTTAATACATTATGAATATATATTTATTAATTGATGGTAGCATAAACTGTATAAGGTAAGCGACGAGTAAAGCATCATCATAAATTGATGGAATATCCGGCGGAAAACATCTAAATCAACACCCGGCAAGCGACGGCGCGTAACAACACAGTGGTTAAAGACGATAAAATTAACTCTTTCTTTGTAAATATTCAGATATACTAAGGCTGCGAAAACTAAAAACTATTCACCGTTCAGATTTTATTTCAACAATAAATTATTCATTTAATGATGCAATTCGATTAAAATGTTTCGTGATCATTGAAAACATGACCGAACCGACGGCCGACGGCAAAGTGAGCGCGGTCGACAACACGAATATTGTCATTTTAATAATCCTCAGATAATTTTAAAAACCGTGCTTGTAATAATTAAATCAAGCATGTTATTTTGGTAACGCGACTAAGAAGAATTCGTATAAACATTCCACCACGGGTTTGTAATCTACAAAATTAATATCCCTCGGATAGAATAACTAATTTAAGTTAAATCCCCTTAAGTTTCCGCGATACATTTTATTTATCCACCTACCTGTGCATTGATGAGGAGATTTTCTATCCTGAAATATATTCTATCAACTGAAAACTCGCGCAGGGATTAACATACAGTTATTTCTCACTTAAGAAGACTCTAACCGCCATAAATTATTAAACAAAACCGGCACATATGTCCGTCTCGAACATTTAGCTGACGGCCGAAAGAATACACAACGATTAATCCAATTAAAATCTTAAAACGCATGGCGACCAGAGAGACACGATCGCGGACCACGCGGTGAAACGACTGCCGTGTGCGCCGCGCGTAGCCAGGTACAAGGCAGGTACGCAGCAATAACACGCGTCACTCGAACAAAAAAAGTTGTTTATACACAAACGTACTGATAAACACGTAGTTGAGATTACTAAACTATAATTTACAATAATGAAATAGCACATTCACAATATCGGGCCTAATTTAAATATTCACTTAAATGGGCAAAGGGGGGTGCTGCGTCATGTTTTTTTGAGTATTTTTGGTAAGGAATATTATTTAAACTAAAAACGTTAGCGACCAACGTATTAAATATTATGAAATTTTGGAAAATTCTCAATCAAATAAAAGAATAAAATAATTAAATTTCTTGCGCTAAAACGTACAAAAATAATTTATATTTTATGAATACGACTCACTTCTACCGCAACCTTCGTACGGTGCCCTGAACACGACTCACTTCTACCGCTACCTTCGTACGGTGCCCTAAACAAGAGTCACTTCTACCGCGTACGGTACCATGAACACGAGTCACTTCTACCGCTACCCTCGTACGGTGCCATGAACACGAGTCACTTCTATCGCTACCTTCGTACGGTGCCCTAAACACGAATCACTTCTATCGCCACCCTGCTACAGTACACCGAATGAGACTCCACTACATACCGAGTACTACAGCGCAAACACACAACTTCCAATATAACTCGCGTATCGGAATTGTTTTGCAATAAATTTCAATACAGGGAGATACGGAATTAAATTCTGCACCTGGAAAAATTATTCCGAACTTATTGTGACTCCGCGTTCGCGTGTTATAAATTGAAAAAAAAACTACAATCCCAAGCGCTACGAGTACTAGTGCGTAAACACACAACTCTAAATATAACTCGCGTTACGGAATTTTCTCGCAATAAATTTTAATACAGGAAAATAAAGAATTAAATTCCGCATCTGGGAAAATTATTCTGAACTAAGTTTAAGACCGCGTTCGCGAGTTATAATAAAAAAAAACTACAATTCCTAGCGCAACGAGTTCGAATACAAGCGCGTATACACACAATTATCATTATAACTCGCGTTACGGAATTTTCTCGAAATAAATTTCGATACAGGGCAATAAAGAATTAAATTCCGCATCTGAAAAAATTATTCCGAACTAAGTTTAAAACCGCGTTCGCGGGTTATAATAAAAAAACTACAATTTCTAGCGCAACGAGTACAAGTGCGTATACACACAACTATCATTATAACTCGCGTTACGGAATTTTCTCGAAATAAATTTCGATACAGGGAAATAAAGAATTAAATTCTGCATGTGGGAAAATTATGCTGAACATATTGAGACACTAAAAGTGCTAAAAAGTGACATTTATCAATTTTTGTCCATTTTATTCAATCGCGAATATCTCGTAAACGAAAAGATATAAATAAGATCTGATCGCAGCGTCTTAATCTACGGACCAATCTCTATCAGATAGGATAGTTAAAAGGGAAATATGAGAGATGAAATTTTCAATCTTAAGAAAAAAATTGCCAAGGGGGGGGTGCTTGATACTTTTTTTCGACGATTTTCAAAAATTCATATCTCTTAAAGTAAAAGAGATAGCTACCAACGAATTGTTGATTATGAAAGATTGGAAGATTCTCTATCGGATAAAAATATAAAATAATTATATTTCCTACAGTAAAAGGTCGAAAAACGCGATTAAAAGTGCTAAAAAGTGACATTTTGCAATTTTTGCCCATTTTATTCAATCGCGAATATCTCGTAAACGAAAAGAGATAAATAAGATCTGATCGCAGCGTCTTAATCCACGGACCAATCTCTATCAGATAGGATAGTTAAAAGGGAAATCTGAGAGATGAAATTTTAAGTCTTAAGAAAAAAATTGCCAAGGGGGGGTGCTTGATACTTTTTCTCGACGATTTTCAAAAATTCATATCTCTTAAAGTAAAAGAGATAGCTACCAACGAATTGTTGATTATGAATGATTGGAAGATTCTCTATCGGATAAAAATATAAAATAATTATATTTCCTACAGTAAAAGGTCGAAAAACGCGATTAAAAGTGCTAAAAAGTGACATTTTGCAATTTTTGCCCATTTTATTCAATCGCGAATATCTCGTAAACGAAAAGAGATAAATAAGATCTGATCGCAGCGTCTTAATCTACGGACCAATCTCTATCAGATAGGATAGTTAAAAGGGAAATCTGAGAGATGAAATTTTAAGTCTTAAGAAAAAATTGCCAAGGGGGGGTGCTTGATACTTTTTTTCGACGATTTTCAAAAATTCATATCTCTTAAAGTAAAAGAGATAGCTACCAACGAATTGTTGATTATGAAAGATTGGAAGATTCTCTATCGGATAAAAATATAAAATAATTATATTTCCTACAGTAAAAGGTCGAAAAACGCGATTAAAAGTGCTAAAAAGTGACATTTTGCAATTTTTGCCCATTTTATTCAATCGCGAATATCTCGTAAACGAAAAGAGATAAATAAGATCTGATCGCAGCGTCTTATTCCACGGACCAATCTCTATCAGATAGGATAGTTAAAAGGGAAATCTGAGAGATGAAATTTTAAGTCTTAAGAAAAAAATTGCCAAGGGGGGGTGCTTGATACTTTTTTTCGACGATTTTCAAAAATTCATATCTCTTAAACTAAAAGAGATAGCTACCAACGAATTGTTGATTATGAAAGATTGGAAGATTCTCTATCGGATAAAAATATAAAATAATTATATTTCCTACAGTAAAAGGTCGAAAAACGCGATTAAAAGTGCTAAAAAGTGACATTTTGCAATTTTTGCCCATTTTATTCAATCGCGAATATCTCGTAAACTAAAACTGTTTTGTACACAAATGCAATAAAATTAACCTATATGAGAGGTGATGTTCAAATTTAAAGCTGCGTTTTACAAGTTGGTTTCCAATATTAAACCATAAATCTATCGTATGAGTGCTTTTCTTGCAACAATTAAATACAATCAAATAGAGAATTTAATCCTGCATATTTGGACCCCGCGCCCAAGTTTGTAAAACGTTACCGCCAATAACAAAAAAAAAATTAAATTCAGTAATGCTAACGCTTTAGTAGAAGGCTTTGCATAACGCGATAGACCGCGACAAAAAAACACGTGAATGCAAAGTAATGACCTACGCAGAAAATAAAACGAAATATATAATTGAACTAGTTAACCGGGCAAACGTTGTTTTGCCATATAAATTATTTCAAGTTTCTAGATAAATTTTAGTGTAGACAAAAAGTAATTTATTTATTATAAAAAATAGGGGTTGGTGATAAGAAACCAAAAATTTAGGGTTGTATGTATATTTTAATCCCACATTAAAAAAATAAAAACAAAAAATTTCGACCAAAATTTAAAAAAAATTAAGGGTGAACAACCCTTATCACTTAGAGATTTGAAGTTACCGATTCTCAGACCTACTGAATACGCATATAAAAATTTTCTTTGAGCGGGATGAAAAATGATTAAATTACTAAAATGGCTATAAAGAAATAGGGGTAGGTGATAAAAAACTAAAAATTTAGGGTTGTATGTATTTTTTTATTGCACATTATAAAAAAAATAAAAACAAAAGAATTTGTCCAAAAATTTAAAAAAAAGTTAAGGGTGAACAACCCTTATCACTTAGGGGTATGAAAAATAGATGTTAGCCGATTCTCAGACCTACTGAATACGCATATAAAATTTGGTAAGAATCGGTAAAGCCGTTTCGGAGGAGTATGGAAACAAACACTGTGACACGCAAATTTTATATATATAGATTATAAACTCACCAATGCAGAACTCATCAGACTCCAAGGCAAGGCAAATACTGTAAATAAAAATAAAAACATAAATAATATTATATTCACACAGCGGAAAAAAACAATCTGTGCTGTTTAGTTAAAAATCACTTACGCCAGCATGATGGGTCATCCAAATGATGAATAAATCAACATGGCCACGATATACTTACGCGCAAATAATTAATAACTGTACTAAAGTTACTAATGTCAAATTAAAATTAAATAGTCGATTAATAATCGAATATAATACGAATTTTAAAGTAGAAATCCCGGATAAACGATACGAGTCCCGCAAAATACACCTGGATCAACCAGAGACCGGCACGAAACTGGCCGCAAGAATTAATATAAAACTGTTAGTGATATTCATGAAAGAATTGAAGAATATTTGCTTATTTACGATGCTAATATAATACCTAGCAACGGTGTGTTTTGTTTCCACGAAATAAAGATTCGATACCTGCAGGTAAACAAACTTATCTCTTGCGCGAAATCGCGTGATCCACACGGACACGGTGTGCACTCACTACCACCAACAAGCAATATTTAATGCAAAACCGTACATCGTAGCGCCATCTAACCTTTGAAAATATTGATCAACTTAAAAATATTCAAAACATTTCTCACATAAGAAACAAGATTGATATTGCAATGAAATTGAAAACAACAAAAGTCATACACGAAACAAACCAGTATTTAATAAATGATTCATTTAATTTTTGGGTACGATAAACAATAAATATATCAGGTAGTGCTAAGTTGTTTCGTTTACATACATACATTTTTCTGCCGCAAGAAAAACCAAATGCATGATTGAGTGATTGTCACATTCCTATCGAAATCAAGTATTGTGCGGTTGTAAAAAAATGTTTTCATCCGTTCATTTCATCTGCGTGTATAAAGTGTTCGATCCCGACGCCATTCGCAACGAGCGCAATTGACTAACGTGCATGATATCAATTACGTTCGCAGTCACAGCGCGGAAACTTTTAAATATATTACAAACGAAACCAAACGACCCATCTTATTATTGTCTAATAATATCACAAGCGAGCCGCTCTTCATTACGTGCATGCGTGTGTGAATGTGTGAGTGTGAAAAACAGTTAATCACTCAATCGTCATTTATAAATAATTAGAATTAATGGCACTAAACCTAAGCTATATAAGAGTCGGATAGACACATATAGAGCGTATTCTATAAAGGCAGGTATGTAGCGATATCACGCGTCAGACGAACAAAAAAGTTGTTTATACACAAACATACTGATAAACACGTAGTTGAGAAGACAAAACTAAAATTTCACAATGTTGAAATAACCGACATACAGTAGAATCTTGATAACTCGAACCTTGTTAAGTCGTAATCCTCAGTAAATCGAAAAGATATGCTATTCCCTTCCGCCGAACCCCGAACGACGCAGTAACTCGAATTTTTTAGACTCAGTAACTCGAACAATAAGTTATTTCCCTGTGAGGCATTACTCGTACATTTTAATACTCAGTACCTCGAACTGCAAATTCCTACCTCAGTAAGTCGAAGTTCATAAAATAAATAAATGTTCTATGAAATTCTGCCTTTTTATGTCGAAATTTGATGAGTTACCTCTTCATATCTCGAAATTCTTGTTAAGTCGAAAACTTGCTATCTCGAATTTTTTTTGGTTTCCCTTGACATTCGAGTTATCAAGATTCTACTGTACATGAAATCTACTTTTACTTTCAATATTTCTCGGCATAAGAAAAGAATTTATCGACTTTGCGATGTAATAAGATGCCGTGTCATGTTGTTTTAAATATTTTTGGTAACGAATATCTTTTAAATTAATAGCGCTAGCGACAAACGGATTGAAGATTATGAAATTTTGGAAAATTCTCTATCAGGTAAAAATATATAATAATAAAATTTCGTGGGTTAAAAGGACCTGAAACCCTTTATATTTTATAAATACGACTCACTTCTACCCTTGTACGGTGCCCTGAATCGAGTCACTTCTACCGCTAGCCTTATACGGTGCCCGGAATTGAGTCACTTCTACCGCTAGCTTCATACGGTGCCTTAAACACGAGTCACTTCTATCGCCACCCTGCTACAGTACACCGAATGAGACTTAACTCAATCAACAAAACCCCTGCCTATCAGAATCCGATAAAAATATTGAACACAAAGAACACCCAAAGCTTTCCCGCAATATGATCCGTTTTCCATATTAAAGGTAAGTGAAATATACACGCCCTCCTCCCTAATTCGCCTGCTATTGCAACACGCAGGTGAAAGGCCATAAAACATTTAACCGACTGATATAACTTAATTATAAACTTACCAATGTTAAAACTTAACATTGAAATTTGAAATATAAACATCAAAAGTAAGCGAAAAAAAAAACATTTATGCACCTTAATCGCAAAATTACTTATTAAGAAAACACTGCAGATGCATATTACGACTAAGTCGATTGATGACCGAATATAATGATAACCATTTGAAAATAGATGTCTGATAAAACGAAACGCGTTGCGCGATATACGTCTGGGCACACCAAAGACCGGCACGAAACTAGCTGCAATCCGTCAATAGAGCATGCCGAAACTGCGCACGCAAGAATGCGGCAGTTCACGATAAGACTCTGTGCCTGCTGCATAAGCCCGGCAGGTAAAAGCAATAGATGCGCAAAGCCGGCGCGTCGATGGCAAGTGACCTTGTGTGCGAATTGCAATAGATGCGCAAAGCCGACGGCGCGTCGATGGCACGCGACCTTGTGTACGACAAGAATCTTACGCGTAGCATCTCGCACGTCGAATGCGATAAGAAAGTGGTTTATACACAAACTCTGATATGATTCAAAACGAATACAATTCTATTTTATGATTTTTAGTTAACGCTAGTGAACTAAAATTTAATTCATGAAATTATGATTTATGATTTGAGTTTTATTTAAGCATTTATTGAAGCAAATATTTCCGCAAAAGATACCAATTTTCTAATTGCAAGAAATCAAGAAAACAGATACTATGAATGATGAAAAATATTACTTACCAGTGTATCGAACATCGCAAATCAAATGGGAGTAGATACTAAAATAAAGAAGAAACAAAGCATTAGTTACACAATTTCGGACAATGAGTTCCGGCGGAACCCAAAGTTTACCATAAATTTTGTCTTGTTCTCCATAATTATTTAAATTAGTATTCGTACCAGGTCACACATGGAGCCAACGAATTGTGCAGAAGTCAAAAATGGTTCACACAAGTCCAAAATATTATTTATAATCACACACAAAGCCTACCGGCCGGCATCCGACGACAACCGACCAGAAATCCACGCGAAAATGTAATAAACACACAAAATATTGAATTCTGAAGATTACATACGCGATAAATATTAACCGAATGACCAAATACAGCAATTAACACTAAATTCAATTAAATATAACGCGATATACCGAATTTGCAACGAGAAACACGAATACTCGACTGTATATTCTTATCTTCTTATCTGCCGCATGAAGTAAGAGCTACGTGCCGGCATCACAACTGAGCACGTCGATTCACTCGCAGGAATATTTTTAGTTAAAACATGCATCGTTGCGCTACCTGAGAATACTTTATTGTACCTTTAGAAAATACGAAGCGTTTCAAAAAGTGTGGCGTACATGTGAGGCAGTGAGCGATTGCCTTGTATCAGTGAGTGGTCACGCACTTAAGTGGCCGTGTCCGTGTATCACACGTACTCGAGAGTGCGCATGCACCACCTTATCTAAACAAATAGCAATTTTTACACAAAACTCAAAACTTCAAATATAGAAGTCAATAGTTAAAATAATCAATTTATGTTGAATCGCCTTTAAGTAAATATATTTAAGTATGCACCAACCAGTTTATTGATGAAGAAATTTTAGATCCAGATATATATCTAATCAACTGACAACTCGCGCACAGATTAATTAAATAAATAGTTTAATAAATAATACAATTAAAATCTCAAAACACGAGACGATTAGAGGGACACGCTCGCGGACCACGCGATGATTCGACTGCCGTGTGCGCTGCGCGGAGCCGGGTACTAGGCATGTAAACACGTAGTTGAGAGGACGAAGCCTAAATACAATGTTTTAAGAATAACACACATACACACGGCGCACAAACTAGTGCACTAAAATATTATACGTCACTTTGCTATCTGGGAGGTTTTACGTGATAAATAAGATGGTGGACATTAATTTCCGGCATTTTGTGCTAAAATATCACTTAGGGACAATTTGTCTACTCAAATTAGTAAAAACTTTGTGTAGTCTTTGAGTTAAAATATGAACTTGTCAAATCTGACAAATTCATTGACAAAATTAAATTATCTTGTCATTATTATTTTCAATCAAAATCTGTAGTGATAGAATGTCCTTTTCATAATAAAATGTTCCTCATTATATGTTTCGATGGCGGGCCATAAGAAGATCACCAAAAAACTATCGGAAAAAGACAAATTACCACCGGATCCACCGGATATTAACGTAAGACGCGTTTTTCGAGAGCCCGTCGCGCATTCTCGCGGAATCAGCCTAGCAGCGAAAGATTCAGAATGGATCGGCATGCGTACCGATTTCGCCACAAATGATTCAAACACACTCTCGTTATTTCCGGGCGTTAAATTTTCGGATAGCACGGAAAGCACGACGGTCATTACGAAACTGCTTGTTGGCCAAACGGCCGATTTCAGCAGCGTACAGAGACCACAAAGACTTTTTATTAGCAAAGTAACAGAATACCATAAATATTACGTATAAAAAACTAAAATTAATTGTGTTTGTAGCATTTGTCAACGTTGCGAGAACAACCCAGAGAGGAATTCAACCCAAGTGAGTCGGACGTGTCTTCAGTTCTAAAGACAACTACAGAACGCAACACATCCGGATCAGATGTAGAATTCTACGATGATGACGACGATGAACCAAAAAGAGCAACACACACCAAGCGACGCAAGAAAAAGTCTGATGTGAAGGTGATACCGGGTGAAGCAAGCAGTGTCAGCCTCATTCCAGCCATTCGTAGAAAATCAGGTTCCAGAATGCGTCAGTCCGACGAGAGCAAAACAAAGCCAGCGCCTCAATCGTCAATCATGATAAAAACATCTACAGTATCCAATGATGCCGATGATGAATATCAGTCACAGAGCGAGGAGATCATCGCTAGAAAGCACGAAGACCTTGACTAGGACATGAATATACATAGATTCAAACCCAATTCGTTACAATTGATTTATTTCTTCGTCATTTCCGACTTTATACAGCTATGTTCTGCCTTGGATGCAAAAATCTCATCCAAGCTGATGTCCCCTATCGAACATCAATATTTTTTCATATATATTTATAATCAAATATCAGTTACATGGAAGCATGTTTTTAGTACAAAAATCAATATGATTATGTTACCAAAAAAGGGGAGGGAGGTTGCAAAAACGGTCGAGTATCCCAAAGAACATTGATCAACATACACCCTAAGTAAGAGAGCTGCCATTGGTTCATTCAGTCATTAGAAAACACTATGCGATTAAATCTAAGACACAAAACGTCAAATTGAGGAACAACACGTTTTTTTTTTTTCTTCCTTCGAATGTGTGAAATATGAGTACGCACCATGTAAATGCTTATAAAATGCTACACCTAGTGACAATGATGATGATGATGTCATAAAACGTGTAAAAACTGTACACATTTCTGAATCGATTTGGTGAGCTGAGTCAAGCACAGTGCAGAGTGTGAGTGTTTTGCAACCGCATCCAGGGCCTACATCGCATCCTAATCAAAGTGAAATTTTGTTAATTAAAAACCAAAAGAAAAACATGTTCCAAACCCTACCCTTAAGTAATTATTGCTTGTCCCTAATAAGTAGGTATACACACTCTAAAGATAAATGCAAGAGAAACTGAGTTGCAACTCAATTTCTCCTGATAACAAAAAAAAATCTCATCCATAAAACATTAGATAAATGTATTAAATGTGTTTAGCTGCAAACGGCTTCAGTTGTCCTTCCTTCTTCTCAGATTCCCATCCCATTGTGATTATATATTATTTAGCTACGTTACTAATCTCGTGCGTTTGTCCGTAGTGTTCGCGACTTAAAATGAACTTAAGCGGTGTCGATCTCAGCGTTTGTTCGACCATACGTAGTGAATGCAGCGTCGCACCACGCCGAAATCAAAATCGCCGAAGAGCATATGTCATTGCGACTTCATACTGACCAGCTTCCTGCTGCGCGCCCGCACTTCCTGTCGCGTGTTGGTGTACTCGAACCAAAGCACATTTGGTATTAAAGTTGTGTCACGTAGGAGTAAAAACTCGGACATTTTCCTATAACAAAAGCAACAATTTAATTCACAAACATAAAAATTAACTATTATTTTATAGATAATATTATAATCATTGTAATAACACCAAAAACAATGAAGTTTTCATGTTTATTTATATAAATATTTACATTTTGATTACATAGGTAGCATTGTAGTTGACCCAGCGCTCTCAGCAGTCAGACAACTAATTGTACCTCTAAACGATACTAAATCTAACAATTTCTTGTTCATTTCCTGCGTTGAAATCACCGCACACTCTTCAGTCTTTTGCCAAACATCCTTCACATCCCAAAATTGAATCAGTCCATTCGAAGAACCCGAACACACGATTGTATCATTCGAACACCACAATAAATGCGTAATTAAAACAACATCCGGTGTTTTAATTTCATAAATTTGCTGGCCTTTCGTGAGATCCCAAATTCTAATACTTTTATCATCTCCAGCAGTGGCTAACATTTTTCCATCCTCGCTGAATGCGCTTGCGTAAATTGTCCCTGTACTACCGAGAAGTAATCTTACAGGACATGAATCTTCCATTGTCCACATTCGAATGGCTTTATCGCTTGATCCAGACACAAAATATTTTCCATTCGGATGAAACTGTACACTTGTAATTTCTTGAGTGTGGCCTGCGTATAGTCTTAATGGATATTTGCTTTCATAGCTCCATAATCTACAAGTGTGATCATACGACCCGGAGACAAATACAGACCCACAAGAACTCGGCGATAGACAATACACAGGATATTCATGCGCTTGATACGTCGTATGTAGTTGATAATCAGTCAAATTAAATAGTTTTATTGTTTTATCCTGACTGGCTGTTAATAATACATTACTCAACATTTTCATGTCGTAAATACTGCCGGAATGTTCGTAGAAAATCACATCTCCAACCGAATCTGTGTTGGGAAGTTGTTTTAAAGTCTCTATTGAGCTGAGGAATATCATATTGTCATAACTGTATGCACACATTCCTAAATTATTATCTACACAACCTGCAGTTGCATCTCCTTTCAGATTACCTAGGTTTACTGAATAAATTGGTGGAGGTCCAGTGTTAATCAGTGCTATGACATCTTTTAAATGTTCCACTTCATGTTCTACATCCATTTTGGAATCAGTCACACTCTCTTCACATTCAGGATCTTCCTCTTCTCTGATGTTAAACCACATTTGTATGATTTGCAGCAGTATCACATGACTGCTTTCAGCTAGATATTTCTTCAATGCTCGTACGGATTTACTGCACAAGTTCACACAGTATTTGTTTGATCTAAATGCTTCTTTCAAATTTGATGAATCACTCTGGCCTTGTAAGATTTTCAATAGTTTTGTTATTGTGTCATCACTGTTTAGTTTTTCAACACTTGGTAGGTGAAATTTGAAGAAGTGTGAGGTGGACTTCTGGAGGAGTTCCATGGATTCTTTATCCTTTTGTACTTTTTGATGTAGTTCAATGAAGAAGTGGCAGAAGAGTGGTGCTACTATTTTATGTAGATCTTGATGATCACTGCACTTATGCACAATGTCATTTATCCACTGAACAAATTTGGAGAACGTGTGCTCGATGATCATCGGATCACTGCTGAATGAAGAGAATGCGATGGAATTGTTTCTGCTGGTTTCATTTTGCACGGTCGCGTTGAGGATCATTTGTGTTTCGTTGATTTCGCGCAGTTGTGTGACGGCGGGATAGTTGCGCCGCTGCAGGTATGACTTGAGGGTTTGAGATAGTTGTTCGTTTAGCGGGAAACGATTTTCCATTGTTGGTACATGCATTAAAGAACTTTGTTTGTGAAAAGTTAGTGGCAAGAGAACTGACCAAAACAGACGATTGTCGCCTAACTTGTTAGGTTATGATTGCTGCTAACGGTAACGTTATAAAGGCTGTTTCACACCAAACAAGTCATACGTCGGTGCGAATATTGGTATGTAAATATTCGTTTATTTTGAAAGGAACGAACGAAAATGAATAAATCACTTGCATTATTGTGGTTAAGCTTAATTTTAAGCTTCGTGCATCCAAAGGGGTGTAATCATTGCAATAGGTAACATATATGGCCGCTTTTGAAAATATTCAATAACTTCACCAAGTTTTGTTTTAAATACAACAAAACAAAAAACAAACCAAAGTTTAACTACAAAGTTGATATTTCCGAACTTGGCACCAACGCAATATTGCCCATTCAATCGGAACAGATCAAAGTAATTATTGCATTACCTTCCTAATTTTAACTCTTATTCATGCCAAGTATTGAAATGTCAACTGCTGTCATGCTTACTAATGCAAATGCAAATGTAAACATTTCATTTTGATTTATAGGAATAGAAATAAGTAGACTTACCAAGATACAATTGTTGGAAAGAGTGGTGTGAACACAAGGTATGTTAATGTGAACCAAAATGTGGCAAACATCATGCCAACAACTGAGCCAAAAATAACTTGAGACACAGTGTGGTATTGCAAATATATCCGACTAAAGCAAACAATGACTGCCATCAAAACTGATGAGGATATTATGAGAAATTTGGACACATTCTCAATTATTGTATTATTGTTCAAATGATGTAGTCTGCAACAAGAAATTAACTTAACATATCACATAATCAGTAAAATATTGCTGACATACCTGATGAATACAAAATATATCACATATGTAGCAAAAAACCACACAAATTGTGCATGTGATGAGGGCATTCCATACTCATTATACTCACTGGACCTTGTCATTGGTCTGGGCTCTTGAATGGTGTGCTTAAGGAAATAATTCAAGCCCTCACTCACCAGTGTCCCCAAGAAAAATGTGATCTACAACAGATGATTGTTAATCCATTGACATACTTTCATATAGCTAGAATTAAGTTGTGCTTACTGTGTGTAAATCTCTTCTAAAGAGTATCAGCGTGACGAAACCTGCGCCTATGCCAAATGGAGCAAGGCTTATTAAAGCTAGAAGCTTGCCCACGGTATCCCCTGCAAGGAAATCATTGATGTTGATGTTTTGATCCGGACTGAGGTTAACAATAGAACATTCGCTCACCTTTCGGATACTCAACGAATGTCAATGAGAACGGCGTCCATTCTATTTCGTTATTAATCGGTTGTGTCAGATATGGAATGTTAATATCTACTGTGTCCATTTTTCATTTTCCTTATTAGCAAGGAGTGATGAATTCACAACTTCAGAATCATAACAGCGAACGAATAGCGTGCGACTGGCGCAGAATCCATAGACCTCCTACAAACATATGACACTGTGGCGTCTGGTTGGAACTATTGGAAGGATGGAATGGAAGGGACGCACAATATGCACGCATAGCTCAGTGGAAAGTAAAGGCAGACACACACTAGTCGAGTTAGATCGCATTCCGGAATATTTATTTTTATAATTTCTAATAATTAAAAATTAAAAAATTAGAAATTTGAATAATTTATTGTCGAATATTGAAGACAACGTGATTTTGAATACTTTATTTTAATAAAATTTTGTTCAATAATCACCACAGTTTAATTCGTTTTTGACATCCAATCATTACTTAAACTAAATAGAGATAACAAAAATAAAAATTCGGCATAAGATAAGATTTTAAAATATGTACTTTTGAAAGACAAAGATAATTTGCTGACGCGATTTTCTCTAAAAGGTTTATTACTTTAAGAAAACAACTTTTTGCATTTTCTTCATTCCATGAAAATGAAATATAAAATGGCATTTTATTCTTAAAAGTAGGGCTAAAAGAACTTGAAACCATTTATATTTTATGAATACGACTCACTTCTACCGCTACCCTTGTACGGTGCCCAGAATGGGAATCATTTCTACCGCTACCCTCGTACGGTGCCCTGAATCGAGTCACTTCTACCGCTACCGTCGTACAGTGCTCTGAATGGGAATCACTTATACCGCTAGCCTCGTATGGTGCCCTGAATCGAGTCACTTCTACCGCTAGCCTCATACGGTGCCCTGAATCGAGTCACTTCTACCGCTACCCATGTACGGTGCCCTGAATCGAGTCACTTTTACCGCTATCCTCATACGGTGCCCTGAACCAAGTCACTTCTACCGCTACCCTTGTACGGTGCCCTGAATCGAGTCACTTCTACCGCTAGCCTCACACGGTGCCCTGAACCAAGTCACTTCTACCATTACTCTTCTACGGTGCCCTGAATCGAGTCATTTCTACCGCTAGCCTCATACGGTGCTTTGAAAGAGAGTTATTTTTACCGGCACCCTCATACGGTGTCCTAAACACGAGTCACTTCTATCGCCACCCTGCTACAATACCGAATAAAACTCAACTAAATCAACCAAAAACACTTGGCCAAAAACTCTCGAACAATTTCCTAACATAAAAATCGTTATCCACTCCGAAGCAAGGTTTATTCTATTCTTAAAACTTGACCCCTTTTAATTTTCCTCTAAAAATCATGTAAAATTCACCATAAACAAACAAAGTGAAGTCACAAAGCCATGAAGGTCAGTACAAGTAAATATCCCCACATGAGCAAACACCTGCTAATTAACGCGTAATTCTACCCTCGTTGAGAACACATAGACCATAGTTGAGGTCGATTTTCAGTAACTACCAGAATCTTGACCAAACAACAACTTGTAACAAACTCAGCGCAACATTTTCCAGCAAAATATTTCAAAATGTACAACAATAATATATCAGTAAGCCAATACCTCGGCGAAGACATGGAAAATTGGCAAAAACCCCGCAAGTCTATCTTTCTCACCGGAGCTAATTTCCAAGGAGATGCTAATTATAAAAAAGTTGCACCCGCACCAAATGCCGCTGTTGTTCTCCCACCTGAACTTCAACGGCGACAGGAATCCGAAAGCATGGTCTATGACCACCTCAGACCAATGATCATGGTTTTACGCATTCTGGGAATTTTTCCCATTGCAAACATCTCCAAAGGAATTTATCGCCTAACTCCTGCACTAATGGCATATTCAGTGTTTCTATTTGCACTTATTTTTGGCTTCATTGGTTATATCAAATGGGATAAGGTGGATTTTGTACAATCCGCTGAAGGGAGGTTTGAAGAAGTTGTAATCGAGTATCTTTTCACCGTGTATTTAGTACCAATTGTATTGATGCCTCTATCATGGTTGGAATGTAGACGATTGGGTATGGTGTTAATGGATTGGGGAAAATTTGAGAAAATTTATGAATCTGTTGAGAGTAAGAAGTTACCGTTGTTCGGCGGCAATAAACCGTTATTGATAACTTTGGCTTTACCGATTTTATCGGGAGCTATCATGGTTGTTAATCATATTACAATGGTTAACTTTAAATTCGTTCAGGTGGTACCTTATTGTTTCATCAATATGATTACTTTTGTTCTTGGAGGGTTCTGGTACCTTCATTGTGAGGTTATCGGCAGTGTTGCAACAGTGTTGGCGGAAGATTTTCAACAAGCTTTGAAACACATTGGTAAATTTTGATTTAAAAAATTCAAAACAAATAAAAAATTTTAAAAATATTTTTAGGTCCTTCAACACGTGTGGCTGAATTTCGTAGTCTTTGGATGCTCTTGGCTAAAATAACTCGCGATGTGGGCAATGGTACAGGCTACGTGTTGATTTGCCTCAATCTTTACCTTTTCCTAATCATTACTCTGACAATTTATGGACTGCTTTCAACAATGCAGTATGGTTTTGGAATAAAAGATGTGGGCCTATGTGGAACTGCTGCCTTTTTCGTCGCGCTACTCTATTTTATTTGCGACGAAGCTCATTACGCGTCTAATTGCGTAGGAAACATATATATATATAGTGCACAAAGCGATCAATAAATTTGTCGCTCATTAATTTATGTTACACACGTTTTAATTGCAGGTGCGGGTAAACTTTCAAAAGAAACTGCTATTGGTCGAGTTGAGCTGGATGAATGATGACGCGCAACAAGAGGTGAACAAATAGAAAATATAATTAAATAAACTTAAAAAATGAAGAAAAAAAACTGAGCAATTAATGAATTTTTGATTGAATTGTTAGATCAATATGTTTCTTCGAGCGACTGAAATGAATCCGACTGATATGTCCCTAAGTGGATTTTTTGACATGAACAGAAACTTGTTTAAATCAGTAAGTACAAAATTACTGCAATAACAAAAACTTTTTCGCCAATTTTTCGAAATACAAAAATTGACACCTTAATCACGGACGGCCAGAGCCGTGACTAAAGTACTTTACTATTAATACATACTTATCTCTTTTTAGTTGCTGGCGACAATGGTAACTTACCTGGTCGTGCTACTGCAGTTCCAGATAAGCATCCCTGAAGATATGCCAATTCCGAATGCAACCATTACGACACCTGCACCAAAATAATATTTTAAATATTAATATATTAATTTAAAGCTCAAACTTAGTCTGTATAGAAAGATTACACTTATTCTTTTAGAAAAAGTTGAGAAGTAAATCTTTAAAAGTTTTAATCAAAAGTGTGTAGTAACTTTATACATACCTATCTCTTACAAAGCACCCCCGCCAGACTAGAATGTTTAGCATTACTAAGGGTGTGCGTTGCGATACGATAAAGTGGGGGTGAATTCGGCGCCGCGTCGGACGCCGCATCAGCGTCGGTTAGTAGTCGTCGCGACGCGCTCTCCTGTTCACCATCGCGACGCCCCACGCATTCCCAACTCAACTGCGTAATATTCACGTGGTTTATTACGTAAATTCACCTGCAAAAGACACAAACATTATAAATTAATTAAAATTAAAAAAAATTACATTTATATTTCATTCTTTTAAATAATTAATTAAATTTTATTATAATTCTTATTCGGGTGGAAGATATGAAGTTGAAGTTGATTGAAAATCGATTTGTAGACAAACAGAACCGGTGGAACGCGGAAATGAGGTAAATCTAAGAACTTGTCAATTTATATAAGGATTCGTTCAAGTGCAAGAAGGGTGAATGGACTCCACAACAACCACTTCAAAAATAAATGACTACAAAATCAAAATATTCGTGAATTACTTAAATTTAATGAACAATTCTGTGGAGTATGTGGATGAGAGTAGAAAATATACGCAGAAAAGACTCGAAATTTAAGAAGAGAAAAAAGTGCACGGATAGTGATGTTGTGGCCGAGTTTAATTTTGGTTTTATTCATTTCTATTAGAAATAGTTTTGCTTATATCGGTAAGTAAATTTTACATTTTACATTTAAGTTTATTCTAACAATAAACCCAAGGACATAAAATCCTTTCTTATTCTTTCTGCTTCAAAGTTAACTACACGTGAGTTATGTGCCTGAAAGGATCACGTGAACTCCCTTAAAGGAACAGTAGTGACGTGCAAATTTCATTACGCGATTACATTTGTTCCCGTATCTCGTTTCGCAGCATCCGTTTACAGAGGGCTTCAACTTTCCGTCTTCCATCCCCCTGCTGACTATTGCCTTTCTATTGCTCACCGTACTTGTTATTCACTGCTCTGAACATTGTACGTTTTACTCCACTGTTGTGCCCTTTGTGTAACCAACCTGTTTTTATACTCCATGTGCACCCTATACGATAGGTGCCCTTTTGAGCTCTGCACGCATCCTGCACTCATGTAAAATTTACTTTTCCATTTCCGAAATTTCATTCCCGGAAGATTTCATTGCAGAAATTTGATTTTTAACGCTTGTGTATTGTTGGGATCAATAAAAGTCGAATAAAATATTAGATACGTGTGTATATTTCCTGTTTCCTTGAATTTTCTTCGGGTTTTTGCAAGAGTGTGTATTAATAGAAGCGCCGATGATGATTTATCGTTTCGTTTGCGCTGAATCTGTCGAGACGCGGACTGAATATTCGAATCTTCTTTTCGACAATATTTATACAAAGTCAGATGTTTATCATGCTACTGCTCTTATAATCTTATAAACTAGAACATTTTATCGTCTCGAAAAAAACGTTAAATTTAAATGATTCACATGATTTTTATATAAATATTTATCAATAAATTCGTTTCTTTTAATTTCAGAATATGTAGAAGTGAGTAACTGTGCCAGTTGTCAAATGATGCTCACCTGCAGACATCTTAGTTCTGTGATAGCAATTTTTAACGCCACTTTTCAACCCTACGATGATGAATCGTCGTTTTTCGATGACGTGCATAGATTTCAATTGTTTCCGCGCTTGGCGTTAAATCGAAGGTAAGATATTTTTAGTTTTATAATAAAATATCACCCAAAATTGTAGAAAAATCAGCAGGATTTACACTTGAGTGCAATTGCAATTTTCTAAACCATTTTACAAGCAATGGACGTTTAGTGTAAGTGTTATTGCATGACTTTCAGCAGCTATCTCTTGGCGACACATTTACAGTGTGATAAATGTTGAGAATTTAGAAAGAAGAAGAAAATTCGAGAAATGCACTTAGAGGATAATAAAGTGTAGCGTAGCAAACGCAGCATTAGTAGCAGGGTGGTCATGTTACATGTGTTTTATTTGCGAGATAGAAAAAGTCAGGAAGGCAAAGATGCGAAACAAAAGTGCAAGAAAAATGTGCGGTGGCGATTTATTGATAGCGGAAAACATGCGGGTGCCGAGGGAGATGCAAGGAAAAGATGCCATAATGCACATTATATGATAAATGCACAAATAGTATACAAAGCGATCTAATAAATTCCCGATTAGAAGTTCTTGCCATAATTTTTACTGCAATTTACTTTATTTATATAAAAATGAAAATATTTATTTAAACACCCAGTAAATATTGAAATTGAAAATGATAAACTGCCGATACGCATTGATATTGTTTCCTTTGTTTGCTTCCTTCCATATTTGGTTAACAAAAATAGTTTTCTCTTTTTCAACATTTTCCCAATTTTCACACAAAATATATTGCTTCTTTTGGGAAAACACGACCCTGAATACGGTCAGATTGCGGTGAAAATTGCGGTTTCAACCCATTCAACGTCTGGCTACCAGCAACCGGAGATTCTTGCAATATGAGATTGTAAATATTGATTTGAGTTTTCATTTCTCCTGTGCTCAAAGTCAAGTTTGTCTACAGAATTTGATATCGAGCAAATCCAACTGAACATTCTCTAACCCTAATAATCCCAGCGCATTCAAGAAAGAAGAAATGTAAAACTGTAAGAGGGAAAGTTAAAACCTACAAAAACCACTCAGTGGCAAGAAATGCAGGAAGGATATCACCATTTTTAACAAACGACGGTGACGGGTCTTCCTGAGTTGCCGATTGGGGCCGACTACCAGTCTAGCCAAACACGGTCCAAGGGGCAATAAAGGGGCGGCAGACGTCGGCACAAATGAAAACCGGAAAACATTTTTGATCAAAAGTAGAAATGAACATGATACGAACTAAAATATATAAAAATACACAGAAAAATCCACGAAGCAATTAGATGATGTCATTTTATAACAAACATTAATAATTTACTAAATATATAAAAAAAACTAATGGCTGGCATATTACTATTAATATTACTTGCGTTGTGTGTTTTTTAACCGTTTTGCTCGTCTGAATCACGGCTCGTTTGCTACATGATGACAGTCATTAATTAGCGTAGAACGAACCTCTACCAGAGCGGAAATTGATACATTAAACACATTAATAACCAGCGACACGGACGGTTTTAGTAAACAATTTGTATGGAAATTGAGGTCCACAAAAAGACACAAATTAATGACATCATTTTCCACGAAGCCACTGGAACTGCAACTGGGTTATATCGTGATACAAATTAACGAGGACATATTGTAACAAAACGTCAATAAAAACAAAGCAAATAACCGAGAACTTTAATGAAGTCCTAAAATAGAAATATTACTGATACTGGTAACTCGTTTTACGAGTTTGATGTATAATGAAGTTTAGTGATTTAATTTTATGAGAATTACGTAAAATTTATACGCGTATTTTATAGATGTTGATTTTGGACAGTATAAACTCGAAGGTTATAAAACTGTAATTTTATTTGAGGTCAAGCAAATAAGAAATATTTAAAAAATCAAGAATAAATAGTGAATTATATATCAGGTGCGCTAAACGGTACTTTAACAATGTATTCACTGTATTTCCACGTTTAGGTTTGGTATTTGAACTTTTTAAGGTCCATCCCGCGAATAAAGTTCTTTAGTCACGGCTTTGGGTGTCCGTGATTAAAGTATCACTTTTCGTGTCTCTAAACCGTGGAAAAAGTGAAAGTAGAAAAAATATATTAAAAAAACAATTGTAAAATTAATTTAAAATGTGCTAAAGCAATTAAGTGTTTATTACTCACACAACCACGAAACAAAATTAAATTCCTGAATGTATCACTCGACGTGATAGTTAAGAAACGAATATAAATGACACCGCAATCAACTTGTTGTTTTCTTTAGACACCAGTCGAGATCCGAATCGTCCTCGAGTGACAAAAACAAAACAATTCGTTCTCCTTGTTTTTCTTTTCTCATTGCAATTACTTACACAATACCAGCACACTTGTTTGTTTTCTCTTTTACTCGAAACTTTTATTGTTCTTTGGAAATTCTTACCCGTAGTGGTTTTTCTCATTAATTCACAACGTTTGTATCTCAAATAAACTTTTTATATCATTTATATTATAGTCTAAACTTAAATAGTAAATATATAGATGTGAAGGTGTTATAAACTACTCAAATTAATGGCCACTATTTCCTCTAATGATTGTAACTGATGAAAAACTAAGAAAAACACCAGGAAACTAATGAAACTCCTAAAAGACGTAAATTATCACCTGCCGCTGACAAATAAATGATGATGCTTTTAGAGTGTTGTTTGTGCTTTTATTTAATTGCTTTCAAAAGCAAGCGATCTGTTTGCGTTGTCATCGTTGATCCCGAATAGTTTTCTAAAAGTGTAACACGTAACCCGTAAGACGATCAATGTGTATCTGTTGATCTGCGTTAAAAATAACTATCGACACAAATTCGAACTGTATAGTTCAAAGCAAGCGTTTGAAAAATCCATTTGCTGTGCCACGAATGCCATGAGTACCAAGCAGACGTCTCCTTTGATCCATGTTGAGTAATTACTCTTATCAGGAGTGCATCAAACCAATAGCAGCGTGCGTGTAAAAATGTAATAAAGAACAGAAGCGCCATTTAATTACGATTGTTATCATTCATCATATTATCAGTTTATCCATTTACGAAAACACTTTGTGATATATTGATAATATTGAACTAACTTACCAATAAATGCTTTCAATATGTTGATAGAAGGGCAGTATCGATTGATGGCGATGAAATAAATATACCGAAATATAACGAAAACAGAGTTGAAACTGTGTTGAACTGTAGAAAAGTGCGTGTTGCGTGGCCAAACTATTTGGTTTCTAGGCATGAACGACAACAGCTAACTGAAACTATCGGAAATTGGTGGTGGAGAAGTAGAGAGAGAGAGAGAGAAAACAAAAGCAAGTGAAGCGCAAAGATGAACGGATAACTTCAGGAAGCGAGCGTCTGGTCAGTTGGCACAGTATGCCAACAGCTGACAAAATGATTTGACACAAATCAATATCTATTAAATTTAATGAAATTTTTGCATTTAGAAAATATGACTTCTAAAACAAATTTACTAATGTTTTACTTTTGAAGAGCCAGTTTTTTCATGGTTTTGAGACACGAAAAGTAAAATTTTAATCACGAAGAGGCAAAGTCGTGTCTAAAGTGCTTTATTCGTAATATACTTTACTAATTTTGCTAAAAACAGCATTTCTGTTTTTCTATGTAATATTTACTCTATGAATGCGCAGTCATTTTTAAAATCAGAATAAAGTACGTTGTAAAATACAAAAGAGCATCATCATAAAACAGAAAGCAACCCACAAAGCAAAAACCTTTAACCTCTGTGTCTAACCTCATAACTTTTTTTCTCTTTCGGTTCATGCTTCATGCATCATTAGGGTGGTCCTTAAAATGCATTTTTTTGAATTTCTTTGCTCCCAGGGGCTTAAACGCTTTCAAATTAATAAAAAAAAAATTCCTGAAAATTTGAGCTCTTAATATTAACTTTAAGATAGTCCGCACTCTCAGATAAGGTTTTTATGGGGATTACTTGGCAGAAAATGGATTTTAAGTAACAAACCGTGACATATTTATTGTAAATTTAATTCTCCATGTAAAAAATACCTCATACATATTTACTGCACCTATTGACTTGATACTATTTAGAATATATAGCAAATAATTGCAAATAGGAGTTTATTGTTCAATTTTTATCAGAATATAAGCAATATTATGGTGATACTCGAAAAATATGAAAAAAGATTAGGGCTTAGTATTCGAATAGTCAATAGGTGCAGTAAATATGTATGAGGTATTTTTTACATGGAGAATTAAATTTACAATAAATATGTCACGGTTTGTTACTTAAAATCCATTTTCTGCCAAGTAATCTCCATAAAAACCTTTTCTGAGAGTGCGGACTATCTTAAAGTTAATATTAAGAGCTCAAATTTTCAGGGAATTTTTTTTTATCGATTTGAAAGCGTTTAAGCCCCTGGGAGCAAAGAAATTCAAAAAAATGCATTTTAAGGACCACCCTAATGCATCATGCATCATGTTTCATGAAGCATTATACTTCACTTTATGCATTACTCTCCCTTTTTCTTTTTTGCTTTTTACTCTATTGACCAAATAAAATATAAACTGCAACACCCTATATAAGTATAAAAATGTAAGTACTTGTTTCGCTTGGTTTCTTTTCACTTCCTGTTTACATAGTAAAACTTTCAGACTTCGCATGCTGTCAAAATTCGCACCAAACATTTCCAAACTTCCCAGTTCCCTTAATGTTCACATTACAGACACGTGTATCACGTACCATCGTATATACTGATAAGAAAACGAAGTGTGCCCAGAGGATATTTACGCACGTGTCACTCCCACGTGATAAACAAAAATATACAAACTCATATGTAATAACAATAATATCTTGTTAGTAAAATAAATAAATTATTAAAAATGTAATAAATTAAACTTTAAAATAATGATAACTTTAAAATATGATAAGCTATATGTCTGTGATGATAAACTAGGTTAAAACATCTGTGAAAATAAAATTGCTTACAATAACCTTCAAGAACAGGGTCATGCTTTATGCATTTATGTAGACTCTAGAGCAGAGTAAGTCCTTGTACAAACTCCTCCAGGACCCTCAATTTTTCAATCGTGTCCTTGGAGACCTACAGACTCGCACCCTCTTCAAATTAGCTCCCAATGGAATAGAAACTGCATAAACTGCAACCCCATTTCTCACAACCCTCAGAAATATTCTTCTTAGATGTTATGCTCGATCATTAACATCTAAAATCTAGATACCACGGAGCAGTTGTGTATGATACATGAAATATTATTCAACTTTTTTGTTTTTATTTTTTTATGGAACACTATGAATATGGAATAATTTCTAACGAATGATCGATGTGTCGATTGCACATTGCACATGCACACGACTACCGCAGGGGTGATTAGGTGGTTGGGCGCGTTTGGTAGTAAAATGCACAAGTAGAAATTCACCCCATGGCAACAACCACCCCCCGATTTTTACGATGCACATGCACAATACAATCATTCTTTTGTTTCACTTCAACTAAAGATGACCGTACGAACGTTTCACGCTGGATTGAAACGCATTGGCCGTTTTGAGCACGCGTCAAAATCATTAACCGCCACTTAATGCCCTACAGGCTATGACATTATAACAAACTATTATTAAAAAACTTTCATTTGCCCGCGACTGCGTCCCCATAGTTTTTAGTAAAAACGGAATTCTATAATTTTTTCTTATTCTTGACTCTTGACTAGTATGTGCCGATTCCATCAATAAGATGTCATCCTTTATTTAGAATTCTTTAAGTCATCATTTTTGATATCTTATCAGTTATTCTGCTATTCCGAACATAGATCAATCCAATTAATCAAAGATCTTCAAAATCTGTGCAGCTGTTCTTGAGTTATAAATGTTGTAACGTACGTTTGTTTCTTTTTCATGTATATAGATAATTATCTGGTATTTTTAGAACAACTATGAAATTTTTAGCAATTTTTTAATGAAATAAATTCATGGAAATACATTTAGATATGTCAAACTAAATTAGAGAGTGCAATCCTCGTAAATTTAAATTTTCTAATTTTATAAATTTGGGGTGCATTAAATTAATTCCAACGCGTATAAAATGGAAAATTAATTGATCGCACGCATAGATAAACCGCAGCACATTAGCATACACATTTGTGTAGATAGATCGCCGATTGTGTTTGGCAAACTGAAAACACTGAATTTACATTTTCACCCTGCACGATTTGCATTTCAAACTAATTATTAACACTACAAATAGTTATGTGAAGGAGATTAGCAAACAACACCAGGAAAAAAAAACTACTAGACTCATGATACAAATGATTCAATTAAGTTTAACAAGAATTTTTTGAACATGCATTTCAACTATTAAGAATAATTGAATTGTAAAATTGAATTATTAGAAAAATAAGTTTTAACACGTTGTTAAGTTGGCTACGCACAAGAGAAATCTCATAAATAACATGTAAATCCCGAACGGAATGCAAATATCGGTGTTCGGTGCTATTAACTGAAATTTATCTACGCGCGGTTGAGGTTGGTGCGTGCTGATCCTTTAAAATTGCTGATTTATTCCAAACAACGGGCAAAAACCCAGAATAACAAGAACTGGACAATAAAAAAATCCTTTCACGTAAAAATTATTCCAACTTCCAAGATTAAACCATAATAATTCGTTTTGAATAACAATTTAATACAAAAGATAGTTAATTTATTATACATTGTAAATAAGTAAGCTCAATGCAAAACAAAATCCGAAAAAAGAACGTAGTTAAAGATTAGAACATAAGAAAAAAGTAAAAGAAACAAAATGAATGGTAATGGAGGAATAAAATTTTATATGAAGTCACTTTGCTTTGCGATAGCTAACACATCTGCCGGTCTATTACCCAGAGAGCTTTGCCAACGACTATACAAGTATAAAAACTCCTTAAAGAAAATTGTTATGCGTTGCCTCGTCTCGCATAACAATCCTTTGAGAGATAAATAAGAAAATAACTAAATGGACGATAAAATCTTATATGTTTAGTGTTATTCTACTTAGTTTCATCTTAAGTATGATAAAAATAAATCAATGTATCAGAATATGCGAGTATCTTCAAATACTCGAAAACTTTCGATACTTTTTTTTCTTCATTTGTGCAAGGTCTAGGCTTTTAGTTGATGCGTGAATTTAACGATAAAACGTTTTTTATCTCTTCCGCTCAACACGAAAATCCCTCGATAGGAAAAATGGCATTAAAGGATTATTGCCAAAGCTGCAAAAGCTAAATCTTATAAAAACGTATCTGTTAGTTTATAAACGATTACGTTTTTTCGCTTTTGGACGCGTTTCCAATAAAACAATGATGGAAAAGCAAAAGCAGAAAAACGAAAGGATTTTCACATCTACTACGCATCAAATACTATTAAAAAGAGTAATAACTATAAATTTTCAGATTTCCTATAGGCTTTAACGCTTTGAAATGTAATATTCGTTGAGCACGCAGAAAGAGAAAAGTTATTTCCTTGCCAAAACTGTTTTATACCTTTTTTCTTCTTCAAGGTTATTGCCAAGAAAAAAATTATGGCATATAAATTAAAAACCTCGAAATTAAATTAATTGATAATTCAAATTTATGACGGTTTGTGCATTATGAAAATCAATACCTGTGAATGTTTGCATTTAATTAACAGCAACGCAAACATGAATTGCTTTGGCGTTTAGTGCGAACCCCAACGCATTTCTTACTTTTCGCCTTGTTAATTGCAGCAGGAAATTAAAACGAAGTGAATGTAGAAAGGGCGTTTAAATTAAATTTTCAACATAAACGCCAACATAAATTCCTTATAAATTTGATTATGATTTCAAAGTAAAACTAAAATGCAAATAAAAATTTAATATATCAAAAGAAATGCATTTTACTATAATTACTTTTAAAATACTACTTTTTCTACGGTTTCGAGACACAAAAAGTGATACTTTAATCACGGGCAGCCAAATATACACAAAAATAAACATAGAAATAAACTGGAAGTAGGAAAATAGAAAAAAGTAAGAACCAACACTTTAAAATTGTGACAGTATTGATTAAAACATAAAACCTTACGTTTAATCAATACACATTTAACTAAAATACAAGCATTAAAAGTATTACAACATTAAACTTGCATTTCCTGCAATGTGCACGCGTGCCTGTCGACTGTCGATAATCGCCTCATTTGATATTATAATTAAGCCATAGCCTACCACCCAGACGACAAGTAAACCAAGTCGACCCTCTTTTTATGTGTTTGCGACAGTTATTTCCTCCCCACGGCGTATAATATTATAATATTTTAATGAAAACGCAATGTGCAATGTGTCCAATGCGCCCAAAAATGTAACATGCCCACTTTTCATGAATAGCCTTCTGATAACTAGGGTAATCATGATGATGACGATTGCAACCGACAAAAACCGAATAAATACCACGGAAAGAAAGAGAAAATGCATATCAAAATATGCCATCAACAGACTAGTTAATCTAAAATAGAAATAGAAAAGAAATTCAGTCTAGACGCAGATAAATCGATAAAATAAAAAATAATTGAATGGAGAATATGGCTGGTCATAGGAGGAAATTGAACAATAGGCATATGTCATGTGCAGAAAAAATATATGACCAATAAGATAAGATAAGATTAAATATCTTCCACTCTCAATACAAAACCAATATTTTATGTTCTAAACACTCGGTATATAATAAAATGTGGGTGAATATAGTACGTGTGCATAACGAATCAATCGTAGGACACACTTTTGCAAACCGTGCATTGTATGCTTTACCATTTCGCACCCCAAAAACGATTGTGGTGTCGCACCCTTACGTGCATAAAATCCCTGACCCTGCCTCTATTCTACACCACCCTATGACCCAGCGTGACGACGGTGAGTGTGTCGCAAGGGGTGCCAAAGGCAAGTGCCGTCGAAATGATCTTAATGTTCGTCCTACTGCCCGATAACTTATATTAGCATTCAATATGCTATGCATCTGACGCCTAAATTTAGTATTAAAATTAACATCGGTGACGATTGACGCATTGAAGTTTTAGAATAATGAAGAAATTAACAAAAGGTCACAAGGGGAGTAGAAGAATAATGTTCTGCGGAGCATAAGGCTAATTTTCTTTGGTTTCTAATTCAAAAGAAGGTTTAACCTTGATATTACCCTTGACATTATTTTCATTATAAAACCTTTTGTAAATTGAATGAAAGAATGAAAGTTTAAGGTCAGTGCGTGTAATAAAAGTTTATTGACCTGTTATTAAATGCGGTTGGAAGTTGAATTATAATGTTAATTGTAATAATTTTGTTTTAGGTGTTCAGGAGTGAATCATTGCAGTTTTGTGCTGACAGAAGACTGCCCGGGAGCTGCCCGATGGGGTTCGGGTAATTTCACTGTGAAATTTGCATGCGTATCAGGTAAGCACTAATAATTAAAAATTTGATGAATTAACATCTCAAACATGGGCGTTAATTAAAACTTTTTGATTAATCTCTCAATTAAGTCTAAAAATTAATATTTCACGTGGTTTATAAGTAAAATACCTAAGGGTAAGGGTAGAAATAAAGTTTATCGATTCGGATGAATGAATTTATCAACCTTTAGCGAATAAAATCAGTTCCAAAGGGAATTTCAAAGCAAAAAGATAAAAAAATATATAAAAACTACAAAAAAAAGCAAAAATAGACAAAAATGTCACAAAATTCAAAAGAATATAAGGGATTAAAGTAATAAATTATGTGATTGACCAAAATACATGAAACGTGTATGATGACAATGAATTTTCCGCATGTGAAAGTTTCAAAATCCGTCAGATGAACGAAATTTCACGCCGCGCTTAGAACCGCTACGTAACCACGTAGCTGACTGTCAAAAAAAGGGGCGGACATTGTGAATGCAGACAGATGATGACCGTAGGAATAAAAGTGCGTGTAATGTGCGTGCAATGTGATGATCGCATCATAAAATTAAATTCGTTAGACTCGAAGAGAATAAACAGAAATAAACAGTCAGTCCATGGACGGTTTAGTAGAATTAATGAAATTTTGTTTTCGGTGCTTTCAGAGCGGATTATTAGAGATTATTTTAATGGAAGGGCAAATAATGAAATGCTGCTGCTAATCTGAGTACTAATGGGGAATTTTGTTTCCAGAATATAATTTATTTTCATTAGGAAGACCTTTATTTTGTTTAATCTTGTTGATTTGGTTTTTAACGTGTTATTATGTATTTTTTATAAAACCAAATTTAAGGGTATATTAGAGACAATTTTTTTGAATGACTCAAACCGATCTGATCGGAGAGAAGAGCGAGAAACCTGAAAACCTGCGACTACCCACTTTGACCACCCGGAGACGACTGACCTGCGTGACGGGTTCACTTAACTCACTTGGTGACCATACCCCCACCCCTTCTTCCATCCTCCACCACTTGTATTCACTGGTACCCCACCTCCTACATTCGTGCGTGATCAACCATGTAGGTAGTACCTGCACTCCCCCACCACTTTTTGCGGGTCACCCGCAGGCATAAAAGGCAAGCACGCAGTGCGCCACGCGCTCAGTTGTGTCTAAGACATCCAGCAGCTAAGTCGCAGTCCTCAAGGTTCCTCCCTTTACTCTCTTTTGGTATTGGGTTGTGTTTTGTGCATGTACTGACATAAATTCCTCTTTTTATATCCAAACTCTTATGATTTCAGATCGTCGAATTCGACGCTACTGCAACGATAATATAACCCTCCCAGGCCCAGATGTTATCGGCATTTCTGAAGGCCTAATCCGCAACCCCGGCTACCCCAATTACTACCTCGGCAAGGAGGAGTGCCGGTGGCGTATTCGCGCGCCCCCTTTGCAACAAATCAAACTCACTATCTTAGATTTATCACTAATAGGTAATGACCCTCTCAAAACCTCATCTTCCTAAATGAATATTTCTAAAAATAATACTAAATATTTTAATAGCAACAAATAACGACCCGGATGATTGCGTCGACCTCTTCGAAGTGAAAGAAGTGGACAACTCGATTTTCTCCTCCTGCAATGAGCAGGAACCCCTCCGCGAGTTGATTACGCTCAGCGACAGCGTTGATATTACTCTGCGTGCTTCAGAAAGTTTAGTTGCACGACGAGGTGTTCTTGTACATTACGCCGCTGTAGGTTGTGCCACCCCTGCGTCTCCCAAAGATGGCTACCTAGTGTATCGAAATGACAGCACAGCGGTCTTCACATGCAGTGTAGGTTATGTTTTTGCGGACACATTGGAAAGAAATCGAGAGATTCAGTGTCAAGGACATCGGTGGCAAGAGAAGCTTCCATTAGCAAATTGTATAAGTAAGTATTACCTACACATTTTAAATTAAAATAATTAAAAGTTTAGACATAAATAACTAAACAGTTTGGTTTGTCGCAAACAAAATTGTTAAACCATAATTCGCTTTTTGAACTTTGACCAGACAGTATATCTCAAGTCTCAATCATGAATAAAAGCAGCTCTTATTCGCATTGAAAAATATTAAGAATTGAATACTTTAAAATAATATACAACAACAGTGCTTGAAGCTTGAATTCGCTGATTGTTCGTGTGTTACGGTGTGTAAATATGTTGAAAAGAGAACGACGCAGCAGAAATTGTTAACGATGTTAACTCTGGTAATGCGGTTATAGTAATGCAAACGAGTGGATGACAATACAAACCGGGAATATACAAACATAATAAACTATTGTTACTCATAGAAAATTATTAGTCGCAGAACGAACGACCGTGAGTCCTGATCGTAACACGCAATAGTTGGTTTTTGAACGTACGCGAAACAACACAGTGATAATTAGATAAATTCCGCGAAATCTTACAGAGATTTATCAGGAAAAGTCGTTTTTTACACGTTCTTATAGTGATTTAAAGTTTTAAAGACAAAAATTACTAAATCCAGATTAGTTGTTGAAATAATTGCTGTTTTGACGACAAAAATAACTAATTTTACACTAATTCATGTGATAATTAGTGATTTAAAATCAAGAAATATCACGGAAATACCCAATTAAAACAGGTAAATTTATTTTTAACCTACTTTGTTGATATTAAAACGAAATAATGAGTTTCTGCAACCAACTAATCTAGTGTAAAAGCAATTCTAGCCTATTTTTCTATTACCTAACCTCTAAAAGATTTACCACCGCGCAGGCACAGTAAACTCCATCTACCGGTATTAATACATAATTTCCACCAATGTTGGCAACCCGAAACACATCCAAACTCAACATTTCTATTGGTATGCGCGTCAACCGCAAAGTTTAACGAACTTGAAGAGCGCTCAAAGCTCCAGTACGTTTACATTAGCATTTCAACGTTTGAAGAATGCTGAATGCAGACGACCCACATGCTCTTTTTGTGTCCGCCAGCGACCAATCGCGAGGGGCTCGCCGCGCTCCTCCATATCGCTTACTTCAACAGTAAAAGCGGTGGCAGTAGTAGTCGTTTAGCGTAGGAAAGTACAAAGGCTTTCATTCATTGATTCGTAGAATCTTGCACAACTGACAATATCGGCAAATTTAAGTAAGAAATCAAACATAAGCACAACGTAATAATATAGGCAAGTTATTTCTCATTATTAAATCTAATTATTTAAAATTATTTGTGTTATCGTTTCAACCGTTTCAAGTTTCAAGCAAAAGCACGTGCTTTTCAAGTGGATATTCCCACTGAAAAGCGCACAACTCCAACCTGAAAATCGATAAATACTTTTTAAATGCAAACGCATGCCACCAGCGTGGAAATATTATCATTTCAATTAAATTATTGCGATAGAACATTGATTTATCTGTGTTAAGTAAGCCGCGAATGAAATTAATGATAAATACACATCGTGAAATAATAACAGTAGAGATAAACTGCTGATTGTAGTAAGTTAATTCCACATCCGCGAAATGAGTACAAGTATGCAACTACAGTGAATTCGACTGCGCAACGTAAGCAAAACGCGGCAATTCATCAACATATGCATGTTTTCATTTATAAATATTGAATATTTGGAAATTTATGAGAAGGTTATGTGCGCGCATGCTGTGCAACGCATTTACATACCCAGAATTTCAGTTATTTTCAATAATAACGCTTAATTTTGTTACTTTTCAGAGCTTTCTAGCACGTTAAAAGACTTATTCGGAAAATCTTCCGGTGGAGTCAACATGACAGCCAAAGAATCATTTTCAGGTATTTAAAACAAATATTTTAAACTTAATATCAACACTAAATGTATATTATACGTTTCAGATGTGTTGGTGCCAACAATAATCATCATAATGTTGTTTATTATCAATACAATAATCTTGTTCTTCATCTATCAGTACAAAAAGAGGTAAAATATTCTTATTCTTTTAAATCTGCTGCTAAAACTTTATATTATTTTGTATTTTACATTGTGTAGTTGTATTTTACATGTGCATGTATGTGCTTTTGTGTGGTTCAAATTAATCAAAAGTCTTACAAGATATTTTTACAGGAAAACTGCCTTATACACTGAGGAAGAGCTTGGCACAATGCCTGTGGGTTCATTGGGTTAGCTGCAGAGAATGTAAACATAAAATGCCTTTGAACATTGATAACGCGTCAATGTTTTCTCAATACCTAATGCAAAATTCGTATGTATGCATTTATGTACAAGTACAAGTAATTCTTTACTTGCACTTTATAGAAAACTATATGAAATATGTAATTTTTGTACTACTTGCTCTGATTATTACATAAATGTTGATCTTTTTATGAGAATTGAACCAAATGTATAATAAATTAAGAATATGAATTGAATCCTACCTGTTTTTGGATGAACACATCAACAAGTCACAACAAATACTGGATTATATCAGTGTAGAGACTGTTTTCAAGAACTGATCAAGGACAAAAACGTTGGTAAACAACATTTGCAGTTTTCAGCGACATCCGTGGCGACACCTATCGACCTATAACAGAACTATTTTTTTATTCAAACAAAAGTTTAAAAGTTTAACCGTTAATTGCCCTAAAAACATCTAAAATATCTTTTCTTAGGAATATACTAAATAAAAGTTGATAACTTTTTATTTTGTACAATCCTAAACATACTTTATTCAACGAAAATGTTTACTTCAACGCACTCAACCATTACAAGTATAAAAAATAGCTCAAAGTCACGTGACTACATACTTTGAAAGCATAATAAATTTGCATTATTGGAAATGAGAGAATGCAATCGAATCTTAATATATCTTCAGTATCCCTTTAAACAAAACTTATCGGTTCATAATTGTAACATGATACCTTGTCAAGCGTCACCCATTCGAAACATAAAAAACAAAAACTCATCTTTACGTATCCACCGCGGCCGCGGCGTCATCAGCCTTGTCATCGTTATCGTTCATCTCCACCGCTTCAGTATCGTCGCCACCATCAGCCTCATTCTCTATGTCATTCTCTTCGGTCTCATCTTCTTTGTCCTCGTGTGATTCTTCCATCGCTTCGTTTTGTTCTGCATCGCCTTCGTTTTCAACAATCTCGGCTGTCTTGTCTGCTGCTGCACTATTAACGCTATCTTCTAAGATCGGCGGTTTCACAGTAATCGTCTGTTTTCGTCGTTTTTTCGTCATCACTCGAAAGTCCTCATCGGAGGTGCTATAGTCGGGATCGTCCGCGTCCTCTTCGTTATCGCTGACGTCACTAAGCCGCCATTTGCGTTTACGACGCCGTGGCTCAGGCCGCGTTTTCTTCGGTTTGATATCTTCCGGGTCTTTTGACTCATCCTTGCGAATTAAACCAAGCACGTCGAGCATTCCGGGAGTAATGGATGCTTTGGATGCTGCTTCTGCTGAAGGGTAAGCTGATTTTCTTTCACAAATTGCTAAATGACCAGCCATTTCATTACCTAGCAAAAATTAAACCGAATAAGTTTATTGTTGTTATTAAATTGATATGATAATTACCATCCGAACTACTGAATCCGCAAACACAAAACAACTCAAAGTCCAAGGGGTGTTCTTGCACCTTCTTGCTGTACAAATTACACAACACTTTGTGACTCATCATCGCAGTTTTACACATCGTCTGATACTTGCAGTCGGCTTTCATACAGAACATAATATCCCTAAAAATAAATATTATTAACATTATTATATTACATGCAATTCAGTAAAACTTTAAAACTTACTTGAAATGTGATTCAACCGAAATGAATTTCCCGCATTCCTTGCATTTATAATCTTCTGGAATCGAAAAAGTGACAGAGCACTGTTGAACCTGCGGTTCCGGTCTGTTCTGCTTCGTTTCTTTGAGTTCATCATCGCGTAAACTCTTCGGTACCATATACGCATTCTTCGCATCAGGATACGGCTTGAAATTCGGCTCATTCTTGTAACAAATATGTCTCTCTCCATGCTGATCAAACTCCTCCTTATCCAAAAACTGCAAATCACACCGCGCACACTTCTTCACAGCTCCCTTCGGATTCTTCCCTTTTTCGCATGCGCAATGAGATGCTGGAGGAAAGTATTCGCATCCGCCGTCATATTCTCCTCCATTTTGGTAATGCTCAAACAAAACGGACACTGCAGAATCGCCTGCTTCCGATGCTTCTTATAGAAGTGATCAATGATCGCCTTGTGCGAACTACTCTTGTACTCACAACTACCACAATGATAGGGTAATTCAGATGGCGAGTGTTCTATACTCATATGCTTACCGAGCACCACGACCGAATTGAATTTGTCGTGACAAATCAGGCAGTTGAAAAACCTGCCGGCTTTCGTCTCAATCGCATGCTTGAGCTCCAAATGCGTGTAGAGATTGTGCTTCGAGCCGCAATCCATAAGACAATACTTACAAAAATAATCAGCGGTGGCAACATGCCGAAAGAGATGCAGCATGAGATCCGTATTAGTCCCGTAGACTTTCTGACAAATTGGACATTTTACATTCAGTTCGACTTCTTCAACAACCGGATCACATTCAACTGTGCCGTAGTAGTACGATTCGAGCGACGTCAACTGCTTGGGTATTTGCGCAACTCTAGGCGTTCCCAGAGCATTATTCAACACGCGTGGAATGGCGACTTTGCAAACTTGTTGCAACATTTGACTATTTGCGGAGAGAGATGGTTGAAGACCCGGCGCAGAACCGTATTGTTTCGGCTTGGGGCGGATTGGTGGTTTCTTGAGATATTCCTGAATAGACCATCGCTTGAACGGATTCGCGGCGACTTTATTCAGACGAGTAAAGAATGACGTCCCGCTAGAGACCCGCGTTTGTTCGGAGATGTGTTTTTGAATACTGTGGAACGCATCGTACGCAGTGGTGCCGTACATTTCCCTCCATACCAACTCATCCAAAAACTGTTGGATGATCTGCCGCGAGAGCAGAGATAATGTATTCTGGAACATTCTAGGTACGATGCGGCGAAGGTAATCCATGATAGTCTGATTCGACGCACCATTGGTGCCATTTCGGGCAATGTTTTTAAAGCCCATCGCATGCATGGCTTGCTTCTCAATGGTCATGTCAATGACCAACGTGCTTTCCGGATTCACCCAATCCAGCAAAGGTTCGAGAATCTTCGAAAACCGCTTCTTCGCTGACTTACCAATTTCCGCGTCGTTGGGATCAACAGCGCGCAGCATCAAGCGTTTGGTTTGTGTCTCCAGCACACCGAGGACTTCGACCTTCACGTGTCGATTCGCCCCGTCATGTGTGGTTGTACCGAGTGAGATCACCCCGACTTCAACAGCACAACCCAACCCACCCAGAGTTGGAAAGTGTGTGTGTAATGCAACCGTGCAAATACCACGCAACCAAGTGTATAACCCTTTGAGATAAATATTCTCAACTTTTACCCATTGCAACACATTCTGCACGTTGGTCTGACATGCCCAGTGATAGATGAGTTTAAAGTTGGTCGAAGGCAGCTGACTGCCCTCGAAGAGCGACTCGTGGAACACAGAGAGGAACTTTGGCGGGCAACACTCGGAGATCCAAATGTATCCGCCAGAGTTCGGGAAACGCGCCGCGTCACTATACATGCCGAGTTTAAGCTTGACATGCGGATGCGTTTGACAATAATGCTCGGATTTAACAAGTCCTTGCTGAATGAGATACTCAGCAAACTGTGACGGTGCTAAAATAAGCAAACGCTTCACCTTGCGGTCAAGCGCAGCGCGATTTTGATTCTGGTTGCCTGACTCTGAGATACACAAACTGGGCCTGGCAACCACCACTAGGGAAGGAAACGTTTTACCCTGGAGTTTATTAAACGCCACTTCCTTCGTATCTGCGCTGGTTCCAGTTTTGGTCGCGTCGTCAGAGGTCAAATCGACGACTGTTGCTGGTCGCGGGGCAATAGCGACAGCTGCTGCCGCCGCTGCCGGCTGCGGCGCGGTGGTTACTTCGGTGCGGATGATTGGTATCATGGCGGGCGGGCCGGGGATTGGAGTTGTCGTCGTCGTGGGGGCCTGAATAATGCAGCAAATTACTTAAAAATTAATGAAGAATACATATAACATCCAGAAGAAAAGTTGAGCATAAGCAAAGCAAAACTTTTTATGTTGTTTCTTCAAACCAAACGGAACACAAAGAGAGTGGAATGAATCTGTTGAGACTTACTGTATAGCCCTTTAGAAATGCCTTCTTCTTAGGCACAGGTGCCTCAATCCGTCGTACTGGTTGTGTTGTGGCTTGTGCGGCTCCTGGTGCAGCAGCATTATTAGCAAGTGTGGCTGCTGCCGCTACAACAGCTGCAGCTTTGGCTGCTTTTTGTTCGAGAAACACAGATAATCCGGGTTTTGGAGGTAAGGCTCCCGGAACTATCCGTCGCATTCCAGGTGGACGGCCAGGTCCGGACGTGCAACAGTCGGAACGGCATTTGCTAGAGCTGCTTTTTCGCGTTTTCAGTTTGAATGAAATTATTCAACTCCAGAGCCGTCAAATGCGTCGTGTTTGTAATCAAGCGACCATCGTTCTCTTTCACTACATCATTCACAATCGTGTGAATTGAATCTCTGGCAGACTGAGAGAGTTTTCTGGCCATCAACTGAGCTGGACTCAAGTCATCAGACCACACTTCAAGTTCCAACGTTTGTTCTGCATCAAGACGAACAATTCGTAGTACATTACGTTCTAAAAACATTTTGAAATCATTTTAAAATTGTGTTTTGAAGTAGATTTAATGGAAATTTTACCTCCGTCTGATTTGCGCGCGGTAACTTTGTATTTCTTGGCTGGTGCTTCAGTGATTTCAACCACCTCATCATCCTCGTCGTCTTCGGACAGCTCGAGGAAGTCGCCGCGGACCTTCAGGATCTGCTTCCTGGCATCTAGGCTAGCCTGCCTCTTAGATCCGCTTTTCCTGCCCATGATCGGCACCTGCTCTCGTGATGCGTCAACTACAACCATGAATAATTACTTATTACATGGTAAAAACAAAGATATTATTTTATTATTCAGCTCAAAACATAATTTTCACATAAAAATGACACAAACATATTGTATATTTCTATTGTCTATGTTTAAAACTACCTATATGCCAATAATAACATTCTAGAAGTATTTAATTACTGCGGTTATTGATGCTTACAGAAATATTACCGATGCGGACGCCGTTTTTTGAAGATTGCCTAGATTCTGCCGCTTTTTTCAGCGGCTTGGCACACTTCGAGGTTACATTCGACTTGTTTTCTCGGTATGTACAGGGCGTCGTAGTAGCCATCAACTTAGGATGTGATTGGACGCGATCGCTCACAACGCAAGCCGTGCAAAGCTACTTACATTCACAACCAAACCCATGCAGGATGCGCCCCGGACGCGGTGCATCATTAACTCACGGGTAATAATTAGTGAATTATACTTACGAGATAATTATTGTGAAGAAATTCCAACCACAAACACAAAAATCACAAATACTCGTCACTCGGCGCGTCTCAGGTTGGCGGCCATCTTGTCGTCGTGCCGTCGTTTGATTGCCGCTAGGCACCGCTGTATGCACAGCGGTAAATTCAAACCTGTTTTGTTTGAGTACCACTGGTTTAATATAACTAACAAAATTCTAATAATCTGAATTAACTTTATTTTTTTGATTGTTTCACATATGTTTAGGCGTGCGTGAACTATCTACGCGTGGTTTAAATACAGAGACATGTATAATTTGAAAATCAGGACGAATTACATTGCTGAAAATGTTGTTTTTGGCTTTATGGCAAGAAATAATTCTGAAATAAATACAAAATTAATCAAATCATTTATGTATTGCATAATTTAAGGATATTTACTTCTGGATCTGCTCGTGCTATGCATAAATTAAAGTTAAATGCTGTTGCGCAATTATCTCCTTCTAAAATTGTTTTAACATTATTAATTTATATTCCAATTGTTTTTAAAGTATTACCTTGTATATCGCGGCATTTGTCTACCACTTTCTCGAACATTTGCTTAATGTCGGGGTAAGAATCGTCCAGCATTTTCTTATAATTAATTTTACCTTTAGGCGTCAGCTGAATAAAAGTTTCAAATTAAATTGTATAACCTATATTACCAAATTTAATACCTACCCATTTTGCAGCGCTCATCATACACTCCATGTAGCACTATTTATAACATAAAATAAACAATTGTTTTAATTAAGCATATTTTTATTGATAACTATTTAATACCTTGTAAGGTTGCGGAGAGTCAGGATTAATGTCAAAATGTTCAATATCATCTGCAAATAACATTTTATTAAAATTCGATAGGCAACCCAATATGCATGCATCTTTTTTATATTTATATTTATTAAAAAAATGTTATTACAATTGTTTTTCACTTACCTGGAACTAGACCAACTTTCTTTGTGCACACATTTCTTAAACTCATAATCAATTCAATTAATTCCGGCGGTAAAAGCTGAAAAACTTGTTATTGTACTATTAAATCCTTTATTAACCAGCATTTTAAGTTGCTTTCTTTTAATTTAATCAATAACTCAAAATATAAGTTATTTTGTCATATTTCTCTACAAATATCTAAAAATATGCTTTGAAAACCACTTACTTTTGCAATGTGAGGTGGAATTCTTGCTTGTGTTTCTTGAATACAGAGGAAACAAGCAAAACTTAAAACAAACACCTTTAACAGCATTGTTTTTCTGCTTCAGTCAAATATTTCTAAAATAAAAACTAAAATAAAAGGGAAACTCAACCTTATATACAGATTTCCCTCGAATTATGCAAGATTTGATAATTATTAATCACCTTTGTGATACCTACTAGAAAAATTGTATGAAATTCCATTCACAAGCCAACAAATTAGTGCAATAAGCAGTAATTACTCAAATAATTAATCATTAATCACTGCTAATAATAAACTGCTCATACCTAATTATTTAATTAATATATACGTTAATTATCGACTGTACATCCACATACGAAAAATTATCTTTTATTATACTCATTACATTAATTCTTTTTTGATACAATCATCAAAGATTTTCATTTCAAGCGCACTTTAAATTAATTTACTTCCGCTCCGCTTGATAACATGAAAACTTCCAATCGAAAGCAACCCAATAACAAACTGTGATCAAATAAATACTAAACATATTATGTAAAGCAAGAAAAACACGTTTACGAGTGAGAAAAACCTAAAAAACACCAAAATAATCGTATCACAGAGATGTTAAGATAAAATATGAAGCTAGTTATGTTGGTTACTTGTTTTGTGCATGAAAGAAAAACAAAATAAAAAACTTTAAAAGCTTTTAAAAATTAAACTAGTGTTTTAGCTTCATGTATCCCATAAGCCTTAGACACAAATGATTGTGCAGTATACTGTACAATACTCTGTCCAAAGCGTACTTTACATCTTCACATTATTAGTGGTTGTGGTGAGTGCAATATTAAATTTAAAATTGGTTGTAATTAACAATCGGATGCGTCGAAATCCACACCGCTTGGTTTGACTGCGCGTGAAGAAAGCCGGTCGAGTGCGGCTGCCGCACCCGAGCGCATCGCTTCTTTTTCCTTTTCAGTGTCAGGTGTCGCGCCGGTCGCAGCGGCAGCCATTTTCGGTGAGCCAACAGCGCCTGGAGTTCCTGGACTCGCCGGTTTCTTGTTCAACAACGAATTGAAGAAGTTGGCGAGCACACCTTCACCGCCGGGTGTGTTCACAGTCTTCGAACAGTCGAGCTATACACATACAAATCAAATATACATTAATTTTGAATAAATACGCAAATTAAAGCCAAGGCAAAGGGAACTTGCGTTTTGGTTGCTGGCAGGAACAGCATTCTCGTATGTAGCACATGCGCATGCTGGAGAATTCAAATTAAATTCGCATTGGCATACATATACATATAATACTGAACTGAAAGCTTCTTTAAAGTTGCATATTTTAATATATTAAATAGTATAAAATGCAATTTAAGAAAAATTTAGTATGCAAGTTCCCTGTTACCTTGCCGGGCATATTTTGTCCACGATAATTCACCTTGCTCGCTGCACCAGCGCGAAGCGGTGAATCCGAAACGCGGATCATCGGAGGTGGCGCCGCTCCGGCCGAAAGCAGAAGTTGTTGTTGTTTTACAAGAAAACTCTGCTCTTCTTCTACTGTTATCTCTGGTTCACGACTTATGGTCTAAAAGGTAAATATTAGCAATAAAAACAAACATTTTTGTAAAAATAATTAGTAATTACCTTGCGAGTGACTTGTTGCATAATAAAATCACCGTAGTAATCATCCGGCTTGCATGAAGTCATGCTTTCATAGAGAATTGAAATCTTTTTCATGTTATCCCAACCAGCAGGACTACAAATTCAAAAAAAGTTAAAATTTGTATAAATTAAGGTAAAGTATAAATTATTTTGATTAATCTTACATGAAAACAGCATCTTTCTCCACAACCAACGCCGGCGTCCTAAACGGAAACCCATAAATCCTATGCGTCAAATATTTATACAACAAATCGCAGTTTTTATCCTCCTTGGCGCTGGTATAGAACAACGCCGCGCCATATTGCAAACAAAACCGTCGAATCCACTGCTGCATAAAATCCAACTGCTCATCACGATAATCCTCCACCTTCTCCAACACCTGCATGTAATCAGTCTTGGTGACCACCACGACAATATCTAAACCTAAATTATTCGTCAGCGTCGCCTCCGGCAGCGGAATGCTTTCCTCATTATCCTCATCACCATCGCCCAGATTACGCGAGCTGCGCTTCATCGGCGATGACGGATCCAACTCATCACCAGGCTCCATATAATCATGCCACATTTTTACAATATGCTGTCTTCTTGCTTGCCTCAGATCAATGTCCAATTTGAGTTTGTCGAGATGATCAGCAAGCACAGAAGCCCAATGTTGCAGCTGCTCCAGAATGGCCCAAGGTGCTGTCATGGTCACAGTGAGGATAACCAATGTATGCTCAAAGGATTCTGCACTGAGTGCAAATGGTAACAAGTCAGCATGTCCTTGATCACCATCAAGCACCCACACAGATAATCTGGTATGATCTAAGTGGATTTATTCAAATTAGACTTGAAAAAATCTATGAAGACTTGTTAGTTTATCTTACCATCTCTATAATCATCCCTTACATCAATGTAAGCATATTCTAAACCGGATCCTTTCTTGGGATCTTCAACTCCTTGTAATTTTGCTACTAAAGTGGTTTTTCCACTTTCATTATCACCCAGAACCAACACCTGCTTGCACGATGGAAGTTTCTGATTGCCATGGTTCTGTACGTCGTTCAAGATAGAAGACCTGTGTATAAAACAATTGAAATATTGAGTTATTGAAATAAAAACATCTAACTGTTAATGGATGACACATCTATCATTCATGTATGGGAGAGGTCGGCATAAACAAAATAAACGCAAATAAAAGACATAACCGCTTAGTATATGATTGTAATTAGATAGATAAATATGTCGTGGATGAAATTACATGTGAATTTCATACCAAAGGTTTTCCTTTTCGGCATTTTCGTCGAGTTTTCCTTCTGGAGACATAACCTCCGACGTGGGAGACATCTTGGAGCACTGATACACGCAACCGCAAATGCGCGACTGGCAGGACCTGTCACTTTTATTTTCCCCACTTGTAACTCTCTTACAAATGCAGGATAGTCAAAAATGAATGTCTAATCTATGAATAACAAGTAAAAACCTTTTAAAATGCTGATAATTATAGTATTACATGCTTTTACAAGTTTCTTTGTATAAAAATATCTGTGCATGGCACTTTTTTTCATTTGCAAACAACTTAAACTAAAAAACGCGAAAAATAAACTAAACATTCACATTTAAACAAAAACAACGAAAAATAAAATTAATACTCTTAATAGATCAAAAAACTGGTCAAACTTATACTATAAGGCACTTGGAAATATTCTTTGAGTTTAGTTTCCTTTCAAACTTGATTTTTGATTGATTTTACCACCTTTAGATTTCTTATTACGTGTAGCCGTCTGTACCTCTGGCATTGGCGCACCATCCATAATAGTCGTCAAAATCGTCTCATTAAAATCCTCCGACAACGCCAGAATACAAACATCGTAATCATAAAACTCCCCGTACACCTTCCTATCAACAATCTTCCGCGGAAATAACCCATTATAATCGCGCAGAATCTCAACATAAGTATGAATCAAATCGCAATTCACCATGCGCGTATTAAACGCATCACAGTGACGTTTGTTAAGTTCGGCAAAAATTAACCGCATGCCCGCAATCGATGCCATCCAGCATTGAAAGAGAGACATATTCAGAAAGCGCATCACATCCAATATTTTCCCCAACTCCGTTTGAAACAAATTGTAATAATCATAGGTATCTTCATATAAAAAGCTAAGTTTCTTCAAATGCCTACTAAATTTCCATGAAACATATTCATAAGTAATGTTTGACGCACGCGATTCACGCAACTCTGCATTGTTTTCTGCTATGGCAATAAGAAGTGTTTCGATGTTGCTTATAGTCTTCGCATAAATCGAAACACCTTTAATCAACTTCATGCAATGCACGAGGTTTTCCAACTCTTTCGTTAAAGTCTCCTGACGATAACGACTCTTCTGATCAACGTCTTTCCCATTGCTCGATGCAGGTTTACCTGTTTTGACGTCAATCAAGAGTTTCTGCAGCATATGCACCATTCTATTGTTATCGCCTTCACATGGTTTGTATTCATCATCAGATACACACTCAACTGTATCTTCAGTTGAAGCTAAATACACTTTACAACGATCTGCACCCTCAGGCGCTTTGATGATAAACTGCGGATCTTCATCGTTGCCATTTACAGGTTCCTGTAGAACATCTACTGTTTCCGGCGCTACTCCTAGAATTTCCTCAGATTCTCCTTCAGTTTTATCAAGAGGATCTGGTAGTAATGATACAGATCGAAGAGCGAATCGCATAGAATCAAGAATTGGAGTAAAATCATCCCATAATGTCCAGTGATCCGAATGAAGACTTAAAGGTTGTCGAAAAGGTTTTGGTTTTGTTTGTGGAGCCGATGTTGAATTGAAAGAGTCGAAAAGTTGATCCATGATTTGGACAAATACTTTCGTGCCTTTTGCTTCGGGATATTTCGGATCTGTACGACGAATAAGAAAATGGCCGCGGTTATGACTTTCAAACTGATTATTTTGTGAAAAGTTATGCGTTTTACTTACCAGTTTTGTCATAAGGATCATAAAAGCCTTCCAGAAGGTATGAAACTGTTTTGCTGAATGTTTGCGCTGCTGATCGGGTGCTCTTCGAAGTGTTATCATACACTTCTGATGTTAACAACCCTTGCAAGCGCGGCAGACTCAACAGTGCGGAGACATTGTCATAGGAGGCTATATAAGGTTTACCCGAATGATTAAACATAACGTCGTGGGTGTAAAACATTGCTTTCAGCGTTCTCAGCATCCAAGGAGAATCAAAATGTGCATAACACGTCCGCGACCTCTTACTGAATATGAAAGTAGATCACCATTTTTGTAATTTTTCTAAATAAAACAAAATTATTTTGTAATATGAATATTAAATTTGTATTTTGTACTTACAATTGGTAATTCTGCAAGAATAGTCATCATTTCAAGTTGTCCTGAAGAACAACTGGCAATAACCCTTACATCAGCCCGGAAACAATCTTCGATGTATTCTTTAATACACTCGGCAACAATAGATCGATCCGTGAAATCCATGTACCCTAATGTGCCCAAATTGAGGAAGGTATTCATCTGTAGGAATTTCAATTGCAGGATGATGAGATGATCCGGCGGTTTTGCATTTTGTCCGCGCTGCTTTTTAACCTCGTCTACATTGCATATAGCATCATATTTGAAATGTTCAAAGCAAAGAATCACATCGCGATTATGGGGCAACAACCGTAATGCATAAGTGCGTATGCAATTGAAACTCAAATGATGTAAAATCAACCGCTCCGATTTGCATTTCTTGCGAGCCTCGCGGTACTCATGTCGCCGCTATTCAATAATTTAAATTTTATTATAATAATCAAGAGAATAAGTAATATCCATGCGTAAACCACTTACTCCTTCATATCCCTCGACGATTTGCTGGATGGTCTCGTTCGACATTGCCCCTGCACGTGAAAATCGCGAATATTTTCTTAAAATCGTGGAACGTCGAGCACGAAATGACTGCGGAAGCAAGTTGAATTTATGTCGCGCGCGTAGATTCAAAAGTTTCACAACACAGACGCCCTCTTACGGAAAATAACAACTAGTTTCACAAACTTTTAGAATGAAGTTTTAAACATATTCAAGTAATAATTTAACTTATTTTATTTGCAATGCATCTTTATGCATCTATATCTACAACAAGTTTACCGAGCAGTTTGCCTTCCATTAGGTCTTCGAATGCTTCGGGCACTTCATCGAAGCCGTAAATTCCATGAATCACTGGACGCAGCTGGATTAATATAAATATACAAAACAAATGAATATTAAATTACACGAACAGCTTGATTTCAATATGAATAACAATGGAATATTTTATCGTTGAAATTAAAACTAAATACAAGATCGATTACCTTGTCTTTGTTGATTAAATCATCAATAAACTCCACTCCTGCATGAAACGGTGCGAAAAATCCCCATCGGACAGTTTTCCCCTGCGCGCACTTCGGTATATTGGCCACCATTAAATCTCTTGCACTCGCTGCCATCCCTCCTAACAATCCGTACTTGTCGGTGTTTTTAATCAACGGCGAATTCAAAGTAATAAACTTTGAATACTGCCAAGATGGCGGAATCTTTTTATAGCCCATATTTGCGCAGTCTAATATAATATCAAACGGACCATCTTTTGCTACATTTGTAATATAATTCGGGTCTCTGTAGTCATGCGCACTGTGAGCACCTAATTTCTTTACCAAATTAATTGCTGTAGAATTACACGAGGCGATTACATTCGCACCGGATGCGTTTAGCATTTGTATTGCTAAAGTGCCAACTCCTCCAGAGGCACCTGTGACTAAAACACGGTAGTTCTTTGGATCTCGGATGCATAGCTCACCGGACAGGTACAGAGCTGACCAGGCTGTTAATCCTGAATAGAGAATTGATGCGGCTTCGATGAAATTCAACTTGTCTGGTTTCAAACATGTCTGAAAGTAAGTGTAATGTTGGTTGCCTATATTGACATCTTTATAAAAACAGAAAAAATGATAAAAATTTAGGTTTTAAATAAATTACCAGTGATTGTTCAGCAATAACAGCTTCAGCATGACTCCCCTGTCTATGAATAGGTAAAACTCCATAAACTTTATCACCAATCTTGAAATTCTTCACATCTTGCCCTTTGTCAATGACAATACCACTAAAATCTCTTCCTAAGGTGAGAGGGAATTCAAGCTGATGATTTCTCAAGAATCTGCCAAACTCTTGTGCATAACCATTGATCATCATGTAATCAATTGGATTTAGTGATGCTGCTTTCACAGATATCAGTAATTCTGTGGTGCTTGTAATAATGGGCATGCGACTCCGCGTCATTTGCAGCTCGTCGATGTTTCCATAGGAGTGAATAGCCCATGCGCTCATACGATTATCAACAGTACCTCGGGTTCTGTCTGATTTTTCCTTTTGTTTCGGAATAATTTTTGATGGTTCACCGGTGGTCGTTGAGGGGCCGTCGGTTATAAAACGTGTGCATTGTTTGAATTTGCATGATGATGAACGTACTATGCGAAAATTAAACATTTTTGTACTTTTAGGGCATTATTTCCCTATTGAAACAGTGTAATTTGTTAAATATTTTAAAATTTATTGGTTATGTTTCGACATATCAAAATACGCAAAAATATTGAGACAATTCTGGTTGCCTAACGTCTAATTATGATGCCCAAGACGAATCTTTTGGATGTTTAGCGTTGATACTATGATAAATAATTAATAAAACACGTTTTAATATTATGAAAGCGAATTGGTTGATTTAAGCGCGCGTAGTTTGAAAAATTCGTGTTGTTCCCGCGTCCGTTTACCCTTTGGTACCGCTTTAAAGAAATTTGTGATTGATGTGTTATTCGCTGGCGGTTCTTCTTCTTCCTCATCGAATTCCACATGATACGCGTCGTTTTCTAGTAGATTCGATGATGTTGACCAACTGAAACGCACCAATTGCGGAAAACCAAACACCGGATCACAATTTTCTTTCAAAAATCGTTTGGTTACTGGATCTGTGTGTTGAATGTTCAATTTTTTTTACTTATAATTCATAATACTTGATAAGATATTACTTACCACCAGGATATCCACTGCCAAATCCTTCCTCAGCTAATTCAATGCCTTCTTTAAATTGCCACACTTTGAGAGCATGATCCCTAGTAACTTTTGCAGCAATACTAGCAGCTGAGACGATGGGATATTTAGAATCAGCCTTTTTGGCCACAGTAATTTTAAACTGTGGAAAAAGTGTCTTCAGATAATCCTGATATTTTTCTGGTGGTCCAACAGTATCAACAAAAACATGTTCAATCTTTACACCATCAGCAATTGCTTTCCTTACTAAAGCAATTGCTGAGTCCATTGAGACTTGATTCAATGATGTTTTGCTTCTGCCCAGCATACTGTTACAAATAAAGTTTGGTGAAATTACATCCACTGCCCAGCCCATAGCTTTGTGATTTTCACACATTTTCACAAAGATTTCTTCACGTTTTTCTTCAGTTAAAGCCTTGGAATCATCACATTCCAGTTGCACCAAGAGATCAGCACGATTTATTGGACAGAATGCTATTCCATATACCATTGGACCTGTTATAATATTAAATTAGTTTAAAACTTGTTTTTAAATGTTTAAATCACTAACCTAAAACCGGCCCGCGGCCAGCTTCATCAATGCCTAGGATACATGGAAATTCTCGGCAGACTTTCGGCACTTTCGTAATATATACGGCATTTTCAGACGTATTTCGTTCTGAGAGGAATGTTTGGAGTGTCAGTAATGATTTTATTTGATTGGGATCGTCGCAAGTTTCAACGGGCGCATCTTCTTTATCAGACATCGTAAATGTTTCTAAAAGATTTCGCGGGTTTCACGCAACAGTTTGGTTTTCTTCTACACAACACACGCATGCGCAACATGCGTTCAAGGAAAACTTTTATTTTAATTTATTTGTGTTTTTTTATTTTTAGATCTTTCAATTTATAATTTATTAGATAAAAAGAAAAAAAACTTAAAACACATTTGTTGTAAATGCATTAATGTTGGATAATAAATTTGAATTGTAATGGTTTTAAGTTTTTAGCGCGTTTATGTATTGCGCATGCGCCACAATGCAACCACATATAAACTAAAACAAAACAAACTCGTTGACCTGATTACATTCCCAAATAATTTTAAAGATCAAATAAACAAAAAGATACGTCAAAATCACAATTACAAATAATATTTTACAATTTTTTCCATAAATTTCCACAATTTTTACACTGATAAAGAGTTGTTAAAAAATTCGAATCCCAAGGTTGTTCGAATCAGTCCTGCGCAGAAACGATGTATCATCACAACGATAAATGTGTTGCGTCGAACGAAATTAAACCTGTCCGTAACTTGTTGTAACTTATACGTTCTAGAACTCAGGTAAAAAAAACTTAAATACTCAAAACAGAATTATTATCCTCTTGTAAAAGTGAGCAGTAGTGAAAGGTAAAACGTAATGCGTGGTGTTCTTTGCGATTTCACATTGCGTTGCAGTTTGTTGCTGGTGAGAGGTTATGTTTGTGTGCCTCATGCTTTTTGTTGTCCTTCAGGCGGCATCGTCGAAAATAAGCAGTAAAGAGCCCGATGGAAGCCCCGGCTCGCCCGGCAGCGCCGGAACGCGTCGCCGACCAACCCCGTGATGTAGTTGCCGAAGTGAATCAAATAATTCGTAACTGGGAAGATGAACATCAAAACAACATTGAGTACAATCCAATACCAATGCTTTCAAGGTAATTACATATCAAATTGCATTTTAAAATTGTAATAAATTTATTTACGATATTTAAAGCATGGCAGAAATCATTGAAGCTGAAACCGAGAATTTTCTCAAAATGGATCCAGACCCTTTCGACGAGCGGCATCCGTCGAGAACAGACCCCGAATGTAAACTAGGCAGTTTATTAAAACTCCTCTTCAAAAAAGAGAGTTTTATGCTCAGATTAACGAATGATTATTTACGTGATAATTATTATTCGCGTCTGGGCATCACTGGCAGAGATATAAATGAATTGAATGCCATGGCATGTAGATTACTATTAGATATTTTGCCTGGTTTGGAAGTTTCAGCAGTGTTTCAGGTAAATTTTACATTAAAATCATAGAAATCAAAATAAAATCTAATATTTTGTATAGCCGGACATGGATTCGTTAATAATGCGGTTAATAAAATGGACGACGAGCGCGGTTGAACCGCTGCAAACGTATGCAACCGGATTACTCGCTGCTGCAATGGAGGTTGCAGAGATCGCAATGAAATATCGCGAACATAATGCACGGCTTGTTCCTTTACTATTACAACGTCTACGGAGTTTGCGCGCTGTGTCGGATTTCAACTATTCGACAACAACTCGACCGTTTGCGCATTTTGCGCGTTCGCCGCTTAAAGAACGCCATATTAAAGAAGGGAAAGAAGTTAAAGAAAATGGCGCCGTACAAATTACAAACTCATCACCAAATAAAAGAAAACAGGAAGATAGTCCACCGGATTCACCAAGCGCAAACGTAATTAACAAAAATATATAAATATTAATTAATTTTACAATAAATTTTTATAGATCCAAGTAAATGGAACGACGAAAAGGCAAAAGTTGCGTGATAGTGAGATTATGAGTCCTCCCAGGACAACAATAAAAAGTAAGATTATATTTAAACAATAAAAGTTGGTTTAAAACGTTAATATAATTCTTGTAGCTCCAATTTTTAACGAATCAAGCAATTCCTCCTGGGCGGAAATGGAAAGTTTTATGATTGGTTGCATACAGATTCATCCAATCACACCTGTGACAAGTCAAGTCCTTATTTTAAGATATTTAGTACCCGTGGGTGAATATCAGGAGTTTCTCAGTCATGTATTCGAGCATGATGCGTTGGAACTAATACTTTCATATGTAAATGTACGCGAAACGAAACAAGCTCGTTTGGCGTTCGAAGCACTGCGATATCTTTCATCACTTCTCTGTCATATGAAATTTTGCCTTGAATTTATACAATCAAATGGATTCCAAGTAAGTATTAGGATTAATTTGATAATTTAAAATATTTTAACGTTTTATTTAGTGTTTATTAGACGTGCCAAGACCTTCGATAGCCGCAACTGGTGTTTCTATATGCATTTATTACCTGGGTTACTGCGAGGAGGCGATGGAGCGCGTTTGTTTGTTACCGAAGTCTACGATTAGTAATTTAGTTAAATATGCGCTGTGGTTGCTGGAATGTTCGCACGATTCTGGCCGATGTCACGCGACGATGTTCTTCGGTCTGACGTTTCAATTCAAAGTGATTTTAGACGAGTTTGACGCTCAGGATGGACTTCGAAAACTTCATAATTTGATCGCTACGCTTCCAATCTTATCAAATGATGCGTTACCGTTGAATGAAGACGCCGAATGTGCTGCACGTCAAATTGTGCGCCATGTTTGTGTGGCATACAAGCGATATTTGGAAGCGCATCTCATCGCTAAAATCGAACAATTGAAACGATCACAATTGCGTCCGCCGGATCGAACCGAAGCAAATACGATACCGCAAATTAGCTACAAACCGTGTAAGTCATCGCCGGAGGAAGTCCAGCAACAAATCGAAACGTTGCTACAGTTTATGCCTTTCCGTACTCACTGGTTGCCTGTGGAGAACTTTTTAAAGTTGGGCGCAATTACTCTTTTGCTGAGGATTATTGCGTTAGCGTATGAGTGGAATTACAGCGGACGTGCGGAGACGGTGCGCTGCGCGCTGGACGTGATGGCGATCGCGTGTGTCATGCCCAAAGTTATGATACTTCTCTGTGAGACTGTTGATCTGCCAGACGAGTTGCCTACGCTTGGAGTGAGTATTATACTCGGGGCAGCTGCTGGTGAAATTGTACGTGATGCAGATGTACAAAAATCAGCGATTAGGGTGTTAATTAATTGTGTTTGTGGACCCATTAATCGGGTAAGTGTAAAATATATATATATTGGGTTAGAAATTTAATAAAAAATAATAATTTGTGTTAGGTTGGTGGTAGCATGGCGAGATTCTCCTCAGGACCGGTGAATTCACCGAATAAAAAAGTGAAAACAAAAAACTCGGAGGAGTTGATACAGCGAATGTGGGATTGCGTGCGGGCAAACAGCGGTATCATGGTGTTATTACAATTGATGAATGTGAAAACGCCGATTATCGACGCGGATTGTATTCGGACATTGGCGTGTCAAGCGTTGGTAGGGTTGACGCGATGCGCAACCGTAAGACAGATTGTTTCAAAGTTGCCTATATTTCAAAATGGCGAATTACAAAGTAAGTTTTTTTTTTCTTTCACTTCATTAGAAAATCATGATAATTTTTTATGTTTAGACTTAATGCGTGATCCAATCCTTCAAGAAAAACGCCAAGAACACGTCACTTTTCAAAAGTACGCGTTAGAACTCTTAGGAAGCTTATCCGGCCGCACAGCCACTTCGGATCCGGATGTCTCTCTTGTGAATATTCATCGTGCGAGCGTTGTCGCACAGACCAACATATCCTTCAATGACAAACAACTACTTCAGCTCATCCATCAACACTTAGTTTCTAAAGGTTACACAGATTCGGCGTCACTTCTGCAGAAAGAAGCCAATATCGGACATGTGATAAACTCCAATATGGCGGTGACGCATCCTTCGAAGTTTCGTTACAGCGTATCATCACCAGTAGCAAATCGTGTGCGTTTATCATCTGTACACTCACCGGTTTCGACGGTACGTAGTAATTTAAACGCGTCGTTTGCGGAGATGAGTCCAGCACCGGCCGCAAACTGCACGCCGATTAAATTGGTTAGAAAATCAAGCACACCACAAGTGGCAGCTACGCCAACCGCGCAGAATCCTAGACTACAAAAGCAAATTACCAACGATCCGCATGCGAAACTCGCGGTGACTATCGTGGATGAATTCACACCAATCGAACCGCCGAAAGTGACGCTCGACTCGATTATCACCGAGTACTTGACCAATCAGCATGCGCTGTGTAAGAATCCAATGGCGACGTGTCCACAGTTTAATTTATTCGCTCCGCATAAATGTCCCGATCCGCGACCCAAAGTAGCAACTACTACGAATGTAGTTATGCGATGCGCACGGCGCCAGTTGGGATATCAAGCGAGAAATTTAGATCGACGCTTGATAAACTCCCGATTCTGCCCGGTGCAGTCAATTAGATATCCGAATTCAGAGAATGGATTCTTCACATGCGTGCGATTCATGCCTGGTGATCAACATGTCGTTGTGGGTGATTACTGCGGCGATTTGCGCATTTACAACGTGTTGACAGGAAATGAAGACTCGTGTTTCTCCGCGCATGAGACTTACATCTTTAATATTGAACCAAATCGTACTGGAGAATTACTATTGACTAGTTCCGCTTGGAGGGAGCCACTGTCGGCGATGTGGAGCGTTAAGGACTATGAAATGAAGCACACGTTTGATATACAGGATTATGTTGAGTTTAGTAAAGTATCACAGGATAAGATTATTGGCACGAAGGGAGAAGTAGCGACGATATTCGATGTGCAGACTGGGTTGGAGGTGCATAGGTTTATTCCATTGTCGCATAATCAATACACGAAGAACAAAGCGACGTTTAGTCATAACGATGAATTGGTGCTGACGGACGGTGCGCTGTTTGATGTCAATTCGGGGACGCAGATTCGACAGTTGGATAAGTTAAACTCCGCACAGAGCGGTGTTTTTCATCCGAATGGTAGAGAGGTGAGTGAAATTTTTGATTTAAATTAAAAGAGTAATTTTTGACGCCATTTTGTTTTTTGTGACGTAAGATTATAGCTAATATGGAGATTTGGGACATGCGTACTTTCCACCTGTTGAAAACCGTGCAATCTTTGAATCAATGTAATGTTAAGTTTGCTGAGATTAACAATGCGCTGTTTGCCTACTCGATGGAGCAAGAAATCGATGAGGATAGCACGTTTGACTCTAGCTTCAAGACGATCGACGCCATTGATTACTCGAGCATTGCGACAATCGATGTCAAGCGTCAGATTTATGACCTTGGCATCAACCATTTCGATAGCCAAATTGGAATCGTCGAGAATCAAGGCACTTACTATAATGTGCAGGAGTCTGTTGTGCGTTTATACGATGTGGGTAGACGACGCGATAACGATGACGAAGTAGAAGAGGACGATGAAGATCTCGTTGACGAAGATGATGATGACGATGATGATAGCATCAGCGACGAGTCAGATACCGCCGACCGTGAGTTTTTTAACTATCCTTATCAGAATCGGAGATAAAAGTAAAAAAACTAAACCCCACAGTAATGTAACTTTAGATTTACTTTCAGCTCTGGATATTCTCGGCTCGCTGCGAAGATTTCACGGTGAGCAGGACGAGGATGAGGAGGACGATGACGAAGGGTCAGATGCGTTAGACGATTTGATTCTGGAAGATGGCGGCAACAGCGACATCTTCAATTCGAATTCGGACGACTCGTTGTCGTTAATATTGGGCTCAAATGATGACTCCTACACGGATTATTCCGACGACACGCTGAGGATGACCTCGGAGGATGAGAACGCCGCCAGTGAACCGGAGTAATGAAACGCCCTTAGCTTATTTTCAAGAAAAAAAATGAAATGAAAGAAAAGTGATATTTACTTGTACCTACATAATGTGTACTTTGTATCTGTACTTTGATGGAGATAAAATTTACAGTGTTCTTTAGTCAGTTTTGTATAGAGCATTGAAGTGATTTGATTATTTCACAATCAATAATTGAATATTACATGATTCGACAGATACATTAAATAAGTTTATAAAAATGTACAATGTTTGAAGTTGTTTGTTATGTCGGAAAGCTTTATAATCGGTTGTAATGTATGTACATAACAGAAATAATTGGATAGCAGTGGTCAAGGTCATTTCGACATTGATAGACTATTATCTAATTGATATGGTGTAATTGTAACTAATGTTCACGCGTTTTTATGCGATATGAAATCGTTTATAAGACGTGCGGCTTATAGACGGACACATTTTCTAGGTTAACCGTGCTTAAGCAAGGTCTTCCTTAGTTTAAATAAAATTTTCTTGTATTTTCATTAAAAATGGCGCCTACGGTTACAAGAATCGACGCGGCTGGTAATACCCAGTTGGGTGAAGGTCCGCACTGGGATCCTGTATCAAAAACTTTATATTTCGTTGATATCGAGGGTGGGACTATTCATAAGTATTGCCCAGCTACCAATTCATCAACTAAAGCTTCTATTGGTAAGCTAAATACAAAAACAAGTGACAAACGAAACTTATTTTGTTTTCTGGTTTAGATGGTCATGATGGCCGCAGTGTATCACTCATCATTCCGGTTAAAAACCAGCCGAATAAATTCGTGATTTCCGTTGACCGTGACTTGGGCGTTGTTACCTGGGATGGAAAATCAACGAAAGTTTCATTTGAGAAAATCGCCGAGGTGGATACAGCTGCTGATGTCATTGGGAATCGTATCAATGATGGCAAATGCGACGCTTCCGGTCGTATCTGGTTCGGGACCATTGGTGTACACGATCCGAAAACAATGAAGTTTTCAGAGAACGCGTCTTTCTACTCTCTGCACGCTGGAAAACCGAAACATCACTTTGGTGATGTGACTATCTCTAATGGTTTGGTTTGGAACAAGAATAATACTAAGTTTTATTATATTGATACACCTACACAACGTGTCGAGGTGTTTGATTTTGATTTAGCAACTGGAAACATTTGTACGTATAAAATTAATCGCTACAAATGATTATTTTATATTTTTTTCTTGTTTATTATTAGCAAATCGTAAAACTCTCGCTGAATTACCCAAACTTGGAGTTATTGGCGGTCCAGATGGCATGACAATCGACACAGAGGATAATTTATGGGTGGCTGTGTTTGACGGCGCGTGCGTTTTGCAAGTTTCGGGTAAAGATGGTAAACTTATGCAGAAGGTGGACATTCCTGCGAAACAAATTACATCAGTTGCGTGGGGTGGTGACAATCTCGACGAGCTCTATGTGACAAGCGCACGACTCTTCGATCCTGCTTTAACAGCGCCTGTTCATGGTGCGGTCTATAAAATTACCAACACAGGCTTTAAGGGATTCCCGATGAACGAAGCTGTTTTGTAAACTTAATCACAGTTCTGTGATACAAATAAATATTTTTTTAAATCGAGATATGCAAATACACACAATGAATTAATATTTACATTGTCTGATAACTGATAAGTTATCTGGAACTTAATACAATGTACAGAAATGGTTACACAAAATGGTGGCTACTGATTGGGTATAAAATGGCCGAAACAATTTACTACAACTACAACACGATAATCTAAGTACTCGTAAATTTTTAAATAGTTAACAGAAAAATAATTGACTTAACGTTTCATTAATATTTTCAACGTATCGTAACACTTGGTATTGTTTTCATTTTACAACTTGTCAAACACTGCGCATGCTGCGCATCTTGCGGTTGTTCACATACTACCCACACAAACATAAAAACTGCTGTGCGCGACGATAAGCAAACTTCAATTTGCTTCACAACTCAAGCAAAATCCGAAAGTAAACCAGCGCAAACACCGCAAACGTCAAACACAGCAAGCGCACGACTCAAAACAACCGTAAACGCCGCGCACAGAGTTTCTGTATTGCCGCACGCCGAGGTTATAACATACATAACGCTAGCAATTTCTCGCAGACGCTGGTGCTAGGGTCTCGCCACATCGATGTGCACAGAGAAGTGTAATTAGCGCATGATTAGCGCCCGGTCGGCTGATTGGAATTAGCGCGCTGTCGATGATCGCGCGCGCCCATCGCATGTGATGACTGCGTCACGCATCGGCCGCGTCACGAAGGGTCGCATCGTCGTGTACCTGGTGTGCGCGCTGCTTCTCGTCGTGCTCATCGCCTGCTACAAGAATGTCAGTAATCTCCTCGAAGATGCACAGAAATCCTATGAACGATGTCGGCAGGAGCAGGAAAAACCGCACAACAACTTAACGGTGAGAATTTGTGTTATTATTGATAAAACAATCGGTTTTTTGAGGTGTTTTATTGATAATTTTTATAAATCACATGAAAATCTTCTAGAATTCATATTATTATTGCGTTTTAGAGCAATGATTCTATTTTTTTCTATTAATTTGTCTCGGTTTATTGTAAATCTAAGAGAAATATGATTTATTTCTAGTTGTATTTGATTACAAGCAACGATTAGAAAAAACCCTACAAAGTGAAAAGGTTGAACATCAGAATGTGAAACAGGATTACACAGACAAGCTCAACGAAGAGAAGATGAAATGTGAAAAGAATGCAAATGAAGGCAAACTGCGTTTTTCAACGCTCCAACAACATTACAACCTTTTACAAACACAACACGATGATTTCAAAGAAGAATGCAGTAAAATACAAAGAGAACAACTAGATTCCCTCAATCAACTGCAGGCAAAACTGAAAGAAGTCCAGGAAGAGATGAAACGAAGTGTTGTGGATAAAGAAAACTCTATTCATCATATACGCGCACAAAAAGACGCTCTACAGACAGAAAACACACAGTTAAAAGAAAAACTTGCAGTAAGTCAATATATTTCCATTAAATTCAAACAAATAAAAATATTTTTCATTTCAGCATTTATTAAACAATAAACAAGAAGCTGTGAGGCGTACGGAATACTCGTCAACGCAGTTTAACAAAGTAATCCCAGTCGGTAACGCACGATTCGTCATACCTGTCGAGCACAACGAGCAAAACAATAACGAAAACGGCGCGGTATTACCGCCGCCATCTCAAAACAACAACAACGCGAAAGTCTACACGCCGAAAACCTCGCCGAAAGTACTGAACGCAGCGCTGCCTCTGAACGCGCCTTCCGCCACGCCAGAAACTTCCAATTCCAAATCATCCACGACTAAAAAATCACTGCTATTACCACTTCCTTATCAAGGCAACTTCCCTGATGGCGTTGTACCCGCGCCGAATCTAAACGTCGATGATAGCAGAGATAAAAACTACGATAATCAGAAGATCGCGCAACAAAAAGAGCCTGATGTGCTTGTGAAACCTAACAAAGACGAGCCGTTTGATGACCGGTACAAAAACGTAGGCGATAAACCTGACGACAAGAAGGACGAACTCAAAGATCAGTTTAATCAACAGGCTGATAAAGAGGACCAGGGGATTGAAGTGTTCGACCTGCCGAATCATGATAATCATGTGATTGTTGCGAATAAGGATAGTGGTAAAGCAAAGAAACATCTGGATGATTTAAACGCGGACCCGAACGATCCCGATTACGAAGGGCCGAATATCGACGATATTGAAGAAGGTGATGATGGAGCGGATGGTGTGAATCCGCAACTACCACAAGCTATACGAAACTAGGTACATTTACTTACTAGGTGGGTATTATTTTGTGACTTGCTTTTCTTTGCCATTTTTTACTAGAGTACCTATATCTAATTATCTATAAACCTAACCTAACCTATGTGATTGATTGCAATATTTGGTTATTATGTGAAACGGAACGAATTTACAAAACACACATGATTTAAGTAAGTAATGGGACTAAACGAAACATATTCTGCATTTACAATTGATGATTCAAGTGGAAATCATCTTTAATTCTTCGATTTACTATAATCTAAACATGCTTAACTTGAACTTTTGTGAATATTCTCGAATGTAAGCGCTAAGTAAGCCAATTGTACAGTTAGATTGCATAGAATATCATTTCTATCGAAAGTATTATTTACTGTTTATTTGTGAGGTCGAAGTAGAACCAAAAGATTGTTTTGTACTTAGTCTCGAGACGGTAGGGGAAGATATTGTATAGATTTATAGAAATTTTGATGTTTAGACATTATAAAATTCATACTTTTAGTAATGATGGTCAAATTTCATAGGTGGTTTGTCGAATATGAGAGGGGATAAATCTAATTGGAATCATATTACACGATTTTTGCAATTTGTACATACATATAAATAAATATACTTGGTACATAATGTACAAGTTTCGAATTTTCATACTTTGATGATGGAATCACTGCTTGTGCAATGAGGTCAATCAAATGATTGCGATTTGCAGCGTTGGTGAATTGTTGCTTACCTTGATTGAAATGCGTATTCATAAGTATTACACAAATGAAGTTTATAAACAAAAATATTTTATTTAAAACAAGATATTTGTCCTCTAAAAACTACGAAATGCACAATCAATGCAATTGCAGCCGCTTCACATATGAAACAACACTATACAATATAACAAATTTTTATATTCGTTTCATTTACATTTACATTCGTCTCGTCGTTGGCAAAATGTAGTTCTGCGTTTCACATTTAGTTACACAATGCACACTAGTACGAACACGCTTTCCAATAACTAAATGACTCGACCGAATTTTACTCGGCAAACGTTTTCTAAACAAAAGAGGAAAAAATGCGCTTTCCATTTATAATAATGTACGCACACAATATACACATTAGTCTCTCCCGCCAAAAATAATGGAAGTCGGCATTGAAGAGTCTACGCATTCACACATGCAGAAAATTTCGCATTCATAGAACAGGCACACGATGAATTTGATGATCAAGAATGATGCGATGATTGACACATGACTGATATTTGGGAACGTTTCGAGTCAAGAAACACAAACAATTTCGTCACAAATTTCGTACGTAGTAAAAAATTGAGTTGTGACGCACGTTTGGTGGTTATCAACGCAGACAGAACTGGCTGCACGGTGTTAGTGTATGTGGAAATAGTTAATTTTGGTTTGTACCCTTGAGAAGTGATGAAGAGGTTTGTGTGGTTGGTGTGTGACGGTTTACATCATGCCGCCCATGCCACCCATACCGCCCATTCCTCCCATACCACCCATGCCACCGCCTGGCATCGGTGGGTCTTCCTTGGGGATGTCTGTGATCACGGCCTCGGCTGTCGTCAGGAGGGATGCAACACCGGAAGCATCAGTTAAAGCAGTCCTTACAACCTGCAACAATTAATTCATTAGTTTTATCATTAACAATATTTTGATAAAATTATAATTTATTTACCTTGGTGGGATCAATAATACCCTTCTCAACCATGTTAACAAACTCATTGTTTCTCGCATCATAACCATGATCACCATCCATGGCTTCCACCTTGGCGACAATTTGTGCACCGTCGACACCAGCGTTAGCTGCAATAGTCATGCAAGGCACGCGCAGTGATTTGCGGACAATTTCCACACCAGTCGCCTGATCACTGTTGATTGCTTTAATGCTATCCAAGGTCTTGATGCATCTGATCAAAGCGGTGCCACCACCGGGTACAATACCTTCCTCAACAGCTGCTCTGGTAGCGTTCAACGCATCATTAACACGGTCTTTCTTCTCGTTCATCTCCACCTCACTGCTGCCACCAATTTTCAACACAGCTACACCGGAAGCCAAACGAGCCAAACGTTCCTGTAATTTCTCCTTTTCATATTCAGATGTGGTGTTCTCAATCTGGTCACGGATCTCTTCAGCGCGTTTATCGATGTGTTCCTTGGTGCCTTTTCCCTTCAGAATCAAAGTATCATCCTTGGTGATAACAATCTCGCCAACCTTTCCAAGATCAGCCAATTTGAGATCTTCCAACTTGACAATGTTGGCATCATCCCCAAAGACAATACCGCCACTGGCGATAGCCATATCAGAAAGTGTAGCCTTACGGTTGTCACCGAAACCTGGCGCCTTGATAGCAGCCACCTGAAGTCCAATACGCAGACGGTTCACCACCAAGGTGGTCAATGCCTCACCATCGACATCTTCAGCGATGATAATCAAAGGTTTGCGCTGAGAATTAGCCAATTCTAAAGCTGGGACAATGCTTTGCACGCTCGAGATCTTTTTCTCGCTGAGGAGTAACAACGCATCCTGGTATTCTACCTTAGCTCCTTTGGTACTGTTGACGAAATAGGGCGAGATGTATCCACGGTCGAATTTCATGCCTTCAATAACCTCCAGTTCGTCGTTTAGGGTCTTTCCGTCCTTGACGGTGATGACTCCCTCTTTACCAACACGCTTCATAGCATCAGAGATGAGCTGACCGATGGTTGCGTCGCCATTTGCTGAAATGGTGGCTACCTGCGCGACTTCCTCAGGAGTAGTGACTGGTTTCGAGAGTTTCTTCAGCGTGTCTTTAATTTGATCAACGGCCATCATGATACCTTTACGGATCTCGACGGGATTTGCGCCTTTGCCGAGGTTTTCGAAACCTTCCTTAGCGATTGAGCGGGCTAAGACAGTGGCGGTGGTTGTGCCATCACCAGCTTCTTCGTTGGTATTATTAGCGACATCCTGCACGAGGCGGGCGCCGATATTCTGGAATTTATCCTTCAGCTCGACTCCTTTAGCTACGGTAACGCCGTCTTTGGTGATTTTAGGGGAACCCCAGGATTGTTCAATGATTACATTACGTCCCTATTGAAAAACAAGCAAAAATAGTTGTAAAATACAATAATTTAGTTAAAATAACATAAAAATGTCGCAAAATGCACGTGAAAATCTCGTCATGAAGACAGAAACTTATAAAAGCACATTGAGCTGTTACTTTCGCATGGCTTCGACACCCGAACGAGCTGAGTTGACTTTGCTCGGGCTCTAATGCATGCTACATAATTATTTTATTATAAAAATATGTTATTTCTTTACCTTGGGTCCCATTGTGACTGAAACGGCATCAGCGAGCACGTTAACGCCCTGCAGCATCATCGCGCGGACCTCCGAACCAAATCGGACGTCCTTGGCGTAAAAGCGCTGGATCTGGGCAGCATTGCAGCGCCGCAGGCCGATCAGCCGAAGGGTTGCAGGTAGGCGGTACATTTGGCAATCTGTAATTGAACCGGGTCTTTAGAATCACAAATAAAATAAATCGCAAAACCGCTTCTACGAGCAACCGAAATACTAGAAATTGTCAGCGCACGTGACACGCGAGACAAATCAAACGAAACGAGACTTATATTTGTTTTCCACAGACGAGGTGATTTTTATGCAGTGAATTGTTTTAATTGTTGCATATCATGAGGGAAAACTGTCATGGCGACAAAGTTTTCGAATAAACACGATATGCGTTAATTTCGCACGGCTTCGACACCCGAGCTAGCAGGGTTGACTATGCTCGGGCTCTAATGCGTGCATTTTATAAATTTAAATTAATAATTCATTATTTCATGATTTACAATGGTGATTGGTATTTTACAGAAAAGTTATATGATTAAATTAAAATATGAAATGAATGGCCGCGTGAATTCTATTAATAAAAAATAATCATCTTCATAAATGTTAACAACCGATAGTGTAGTACATGTGCGGCGATTGGACTTCAATCAGAACATTCTAGAATCTTCGAGAACGTTCCTAACCCTAAGATGGCTGCAGCCAGGCGATAACCCCGGCCGAGCCGCATAGTTTTAACAAGAAAAACCGACATTTTCCGTATAAATAACATTCAAAGCTTGGTGCAACCTAAACATAATCAATTATTACATAATTCTACATTCATATTAATTGACTAGTGTTAAATTTCGATTGATTTTACTACAACTTCGGCTTAATGGCACATGGTATCTCCTAACCTAAACGCAGACATGACTGTCGGCCGCCGTGACCGCAATTTCTTGCTGTCGGTGAGTAAAACACTACTTAAATCAATATATCAAGCATGTAAAACATATATGGTATGAAGATGATGCACTTACCTGTGGTATAAACTCTTGTAAACGTAAGAAATGTGGGTTAGACGGCCGGTATGTACCGTGTACGATGAAACGCCGCTGCGAAAAAACGCCACCGATCAGTAGCACACCTCGATTAGTTGTGGAATGAAACGCGCGTTGGGGAATGAGAATGTGCGTGAGCGAGAGTGCGATATGTCAGGATGTCGGCGAAAATCGTATGAACTCGTGTTACATAACAAAATAAACATGGTTGCCTACAGTTTGAAACTGTAGAAGTTTCTAGAAAAACAAAATGTTACTTCATGATCACAAGTTGTATTTATTATCATTTAAAACGATAAACGTTCTTAAAACTAACTAAAACCCGTCACAAATAGAATATATAATCAAAATTAACAATGTAGTAACAAATATTGCACAAGTTTAAGTCTTGCAGTGTCTTTTTACATTGCTTCAATGCAAGTGTGAAACATTTGACTGCCATTGCTCGTGTTCAGCTTGTCAAATTGATCATACAAACTGCAGTTGTATTGATATTTGTGATATGTTGGCCCGAAACTCACATCTTCTTGACGCGCGTTAATCTTCTGGAACTTTTGTAGAAGCTTGTTGAGGTTTTTGCGTAATAATGCGCGTTTCTTCTTCGTGGGCGAATCCAAAATGGCGATGTTCGCTTGATCAGGAGTTTCAAAGGCTCCTGAAGGTGTTGCAGGTTTTTCGGGCTTCGTAGGCGTTGTTACTGGCGACGAGAAGGGCGTTGAAGGTGCAGAATCCGAATACTGCATTACCAAGTTTCCACTGACTAATTCCAAGCTGGGATCGATGGTAAACTTCGAACGAACTTTGAATTTGCGTTCTTCTTTGTTGGCTTCGAGATTCTTTAACCACAGAGCGTACAATTCATTCTGTTAATAAAAAATAATGAAAACATTAGTCATTTGTCATTTCATTTGGTTTTGTTTTGGTTGTTTTTCATTTTTGTGCATTTCATAAATACTTACATCACTTTTGCCAGATGTGCTTGATGTGGAAGATGTTTGGCTGGTGGTTCTCTGTATGGGACACATTTTGTTAAAGTTTTGAAATTTGGTAAGGATAAAATTTCAATGTTGTCGCGGCGATGATCGGAGAGCGAATGTGGTTTGCCTTCGGATTGAGGGTGATTAAATACCCTTCGGGGCGACGGCAGTTACTAATCCTTAGTTTTAGGGGTAGGTAGTTGTTTCTGCATACGGTTTCGCGAGGAGCAGGTAGCTTATGTCTTTATGGTTCGTAATATTTGCAAAGTTATTGTTGGTGGGGTTGTATGTGGTGGGGAGTTTTGTCTGTTCTGATCAACAATTTCTGTTTTTTTTTTGTTGCAGAAATGAAAAAAAATTACATACTTTTGATTTTTGTGGGTTAAATCATTATTTAAGCTTAATTTGCATTAAGATTTGACTGTTTGGTTGCAAAATATTAGTTTTCCCGATTTTCTGTGATAATTTTTTTGTTTTCTTCTCATTCTGAGTAGTTTTTGTAGCTGCACTTTTCGAGTTACCATTAATTAAAATATTTGTAAATTTTTGTATAATTTGGCTAAAAAATCTAAGTTCTATGCATGAAAAGGCTCAAAAATTACTGATTTTAATTATTTTAATTTTTAAAGTCTTTTTACGGTGTAAAATATTTCGTTTCTTGTATGTTTAATAAGTTTTAATTATTTACGCGCTTAAATGGGTGATAATTTTCCAACAATTTAAATTTCTTCATAAAAATATTATACAAAAAATCTTCAAGCATAATCACCTTTATTTTGATATTCAACGCATAAAAATCGTACTTTTCACGTATTTATAGATGTCTAAACCTTTATTTCACAACATTTCGATTCTCAATCCAAAAATATTTAGCAAACAAGTCTATTCTTCATGCATCTACTCTTTTCATCAATTTCTACGCTTGACTTAACTCTTTTCTAAACAATTTTACATGTTTATCCTCTTGCCAACAGTAGCAAGTAACTTGTAAATTTAGCTACCGTTTCTACCATGTTTCTAACAAATGTTTTCGTGTTATAAGCACTTATAATACTTGTCTTTTTATCCTCTTTTCATGATGTAAGAAGATGTCAAAAATCTTTACATTTCTTTGCATTGTTTAATTTCGCTCTAAGTCTTGTTCAGCTACCGTTTTTGTGTTACGTGCTTGGTGTCAGATATTTTACACATTTCAATCTTGATTCCAACGAAAAATCGACGATAGATTAATAAGCAGCTTATAAAGTCACTTCTCTTTTGGTTCTCGCAAATTGGATTATCTCGACTTTCGCCTCACGCTTTTGCGGAGCTTAATCCATCACGGATCGCAAACTTTTCAGGTAGTCGAATATCGACTGACTTTATTATTGATATCATAAAAGTCAGCAAATCCTAGTCGGTGTATTATTTTCTATAGACGGATTTGCATAGGTAAAGGATTCAAAAAGTAAGCTTTTGTGCTTTTGGTTTGACTGGTGTTCTTGCACAGGTGCAAGTATAGGTACATGAAGTTATATGGTGTATGATAAACAAAAAGGGTTGTAAAAGCAATGCATCAGGTGGATCAACACTGCAATAAAATAGCAAAAGAGAGCACAAATGGATATCGGGTAGTAAAAGTCAAAAAACGCGCAGTGAGGTTTATGACTGCGATTGTTGTGCGTATTAATTAATGCGTTATTGGATTAACTTTTATAACTTTTAGATGTTTTGCCGCACCTGTAACGGGTGCGCAGGTGTAAAGATTTTTGTAATAAAATATTTATAATGTGCACCCGATTTCAGAGAAATTTTGATACAAATCTGGTTACAAATAAATTTGATAAATTTTACTTTTACTTTTATTATACGCTTCAAACTTTTCAATTTAATTTTGCTTCAAATCAAGTCAAATTTTCTGTTTTAAGAGTCGATTTTGAAGTGAATTCAATCCAAAACATTAACATATTTCAATGTGCTTTCTTATTGCCATTTAAACTTACAACTTATTATGTTTTATTGCTGTATATTTACCAGTTGGTAATACGGATGTTGGTGGTCAAAGTAGTGTTAATCCTTGTTAGGAAGTGTCATTAGGGTCCGGTTTGTGAAATTTGTTTTATTTTTATTATGTTACCGGAATCATAATACGATTATCCAGCGGTTAGGTAAAAATTTTTGGACATAGGATGCGACCATAATGTATTATTCCTATTTTTGAGGAATAATAGGAACTGAAGTGGAAGTAGGTACTTGAAGTGGAATAATTAGGTATTAAAAGTAATAAAAGTTAAAAATTCGTAGTTGTTTTGTAGGTATAATCGTGTATTGTCGGTAAATAGTCACTATTTAAGTGCCTATTTATTTTCCTGAAATTGTCAAATGTAGGTACTAAATTTTTATTCAAACTAATATTGAATTTTATTTAATATCTACGGTCTCTCCTTATTTTAATTTTACTGTATTTTACAACAAACTTCGTATAACGTTGAAATGTGTATTACTTTATAGTAATACACAATTTACAATTAACAAAAAATGGACATGGGTGAAATCAGTAACTACAGAATACAAACATAAAGCAACACAATTGAATTTGTACTTATTATATTTTATTATTCTTCTAAATTGATTACAATACGTAGGTTTTAATATTTACATGATTTATTTATTAATTAACATGAAGATTCTTCAACACCGGAATAAACGGTACTATATCCATAAGCATCAATCTCTTCAAATTCTAAATCATCGATCAGAATCACATTATCTGCATCGTCGTGCCTGCAATAACTGTTTGAACGCTCCATCTTTTTAACTTTTTGATCATCAGTCATTCTATGAGATTTACGCATAAAAAAATTCTCAATTTTCTCTTTAATTCCACTTTTGGTAATGAAATTATAAAACCTTCCGTGTTTCTTTGGCGTTGACAAAAATTCAATGCTTTCTTCTTGCGATGAATTTACCTTATCTTTTAAGCCATCAAGTTGTAGTTGTTGACGCTGTTTCTTGCTTTTCTTGGATTTATTGGTATTGATTCTATTAATTTCGACTTCGTTAATGTCGAGTTCATTATCCACATCAGGAATACATGTGTTCAGCTTATCGTCAGACTCAAATCGAACACACTTCTTTGATTTTCTTCTTGAATTATTAATCTTGTCGTGGTAGTCTTGGATTTCTTTGATAACATGATCAAAGTCGCCAAGAAGAGCTCTCGAATGTGTCATTTGCATCTGCATTTTTCCTGGTGATGGTGTATTTTCATTGGATTGTTTTGTTTCTTCGCAATTTTCTGGAGTTGAATTATTATAATCGACAGTGAATTGGCGCCATTCCACGTAGTAAATATAATCCAATGTTGCATTACGAGGATTCAGCTCCTGTAAAAGAAAATAATAAAACCAAAAATTATTATAGTATATTTGAGACACCCTGTATAAGAAAGTAATACAACTAATCCTCTTAAAGTAGGTAGGTAATAGTTGTGCGCATTTGCGCAGGTACGAAGAAAGGTTGCGGATTAAGATTAAGACAGCGGAGTAGACGCCGAGAATTAGAGCAATTATTCTGGATTTAGAGGATGATGTACCAAAAATTGCGAGAAAATTGTTGTTAGATTGACTTTTAGTATGAATAATTTCAAATTAGATAATAATCTTTAGATTAACTTGTGCATATGTCGTTTGCACGGATTAAGGCATCGACGCGACTTTCAAATAAGAAATTAAATTGTCATTAGTTCAGACAAGCTAAATTTAAACTAGAACTAGTTTTATTTAAATTAAGCTGTCTACAGAGTAGTTCAATTCGATTTTATAGAGTTAAATTGAGTTTCTGTCAAATGTAATATGTCAACTAATATAGGAAACTACATTAGAACTATAATAATGTTAAAATAAGAGAAGCCATCTAGCGGTTCGGTTTTGAAGTAACAATTCAAAACGTCAGATTAAAGTTAAGGTTAAGTCAATAATAAGTAATTTTTGATCTAAAGAGTTCAAGTGTATGATTATGTGTAAAGAAATACTCTTACCAATGATTCGACGTTGCAGTTTTCACCTTGATCCATTTTTTTCGCTCGTAACTTTTATTTCTCTCACACTTTAAAAATATGAACACTTTTCGTTGAGACTTTGAATGAAATTTGAATTGAGGTTATATTTGCAATGTTGATAGTGGCAAAGTTGATTCAAGAATAATGTTTGAATGAACTTGGACGTGGAATATAAACGTTTTGAATGGAGAGATGTGGAAAAACCCAAAATATTTACAAGAAAATAAGTGCATTAGTAAATTGGATCAAGATGGACGTGGGAGTGGGAGATACACAATAAAGATGAAAAGAGTGGGGATACTAATTTCCAACCAATCAGAGGCCAGCATTTGTAGAATGTATCGCAGAAATTTCTCAGAAGAATAGGGTTGGGTTTTCAAATGTTTATTTAATGAGATTTTAATAGCATCTTGCAAGGAGAGAATTTTAGAAAGAATAACACTTGAAATCATGAAATGAATGAAACAAATATTGTTCTAATCAAGATTTTATTCAATTTATTTCAAAACTTACATATATACAACATAAAAACTAATAAAAAATGAAAATTCTTACACAACATCATCATATTTACTAATCAAAGCCTCTCTATCTTCAGCCAACCTATCAAAATGCCTATAACGGTAATGCTCAGCGATATTATTAAACAATTTCGTAGATTTTGTCTTCACCTGTTTCATATTACTCTGGCCTTCGGAATCTCCCACAAAAATCCTCTTCAAATTCTTCTTGATGAATGGAACCACCATCTTCACAAGGCGTTCATTCCTTCTCTGCAAGCGTTCCGGGTATTCAATAAAGTTTTCATCCCTGCGCTCTTCAACAATGGTCATATTCAACAACTCATTATCCGTCTTGGCTTTCTTCGACGGCAGTTTTGTTGCATGGAATATTCTCTCTTCAAATTAGAGAATCTCTTGATTGTAACTGTTGTCTTCCTGCGTTGTGGTTGCAAAGGTAACATGTTGATATTACCGCTGACGAGGGTATCATGCATGCGGCAAGGAGTAGTGTCATCAACACCTGTGTAAACCACTTCAAATTTACGGGGTGAGTTTGGGTAATCCAGATCGTGCTTCCAGTCCTTGTAGGAGACAAATTGTTCGGCGTTTGGATGCTGCGATGATGATGATTGGAGAGCCTTCAAGCGGAGAACCCATTCTAATTCGTCTAAGTAAGACTTGGGATGAGCTGGTTGTGGTTTTGTAGATAATGTTGATGTTCTTGTATTACGGACTCTTTTCTGTAATTGTTAAGAAAGAAAATTAAGTTAATAAATCATAAAAACATAATATTAATTTCAAATCCTCAATTTCCATGTCGCGTTTCTAATTTTATTGTGATTTCGACATATTTTGCCTAATTAGCATTATAATAACACAACAAGAAAATTAAAATGGAAATTCAAGTAAGAATTCATAGTAAAAGCAAAAATATAAATTTTTAATGTTAAAATAAAGATTTACTTACCATTCCTTTATACACACTGCTATGACGATCAAATGGAGTTAAAGTTTCAACAATCGCCGCCATTTTAATTAAGATTAACTTATTAATTGTTTGAATTGTCTTTCAGATGAGATCGGATATTAAACAAATCAAAATATTGAATGATAGGAAGTCGGTTTGGCCCTCGAGATTATACCCGCTGGAAGCTGTGGGTGGGGGTAACACTTTAAAAGAAATAATCCGCTGCCACTCAACAAATTCTCAGAAAATAGCAACTACTGTAATGCATCCGGTAAGTAGGTACAATTTAAAATACTAACAATACAGTTGAAACAAACACATTTAGAATACCATGATATCATTGGGGAATAAATAGAAAATACAACATAATTGTAACATTGTTTCACTTTTTCTTGAAGAAGTTCATCAATGTTGGCTGATTTGCAGGTTTAATCGCTTGTTTCTTCTTTTTATTGTTTGATGGTGGTGATACTTTTTATTATCCGCAGGCGATGCTTTCTTCTGTGGTTCCTGCTTCTTCGGTGGATTTTCTTTGTCTTCTTCCTCGCTTTCAGCACTTTCATAGACTAATTCTTTTCTGTGACTGAAAATTTATTAAAGCAATTAAATTATATTAATATGTAAATAATATGAATATTACCCATGTAGCCATCTTCATCCATAGTAGTCTTATCAACATATTTCCTTTTTCTGTTTTTGGGTGCCAATTTCTTCGTTTGAGTCGTTTTTATCTCTGCATCATCATCGGATACGATGATGTTGGAATCATTTGGTTCGGTATCTTCATCATCATCAGCAAAAATATCTACACAATAAATAATTTTAATGTTTAATATTAATTTTTAAATGTAAATTATTTACCTTCATCACTTTCAACGTGTTGAACGATTCGCTTCCTCTTCTTTTGTGGTTTTTCCACGCTCTTATCACGTTGTCGCTTGTTTTTATTAGCCGCAGCTTTCTTTTTGGGAGAAGTTTTAGCTTTAGCTTTATTAGCAGCCTCTATTTTCTGCGCTTCTTCATCAGTTCCGCTGTCGTATAATTCTTCTTTTTTCTTAATTGTTTTCTTACTTGAATTTTTGCTTGTTTCTTTTTTCTTCAGATCAATTTCTTCATCATTGCTATCATCATCATCAATCGACATGGCTTCTACAGGCTCATCCTTCACCTCTTGCTTGATTTGTTCAGGTTTCTCTTTTGGTGGAGGCGCCTTAGCGAACATATTGGCAATCGCGGTATTTTTCTTTTCTCCAGAGTTTTGCTTCGTGAGTTTATTAGTTTTGTTCTCTGTTTTAGTTTCTTTGGGTTCCTTTTTAATCTCTTCCTTGTTTATAACGTCAGATGTTGATGTTTTTGCAGTTTCTTTTGATTTTGATGCGAATAAATGCGAAGCTTTAGATTTATCCGTGCCCGCAGCGCGTGTTACAGTTGGTAGCACTTTTCTGTTTGGGAGATTTTTGCGCAAGATGCAATTTTTACTTATAGTACATCCAGAACTTGAAAAACATACAAATTAACAATAAAATTACTTCACACTAAGCTATAAATCTAATAAAATATTAGAATAAATGAAAACTTACAGAGAGCCTTTATCACTTGGCAATTTCCACATGTCAACCATTGCAACCAAATCAAAATTGACATCAGCTGTCTTTTGTACACTGTAAACCAGCTCATCTTGTAAATTCTTAAACAATTTCTTCTTTTCTGCCAACTGATCATGCTTTACAATCATAAAAGTCTTTGTACCAGAATCTTTCAGAGTTCCCATTAATGTGTAACTTATCCCCAAGTTTTTATCATTTTTTGCTGCTTGTTGATCCTCAACAAACTGTTTCAGCAGGGTATGTGATGTGTGAATATCAATATTATGTTTCACACTTAGTGAAACTGCTGTTACCTATGTAAAACATACATTTTAAAAGATTAGAGTAAAAAATAGATTAATAGTTTGAGGTTAAAACTTACGATTTTATCTTCGTCGTAAACATATTGCTTCAACTTCATTAAATACAGTTCTTCACTCTCGGAATCCATTTCTGACGAGTTTCTTCAAATTTTACAAGTTTATCTGCGTGTTATCAAAGGTTTTTACGAAGTTTTCGTTCAGGCACAAAAGGGAATCATGGGAAACACCTAAATATTTGGCGCCACTATTTTGCTTAGTTACTGCACTTGACATAGAATCATCATTTAAGTAATTATTAAAAAGGAAATATATAGGTATAATATAAATTATAAAATATAATTAATGATACGCAAATAATTGAGTTTAAATATGTGCATAATCTTTAATTTTGTATTTAAAAAGTGGTTTATTTAAATAATCGGCAGGATTTTCATGAACGTGTATTTTGGGTTGCCTATAGATAGATTTACTCCTCAGCTCGTACCTTGTTCATAACCCTCACAATCTCCGAGCACGCGTTCGCGGAGTGTCATTCCCATTCAGTCATTGCCGATTCGAAACAGTTCGAAGATCGATTTCATCAGCCGGCCGCCGTAGTTGAATGTGCAGTGAATAACTTAGAATCACCTCATCATGTCGTGGATATTCGGATATGGCAAAAAACAGCCGGACAATACGGCAATGCCAACTGGTTTGGAAGGTTTGAGTGCTCCACCCGCTGGCGGCGCCGGCAGTCCCGATGTGCCCAACCTTTCCAGAGCAGAAAAGAAGGCCATGGAAGCGTACCGTTTTGATTCATCTGCTCTCGAGCGAGCTGCACAAGCCGCACGTGAATTAGAACGCTCCAGTAAGTGACATTTCATTTATATTATCACATTTTTCCCACATTACATAATATGTATGTAAATGTGTGCAGGCCATGCCAAAGATGCATTGGAATTGTCCAAGCTCCAGGAGGCGACGCGTCAGTCCGAATATCAAGCCAAGGTGAAGGAGTATGAGGCACATATTGCCCAGATGCAGGTGGAGCAGAAGAGGACAGAGGGTGAAGAGAAGAGGAAATATCTTGCTGAGGAGACCAAACAACATCAGAGCAGGGCACAGTATCAGGATCAATTGTCCAGGAGGAGATATGAAGATCAACTTGCCCAGCAACAGAAACAGAATGAAGAAAATCTTAAAAAGTAATAAAACTTAAATTTTATTAATAAAAATATAAATAATTGATTTATTATTATTAATATAGGCAAGAAGAAAGCGTGGCGAAACAAGAAGCAATGCGTCGTGCAACAATCGAACACGAGATGGATCTGCGACATCAAAACGAGATGAAACGCGTCGAAGCTGAATTACGTGCAAAAGCTAAAGTTGATCGCGAGAATCGCGACTTGACTCTGGAGCAGATCCGTCTGAGAGCGAACGAAAACCGTTTGACTGTCATGGAAGGCATCAAAACCGCCGGTACTGTGATTGGTGAAGGCGCTCAGGCAATGTTAACCGACTGGAATAAAGTTGTCACTGCCGTCGGTGGTTTGTCTCTACTTGCGTTGGGTATTTATTCTGCTAAAGGTGCAACTGGTGTAACCGCAAGATATGTCGAAGCCCGTTTAGGGAAACCATCTCTTGTCAGAGAAACTTCCAGATTTTCCTTCCTAGAATCAATCAAGCATCCAATTGAAGCGTTCAAGCGAATACGCGAAAAGCAAGGCGACGCACTCGCTGGAGTTGTCCTCGCGCCGAAACTGGAAGAGCGCATGCGTGACATCGCCATTGCCACGAAGAATACGAAACAAAATCGCGGTATGTACCGGAATATTCTCATGCATGGACCGCCCGGTACGGGTAAAACTATGTTTGCTAAAAACTCGCCAAGCATTCCAATATGGACTATGCTATTTTGACTGGTGGTGATATTGCACCCATGGGTAGAGATGGTGTTACTGCTGTGCATAAGGTGTTTGACTGGGCAAGGGGTACTCGTAAGGGGTTGATTCTTTTCATTGACGAAGCAGATGCTTTCTTGAGGAAGCGTTCGTCAGAAAATATCTCTGAGGATTTGAGAGCTACGTTAAACGCGTTTTTGTACCGTACCGGTGAGCAGAGTGGTAAATTTATGTTGGTATTAGCGTCGAATACTCCGGAACAGTTTGATTGGGCTGTCAATGATCGTCTGGACGAAATGGTGGAGTTTACTCTGCCAGGATTGGAGGAGCGTGAGCGTTTGATGAGGCTGTACTTTAAAAAGTTTGTGCTGGAACCAGCAGCGGAGAATTTACGACGGTTGAAGGTTGATCAGTTTGACTACAGTGCTCTGTGTAGCAAAATGGCGGGTATGACGGAGGGTATGTCTGGACGTGAAATTGCTAAATTAGGTGTGGCGTGGCAAGCGGCTGCGTACGCCAGCGCGGACGGTTTGTTAACCGAGAAGATGGTTTTGGATAGGTGTTTGGATGCAATTAAACAGCACAAACAAAAGGTAATTTTTTTAAAGTTTTACTTGGTTTAATTATAATGTGTTTTTTTTTCTTTTAAAATAGGTTGAGTGGCAATCTGAACAAGAACGCCGTGAGGCCAAGAGCATTTATCACTCAGAAAAAGAAGATTCGTACATCCCGGTGCTTGAAAAGGAGGGATCTACGCCTGTAGGCGCTGCAACCAAATGAACAAACCCATACTCGCATACCACCAACACATAATAACATTTTGACGAATTCGTAGGCAACTTGTGATATCTCTCCAATTTAGATTACACGCGCTCGCATTCAGTCCGCCCCGCTGGTTTTATAAAACTCACACGCGTAGTTGTATTAAATAATTGTTGTCGTGTGTACGATACTTGCTTGAGCAGTGTACATTGAGCCTCGAATCACATTCTCGCGTGCATTGCTCAAGTTTGTAGCACATGGAATATAGTAGCGCGAATATTTTTTTATGAGTTTCATGGGGTCTGGATTGAATGTGAGGGCGTGTCTTGCATTTGGTCGCGATTTTGTGATTTGTGTCGGCCGTTTGCTTCAGCGTTTTTTGTTTATGAAGCAAAGGTGATCGAATCTGCGAAGTCGCAATGCGCAAAGTGCGTTCCGGTTGCGGCAGGATTTATATTAAACTCTGTTGGGGCGCCGCGCATCCTCCACTGCTACAAATTAGTTTTTAAGGACTGTAAAAATTATATCAAAGATATATGGTGTGCTAGTGACGAGAAAATATTTGTAAAAAAGGAACCAAGCCAAAATATATTTCTTTTGTACAGTATACTTTACTTTTCTTGTAAAGTCTCATTCAAACCGTAAGAAATTACAAGATTACTATGTACAACATATATGCGTGATATTTGATTGAACGCGTGTACTAGGCTTTATGTTTTTTAGTTAGTTTGATTGTTAACAGATGGCGCTCCGTATTTGATTTAATATTTTCGAACGTCCTTGAGTATTTTCAGTCGCCCATTAACGCCGGTAGATGGCGTAGGGATGTTGTTTGAGTATTTTTCAACGCCGGTTTTGTGCTGCTTTCTAACCTAGACATTATTTCACAACAACAAGCAGGCAGAGCACAAACATATTTAGAAAATGTTTTATCACGTAAATATTAGTTATATTTTATTTATTAATAATTAATTAAATTATTACTTGTACAGATATCGTTGGAGCACGAAATTCTCCTTCATCCACAATATTTTGGGCCTCAGCTGCTTGAGAAGGTCAAAACAAAATTGTATTCGGAGGTTGAAGGCACCTGTACTGGAAAGTAGGTTTAAAAATACATTAATATTCACTGGACATTTTATAATTTTGTGGATTTTGTTATGATTCAGATATGGCTTTGTTATTGCTGTGACAACAATTGACAATATTGGTGCTGGCCTCATCCTTCCAGGCCAAGGTTTTGTTGTTTATCCAGTAAAATACAAAGCTATTGTGTTCAGGCCTTTCAAGGGAGAAGTGCTTGATGCTGTGGTGAGGCAAGTGAACAAAGTTGGCATGTTTGCTGAAATTGGACCCCTTTCATGTTTTATTTCACATCATGTAAGTGAATACCATTTATTTCAGTAATTCATTATTCATTTAAAAATAATATGTTTTGTTTAGTCTATTCCTGCTGAAATGGAATATTGTCCAAGTTCAAGCCCACAGTGCTACAAAACCAAAGAAGAAGATGTTGTAATCTGCGCAGACGCCGAAATTCGGTTAAAAATAGTTGGAACGAGAGTTGATGCAACAGGAATTGTAAGTACCCTTAATTATTTTCTAAAATTTGGTTTCCTTGTATTTATTTGTGTATTTAGGATGTTTTGATGGGTTAAAAATTGGGTTGAAATGATGTTTTTAATTTCAGTTTGCAATTGGTACTTTGATGGACGACTACTTAGGACTAATCAGTAATTAAACATATTATAGGTGATAATTTTAATGTTCAACACATAAATGCGACGTTTCTATATAAAAAAAAATCAGTCAAAAATCGAATTATCCATTCATTTAATTTAATTTAGATTGGATGCAAACGCCAATTGTCTCTGTTTAGCCTTTTTCGGTTGCGGTCCCAGTTTACTTTCGTCTTTTTTCCTCAAAACTCTTTTGTTCTTTCGGCCTTTTCGTTCCGCTTGTTGGGTTACGCGTGGTTTTTGTGTCTCAGCCTGCTTGGTCTGTTTCTTCGTGGACGCCATCACCATAATCGCGTCTAGTTTATAAAAATTCCCGCTCTGTTTAATCGCGCCGAATTGCACGCCGCGCTGCAACGCCATGGGTACTTTATCCAAAATGGCCTCGTCGTTTATCTTGCCATGCATTTCGCTGACATAACTGCGCAATTGATGCAGCGTGCAACCATCGGGGTGCTTCAACGCTTTCAGTGCTTCGACCACCAATTGAGAGACCTTGGCCAAAGGGACGCGGCGTGGGATTGATTTACGTGATGTACGGTGAAGTAATCGATCCATTTATAGGTTAACGATCAAAATCAACAGTTAGGATTTTTTTGAAAGAAAAAATTGTTGTAATAAAATTAGGAATAACTGTTAATATAATCCGCGTGATGTGGCTTTGTAAAATACACAAACGTTTAATTCATGTCATTATTAATCATTGGACAATTGACACCGGCCAACTATTATGTTTTTGAAATTTGAAAATTTTCCAAACAAAAAGTATCAAGGCATTGACCTAGCAAGATGTTGGTCTATCGCGACGACCCGTCAAACCACTTCGTTCTCCAGTCTCCGGGTTTACTCAGATTAATGTCGGACTAGCGTGCGCTCGACGGGATTGTAGATTGAAAGGAGAAATAGCGAAAGGCGAAGATGAAGATGAAGCCCAAGTCGAAGTCTAGTTCTCGATAATCCCCGTTAGGTTTGTTTGATCTGACTTGCCTGACGCCATCACAAAAAAAAGAAGTGAAGAGATGCGCTTGGGGAAATAAATTGTTTTTATGCTAATCGCTTGAAAAACACCCAAATCGAGTGATAAATTAAATATTTGAGTGTTTCAGACATATTAAATAAACATAAATTAAATTTATTTCTTGTTTTTTTTATGGTAAAAATAGGTTAATAAATTAGGTTATGTTGTATTTTATGTTTTTGGTTTGTAACACTCGGTGTACGTAAGTTAATTTGATGATTTCGTTTGTATTTGTGTTGGAGTACACGTTCGCGTTTCATAATGAAATAAAATATTCCTGCTTTTACAGTTAGACGATATCTCGGGTGGCGATGAGATTCCTAGCTCTTCATATATTCAAATGAGCTCGCCGTCGCCTTCGTCGTCGTCTTCGGCTCGAAAATGCAATATTTATTAGGCTCTAAACGCGGCCCCGCAAATCGAACGGTAACATTTCTGAACTTCAAACAAATAAAACGGTTGAATGTCGAATACGAATACGCAATCGCGTTTGATGAAGCTTTTTTGCGCGCGCGCGCTCTCGATAAATCATAAATCATCGAAAATTGGATGAGGTTGGCGCTGGTTCGGATATACAGAGTGATGCAGTTCATCGAGAATGACGCCAGATCTCGTTAATGATTATTAATGACGCCGCCGACGACTTGCTAGCCGCCTCCGCGCCGCCCGGCCGAGTGACACAGAAAACCAATGCGTTTCGTCTTTTTTTCTTCTTCGCACGTGAATGAAAACACGGTTTTCGAGCGCAATCACGCGCCGGACGCGCAAAAACAAGGCGGTTTTATATTTAATATCGCGATTTATCACCGGTTGATCGTCGTAATAGTTTTAAATTTAGCGATTTCGTTCATATTTATATTCATCGTCATATGCGTGGACATTTTCGTGTATAATCAGCTAAAAAAGTGTTTCACATGAGTTTTACATTAAATTCTAACCAAACACTTTTGACATTTGACAATTGACATCAATATGACAAGTTATGTTAGAATTAAGTGAGGTTATGTTTGTTTGGAATCATTTTCCAATGTAAATAATCAACTCAACGGGTTGTCTTTACTCCTGGCCGCGGCGCGGTGTGTTGACGTTTATCTATCTGTGGCATCTCTCCGCTTGTTTAATGTTCCATCGAAACAATGTTGATTTAAATTTAGCATCAATCATTTGAAGCAACACACTTCACAAACTCCGTTTGTTATTTGTTAGTTATCCGCGATTTACAACAAAAGCAAGCGGACGATTCAAACAAACAAGTTTTACGATACGTTGCTGTTATCGTGGCGCCACCTACACACGCGAGCTAATTAAAAACTCTATAAAAACAAATGAATAAAGGCGCGTTTTATATGCACGCAAAACACAATCCGGGGCTCTAGTGTGTGGTGTTGTGTAGGAAAAATTATCGCCGAATTAATGCCGTGTGCGAGTCTGTGTTTGCGCATCGCCATTCACATCTCTTTTTTTTCGTTCTCGCGCGCCGGTTTTGATGGCCCACTTCGGAATGTTTGCCGTTAACCTACACCCGGCGCACCTACGCGGCGTACCCCGGCGTTATCGACGTGTTTACATCTTGCGGGTGACACACTCGATGGCCCATCAAAAGGTCTTCATGGCCAATAAAACAAAGCGGATGGGAAAATGTGCGGAACAATAAACGCATTCTGAAGGATTTTCAAGTTTTGCGCTTTATTTGTTTGCTGGCCATTAACTCAGCTACTTAAAATCAGTGGAGATTTATTAAAGTGTTGTCGGGGAGGAAATTTAGAAGAAAATTAATTTATGGTAAGAAAATTTCTGTTTTCTTGTAGTTTAAGAAGGAATTTCAACCGAAATTAGTTAAAATTAAAACTACAAGAGATAAATGGAAATTTTTAATTTTAATGGGTAGATAATAACAAATACTATAAAATTTGTTAAAAACAAACTTGCTAAGATAAGTTATTTGTTGTTTTTTTGTTTAAGAAAGAAATTTTTCCATAAATGAGTAAAAAATTAAAATAACTTTAGTACTACAAGAGAAAAATGGAAACATTGTATTTTATTGGATAGATACTAACAATAACTATAAATTATGCTAAAAATACACTTGTTAATTATCACCATTTGCCCATAATTTAAAGAAAACCATAAAAATGTATTCAATACACTATAGAATCATTTTTATTTCCATTTTTTAATTCGTAGTACTTTCAATGACAAATGTGACAATGTAGTGTGGTTTATTTAAGATGTTTTTAAGATGTCCTCGGGCATGATTGCGGTTTGGTCGCGCGCGAGTGGGGTTCCCGTCGGCGGCGCGTATAAAGGGAGCGTCGTGCGCGGCGCGCCGTTCGTACAACGGTGTCGGCAGGCGCGCATCGCGGACCGCTGACTCTCACTCTCGACCCATCCGGCTATCTCTCCCGCCGTCGTTGTACGTCGTCTTCCTCTCTTATCGTGTACGTACGCCGCGTGTTGTTCTCTCGTGCCATCGTTCCAGTGCGCTCGTGTTCCAATCGCAGCCACCCCCGAGGACGGAAACTGTTTCCGCGACGACGGAGCGATTTTCAAAGTGGATCCCACGATGACTTCCAGTGTTAAGCAAACTGTGATTCGGTAAGCCTTCTTTTACGTTAAAACATTTAATTTTGATTTTAGTGAAAAAAAAAACGTAAACAAAACTAGTTTTTTATCGGATTTTGCGTTTCAACATCGTGTTGCAGTGTTTACTTTTACAGGAATTTATTTAAGAATTAATTCTGTTATAGAAAAATGTTATTTTGTGTTTAGTTATTGAATAATTAATTAATTAATGCGTTTTTGTTGATTGATCGGTGAAAATTAAAATTAAAACAAAACATACATTTCACACATTCGTCAAATGAATTTCTAGTGTATCTATGTTGCAATCTAAAGTGAAAAGCGCTTTCTACTTGTCCATGTCGATGACAATCTATGCATATAAATAATACACTTCAACTGCAACTAAAATTTTTTTAACATTTTTTGTGTTAAACTTTGATAAACTTTAACGCATTTCTCGTATTTTTTCAAAATATTTACCAATTGTTGTTCTTATCATTTTATTTAATTTCATGTCTATGTAGGTAAATGCATTATAAGTTTCAACAAAATGCGAAGTATTTGTTGACAACTGTCAAATATCGAATATACGATACGCTCAGCAATGTGAAGCGTTTATTTTTGTTTTTCCACTTTTTACCTAATGGAATGCTCGGTTAAAAGAAACTAATTATTGTTAATTAAATTTAGCACTAGAGTTGACAGCTTGACACGTTGACAAAGTGAAAATAAGAAAATTGAAAAGAAGCTGTCGTGAATGCCAAGACAATGCCAACCATCAAGTGAACAAAACGTGCTTTCGTTTATAAATGTTTTTCAATTAGCTCTCGTGCAACTCAAGTTAGACGCCTTGACGGGGTCGTCAGGCTGAAAAAAGTTAGTCGCCTAGCACGCACGCGTTGATAATGCATAATGTATAATTTTAATTACGAGCGTAATTATTATTTCGTGTTGAATGCGGCGATGCGGAGCGGGAGATGTGTTTGATGATTGGTATGTGAGGCACGTTTCTCGAGTAAACTACCGGAATACTTGCATTCGAGCGAGTGAACGTGCAATAAAAGCACAAAAAATGAAACACGTTTTATTAATCAACAAGTGAAAAATTATCGGGAGAAAGTTTTGAAGTTATCAAAAACGAAATGAAGAAAATAAAGAAAGTATGCATTTTTATGAGTAATTTAAAACAATTTTAGTCGTATAATGCATAGTTGATGATTATTTATTTTAAAAACTGCGAAATTTGGTAAAATCCGCTAAAATGTATAGAAAACCAATCAGAACGATGAACTTAACAATAACATCACTTCCCCTAAGTTGGCCGATCGTATGTCGAGAGATACGACATCTGCAATGTCAAAAAAGGCGCAAATTTCAAAAATTACAAACAAAAACGTAATTTTTGTCAATAAAACTCAAAATTTTTGCAAAATCTTTTATTTATTATAAACAATATATAATTCCGATTATTATAAGACAAATTTTTAATAACAGTTTAGTTGTCT